TATAGCATCACCCTTACAGCATATGTAAAACATAAAGGTGCCTGTATATCCAAACTTTACAATGAAACGTGGGCTCTTTAATAGATCAACGTGCTCGTCGGGGTCAAAGGAATCTTGTGTCAAAGTATGAAGTTCATCGTGGGCGATCCCAGATTTCGCAATGTCGCCACCAGCCAAACTGGATCCGGGGCTCAACCTCTTTCGACGACGAAGACCAAAAATATTTTTTGGGCTGTTTGCGACATTGAACGTGAAACTTTCACACAAGGTGCAGTTGGCCAAGCCGAGCCCATTGCTCCATTAAAAACCCTGTGTTTGATTGTAAAGTTTGGAGATACAGGCACCTTTATGTTTGTAAGCGTGATGCTATATGAAGAGTGGTCTTTGTCCATTGTCAAGTAGCTAGACCCTGACAGAGCAAAAGATGCAGAGGGTCGTGTTGTGTAACACAGCTACGTTTGCACGAATGAAAGGGTCATTGTATAATTACTTTATGGATCATCTAGGAACAGGCATGTATTGCTAGCTAACGGCCACTTTTATCCAATCATCATTGTTGCGAGATCCACTGCATGGGAACGATGCCCCTGCTCTAGACATTCATTTCCATGATTAAAGTAGGTTGATCCGAGCTGATTTGGCTGAGCTACGGTCAAAGAGAGATTACATCACTCTGGACATAAAGCACGCTCGATGTAGCTCAACCGATGCTGATGCCTGCTAATATTGAGCGTAACTCAACCAAATCAGCTCGGATCAACCTACTTTAATCATGGAAAGTAAATGTCTAGAGCAGGCTGTTGCGCTCCCCATGCAGTGGATCTCGCGACAATGATGACTGGATAAAAGTGTCCGTTAGCTAGCGATACATGCCTGTTCCTAGATGATCCATAAAGTAATTATACATTGACCCTTTCATTCATGCAAACGTAGCTGTGTTACACAACACGGCCCTCTGCAGCTTTTGCTCTGTCAAAGTCCAGCTACTTGACAATGAACAAAGACCACTTCTCATATAGCATCACGCTTACAAACATAAAGACGCCTGTATCTCCAAACTTTACAATGGAACGTGGGGTTTTTAAGAGAACAACGTGCTCGGCTTGGCCAACAGCACCTTGTGTGAAAGCTTCACGTTCAATGTCGCAACTAGCCCAAAAAATATTTTTTGGTCGTCGTCGTTGAAGAGGTCGACCCCCAGACCCAGTTTGGCTGGTAGCGACATTGTGAAATCTGGGATTGGCAAGCTTGATCGTGAAACTGGCACCCAAGGTGCTGTTGGCCAAGCCGAGCACATTGCTCTAATAAAGACCCCACGTTTCATTGTAAAGTTCGGAGATACAGGCACCTTTATGTTTGTAAGCGTGATGCTATATGAGAAGTGGTCTTTGTTCATTGTCAAGTAGCTGGACTTTGACAGAGCCCAAAGATGCAGAAGGACGTGCGTGTGTAACAGAGCTGAGAAGCTAAGAAGTGTCAATGCATGATAGATACACGAACTTAACTTCCAGTTCATGTATTGCCAGCTAATAGCTTATTCCTCCTAATCATCTTCTTTATCCAATCCAATGCATGTGAACGGTTGTCCTGCTCCAGCCCAACACCTCCATCCTTCGACTTTTTTGATCCGAGTGGATTTGACTGAAAAACGCTCAAACACAGAAGTATCATCCAAATCACAAAAATTAATCTGATTGATTATATTTAAACTGCTACTTGATAGCCCATTCCTCCCAATCATCTTTGTTTCCCAATCCAATGCATGTAAACGATTGTCTTGCTCCATCCCAGCATCCCCATCCTTCAACTTTCATGATCCGAGAGGATTTGACTGAAAAACGCTCAAGCACAGAAGTATCATCCTTTTCAGAAAAATCATTTTGTAAAGTTATTTGTAAACTGCCAGCTAATAGCCCCTTCATCCCATTCGGCTTTGTTGCCCAAACCAATGCATGTAAACGATTGTCCTGCTCCAGCCCAACACCTCCATCCTTCAACTTTCTTGATCCAATAGGATTTGACTGAACAACGCACAAGCAAAGAAGTATTATTCAACGTCAGTTCAACTCGCTTAATTTCCCAGCTCTTCCACTCCCTGCTCATTTGCCTCTTCCTCCCATTCTCAACTGTTGCCCCATTTAAGTATACAACTACCACCTGCGAACGATTGTCTTGCTTCAACCCATCATGTCAACTCTGCAATTGCCTTGATCCGATTGTCTTTGTCTGAATGGCAACTCCATGGCCTATACAGTCTTCTTATCACTCGTCTACTTCCTTGACACTTCGCCTTCTCTTGTACACACTCCTTTGCGCGACCAACGTAACAGCATTCATCCAGCAGTTTCCATTAGCAAGGGTCTATACTCCATTGCCTCGAACAGCGTTCTTTACTTGCAGCAACTTGTCTTACAGCGGCTTTTTACGTGAACAACAGATAGCCGTCATATAGAAGCAACTTGATTTGGTACAAAAGGATTCCTATGGATGATGCCATATCAGCTATGAATACGCCACAATACAAGCTATCTCACCTGGTCGAGCCGTGATGGAAATGATCAAGCAAGAAAGGACCAATAGCCGGATGGGAAAGGGAGCATATCTGCAGCAATCGCATGGCACTTTCAATCAACATTTTGAGCTTGCAATGGTTATGATGGATGGATGGATACAATCAACTTGGAATGCCTTTTCAGTTACCTGATACATTGTCAGCAGAGAGGATGGATCACGTCGCGTGGATACGGCTTAGCATGATGATGGATTGGATGGCGTTGGTGTTGGCGAAAGGGTGTTTTCCAATCATGGATGGTATTTAAATACTCGAGCCAAGCACGCAGCAACTGGTTTGGAATCTTGGATGGAAACGTTTATCACAGCAGTAACCATGGATACAATGACACCCTAGCTGGCTCTATGCGATTCACGCATATTTGGCGATGCTGTTTCTTTATCAGATTCACTGGATAGATACCCACACTACCACGTCTTATTCCTCGACTCTTATTGAATGAACATTCACCATAAACAAAGTATCGCGCTATCAATGCATTATGTACAAAATGTGGATCATGTGGTTGTTTTCTGGTTTGGTGATGGTTATGTGACATTGGATTGAAAAGGGATTAGAATCTGAAGGTGGGAAAACGAGATTGGATCATTTACATCATCGTATCGAGGGGCTTTTTGACCCGTTGTATTGGTTAAAGCTTCCTTGTTTGTATGCCACAATAAGCTAGGGAACGATGACGCTTGATTTACAAAAGTAATAGAATCAGGATGATGGTACCCAATGATAGTGCTTCATTGTTGTGATCACGATGAAGGGGAGGGTCAAACAAATATCGGATGGAACATGTCCAATATATGCAAGACAACGCTGCCTCTCAGATAAAACACGTGGCATCTCTAATTTGTTCCATGTGTCAATCTTTATTACGTCTTCTTGGCATTATCAATGCTATCATTATAGTATAGCAAATAAGGGAGAGGGAGAGCGATAGATATGAAGGGAGTAGGAGAGTAGCAATGAATGATAAAAGGAATCTTATGCTTCTTGTTGAGGAGTGGATTGATAGACAGCAGATCCGATCATGGTGGCACAACAGAGCAAGTTGTGTTCAAACAACCCAAGATGGCATTATAGGTTGCAAGGGCGAAATGCAGGTGATGATGAATACTCCCTCCCATGACCATTCGGCTATAAATGTGTCTGTATTCAATGATTGGTTTATATCAAAGGATGAAATGTATGCGAGGAGGAGGAGGAGAGCATTGGACTAAAGCAGCTCAACTCAGCGATATTTTTGGGACGGCAGCTAGCCATTTATCCTTTCTACGTCTTTCTTTCACAGTTTACTATTACACACTATGGCTTTCCGTGATAAGTGTTGCTTCTGCATTAGCCTAAAGTAAGTCCATTACAACCCAATTGCCGAGCTCAATCAACTCATCAGTGTCATATGAAGAACGGGCACCTTGCTTCTTGCTATTCTTGGCACCATTTCCCATTTCTATGGAGCCATTACTCTTACTGCACTTTCCGACGAACTCAAGAATGTTGATGGTGGCACAGTCTTTGGTTTGACAATGTACTCATATCTCTCTGGATTTGCTTGTCTTGCTGGTGCTATTGGTGTCGTAAAGGTAAGGGTTGCTTTTACATGCCTTTTTCTATAGTAGTGTTTGCTGAGTTATGCAATGTGTTCTTCTTCTTTACCCGCAGCACAATGCCAAGCACCTTCGTCTATTCTCATCATTCTATTGGATCGATCTTGCTCTTCACATGTTGTTCTCAGTGGCAAGTGCCTACTTGCTATTCAGCATGCACACCGAAATCTGCGAGCAAGTTGTACGAGAAGCGCCCAATGATGAACCCATGGATATGGAATCTTGCGAATCCGTTTACAGTGCTAGCGCATGGTTAGTCACTCTCGCCATGGCCATCAACATGCTTATCAAGGTATTTCATCTCGATAAAACAAGGTGGGAGGAGTCGAGAGATTGTATTCACACACTCGTATTTTATAGCTCCATTTTGCTTTTGCCATCCATCGTTACACCAATGTCGTTAAGCGAGAGCAGGAACAAGAGGAGAATTGGGATGCCCACGTTGTTGTTGCTGCCCCTCCACCCGTTTACGAGCCTTCCGATAAGAAAGAGTTTATCTTTGTTGCCGGCAAGGAATATATTCCCGACGAGAAGCAGACACCTGCCAACAACAACAATCAATCTTAAATCAACATCTCCATGATGATATTGTTCTTTGTTCTCCCCCCATCACCCATGATGAACGATGTACCATCACCTCATCCAATAAAAAAACGACTGTAGATTGTCTTTACCGTCAATCACCCGTATGACTGAAATTAGATCAAAGGAGTGGATTGTTGATCACCGGTTTATGCATGAACGCTATTGGAAGCTTGTAATTATCTTGTTGTGTGCCCTTTCTCCTCTCTCTGTCTCTCTCGCTTTCTCTTTTCAACGTCGTTCTCCGCCACTGTGATTGATATGCCTTACACCCGAGCGATTGGATCAATCCCACTTCTCTTGCCGTCTAACCCTATATGACTCAGCCATCTGGTGACACCAAGGATGTCCTCCGTTGCTACATAACACACCGCTGGTACAGAAAAAGCTTACTATAAAAACGTTGGGTTGATTTTCATTGTACCTTGGATAAACCACGTAGAAAATGAGATGCCGTTGTTGTTGTGGCCCTGATACAAGGTAAGCATTGCATACCATAGCCTCCTCCTCTTACTCATGGTGGCATACAAGAAAAAACATCGTATTGTTGTTGATAGTATTCAACATCATTTATGATGTTTACGACTACTACATCAAGTTCACCAGCAAACCTTCTGATCCGCTTTACGTATCACTGGTCGACATTTATCCGCTCTTAGCATACAATGTCTGTGGTACGCTAATTTACTTCTATGCGCTCACGGGAGTCATCAAGGTAATGTTACTACTACGACAAGAAGCTAAACCACATACACTCGCTCATGGCACTTTATACATAGTCCAAAGCCCGCCCACTACAGATTCTATGCCTATACTGGGTCATTGAATGCATAAAGAGAGTGCACTTTGCCGTTACATCTTCTCATTTCTTCATTAATCAAGATCATGATGCGTTCTGTAAGGAAGTGGCCGAAAAGCAAGGTGATGAGGTCAATTGCCAAGCGCTCAACGGTCTCATGTGGGCTATGATCATTTTTTCGATCATATGCGACTTGTTCCAGGTAAGTTACATGAAGCTCATCCTTGACAACCATTGCGGTGGCTGATATTTGGTTGCCCAAGATATGCATTACATACATCACATATTGGCACGCTTGCGTCGTGACGCACAAAGAAGATCAAAGCAAATCAACGACATCTTCATCAACATACGCCTCGTCAATTTCAGCAGCCACCAACAAGTTGTTCCTGAGAAACCGCAAAACACGTTCAAAAAAAGCCTTTAGTAGTAGTACCATTGATGAATAAATGGGATTTGATTTGGTGTATATCGTTTGCCTCCATATGTGGATAAACTTTGTATACAACCATTGTCTCAATTTGAGTCAACCGCCGAAGACGCCTTTTTTGGACCACAGGGGTCACACGTTGATGCCGTGAATGGGATTCAAAAGATATGATGTAGCCGGAAGAGGTCGACAGCTACCACGAATACGGGACCAGTGATGAGTCAAATTGTTATACCACTCGCATGATACTGCACGCTGTTTGTGGCTAGTCCCAATACAAGCACAGGGCATCAGTGCATGAAAGCTATCAACAAGCTCCGACATTAAGCGCCACCGATGAGAGGTGTCCCATTGTCAAGCGACCGTTTAACAGTGAATTCGTTAAACGATATTGGCTGGAATGTAGTAATGGTTAACTAAGATCTGAAAAAAACCAGAGTACAATGACATTGGGATCAAAACAATCAGAAGGCGAATACCTAAAAAGGACTTTCTTGCGGTCTTTGTGTGTTTGACCGAGGCCTTTGGCCGAGGAAACCTATCCATATCCTTGGTAAACGTGAGGACTTGGATGAGGCGTGCCACATGTTGCGCCGAAACATGTTCGCCACAGTATTAACAACCATAGGATCAACATTATTTGCCTACTGGCCATCCTTTCAAAATGCATATGGAGTACATACTTGATTCAAAAAGAAGCAGCAGGTGTACGTTGTTAATTTCCCACAACAAAGCTTTTTGGCATAACCTGGTGATTGAGAATGGAAGCACCAAAATTTGACTCAAAACCAATTTTGGGTGCCACTGCTTTCCGTTGTCACACATGAATGCTGAGCCATATAAATACGGACAATGGATTTTGTTGTGTGCTTACTTTGTTCTCTATTCTTTCATACTTGCAAACAAATCCTTGATTAACCATGGCCAGACCAACATGCTGCTGTTGCATCAGCCTAAGGTAGGCATCACTACGTTCCTTAATACTTGCCATGGAATGGATTTTTGACTACGAGATCATGGTTTATAGAACAGGTGCGCTTATTGTGGCCGCCCTATGCGTCATCGGTGATGGGCTTAGCTTGCTTTTCAGCGTATTCTCGCATTGGGAGAGCCCCGTTGGAGATCCGATTCCATTCCTCGGCCACCTTTTAAAAGTGCTATACATGTGCCTCGCCGTTTGCTTATCGGTCGTGGGCTTCATTGGAGCTCGCAAGGTGTGTGGCTCGTTGCATCATGATGATTGGTTTCTCGATCAACTAACCTCCCTCTTTTTTGATTTAGCGCAATGCCAAGCTATTACAGATCTTCACCATCTTCCTCATCTTTGACTTTTTGTTGAACTTGGCTGTTCTCATCATTGGGGTAGCAATGGCCGAAGACATCTTTAAAGATATCATTTGCCCGAATGAAGACGTAACCACGCTTGATGGTAATGATCAATGCATACCAAATGCTACCTTTATCTGGATTGCTGTCATTTCCTTACTGGTGGGATTCTCACTTCACGTAAGTTAATTGTATGCATGTTCTCGAAAACATGCAAAAAGGAAGCTCGCTTCGTTGCTCATTGATTATTTATGCAACGACCATAGTTGTATTGTATTTACGTTATTTATCGTTACACATCCATGGTCACATGGTGTGAGAGCGAAGAGTCCCAAGCCCTATTACTGCCATCCGACGAGCAAGAACATACAACGAAGGGGTTGTCGAAAAAGATTGACCGCTTTTTCATTAAGAAAGCTGAATCATCGGAAACAGCATAACGAGCTCTTTCATATACCTCACATAATCCCCAATCCAGAATTCCCCTTTCTAAAGTGTGTCACGAAATGCCAAAGTTAGCATTGTGCATTGTAACTTATTTACGTAAGCATCACTTTCTAATAAATGGCTATCCCTTTCTCGAAAACAATGACAATGCATCATTGTATTAACACTTAGCAATGTACCAAAAGAGGTGTTTATATCCTGTTATGTCTGCTATTATGATTATAAGACCGCCGCCTATCATACAACAATGACATGTAGCAAACAGATACTCAGCCTCGTGTGGCGGAGACGTCATTTATTATCGTACAAAAGTAGTACTGAATACAAGAAGAGGTCAATCTAGAATCCTTATTTTGAAAACTATAAAAGCAGCATGATGGCAGCTTGATCATCACCCCCACCACTATCTCATTACGGTTACTAATATAACATGACGGGCGAGAATACTACCCCAAACCAGGAATCTGGTTATGACTTTAAATATGGACGTCGTTTCCACACTCAATCAAGCACCGTTATCCCCGATGATAAGCAAGGTTAGTTGACCATCGTACCTAATGACAATCAGCAGCAGTAGAAGGTGCAAGTATTAAATGCTTTCCTCACGCATAGAACAAGACCGCATTAGTGGGCAGCATCTCATGATCAAAAAGATGCTTGGAGGCAAGCTATTTGAATCTCCCGTAGCCGACATCCTTGAGAGTGGTACCAACGTGCTCGATAGTGGATGTGGTAAGATAACACTGCTATCAGCGAAATAATGACCATTCATAATAACGCTTACACTATCCTTGTTAAAAACTAGGACCTGGTGCTTGGCTCCTCGACATGGCAACCACTTATCCACAATCAAAATACTATGGTATTGATATTGCCAAGGATCAATTCCCTGCACAGTGGCCCTCCAATGCCAATTTTACCATGTTGGACATCACACAGTTGGCAGATCACTTTCCTAGCAACCATTTTGGCTTTGTATACCAACGCCTTGTGGCATGGGGTATCAAGGATTGGGATAAGGTACGGCATTAATAACGAGATCCTGTAGCATAATCCATTAACCCAGCAAGCAGAATGTTGATGCCCATATGCAAATCGTGGAACCAAATGGGTGGATGGAATTTATCGAGGTACATATAGTTGCATGTTAGGGATGTACAAAAGATCGCTAATAACCATGCATGTATCTGTAGACTGTGATTGTTCCAGAATACTGCGTCAACATGGGTCCCAAGATGACCGCCTTTATCAATACATGTATGTAAAAAAAAGCATAGTTTATATATGATGGATGTCCCTTCTTACATGCGAGATTAGTATTACAAGGAATCAAAGAGAAACAACTGGATCTTGCAATTGGAGCCAAGCTTCAAGATAAACTTGCATCTGCGGGTGCTATCAACATCGAAGTACGTAAGTCTCATCTACCACTTAACCATAGCGGTGAACCTGGCATACGTACCTGGTAAGTTATTCGTAGCATACATGATGATGATCATCCTCAAGCTTACGAGTGCCTTCGATGATAGGGCAAACATCAGCATGTTCCTTGCAAGTCTTCGCCCAGGCTTCGTTAAAGGAGATGATCGATTTGAAGACAAGGCTTACTTCGATGAATACCTAGCCGAATGTGGAGAGGAATGCAAGGAATTTCAAACTTGCTTTGTCACATATCGTATATCTGCCCAGAAACCAGACACCACCACACGCAATTAAGCAATAAAATAAGGCTTGATACAATAGCTTTTCTTACATGCATGCCAAAGCAGTAGCATAGACGTGATAGTATGGCTGAACGTAGCCCAAATCCAATCTTTACGATGGAGCGGGTGATGTCATCCGATTTGAGTCATGATGCTGAATCGTGAGCTCGAGCTTTTCTAAGCGAACACACGTGTCATAATAGCATTCTGATGCTCTTTAACAATCATCTATAGTTTTTTCAAGCATGATACTTGACCATGGATATGCCTATTTACTCCTCTTCATATGTCCCTTGATCCTGCATTAAAGGCTGTATGCTGTCAAGGATGGCAGTGGCTGCATGGCGGAGTTGAAAGAGAAAATTTTTAAAAGGTCTGCTGTCTGCAATTGTTGATCAACGTGCCCTTTTCTTCCTTTCATCTCTAAACAAATCGTAAGTGATCCTTTACATCCCAAGCAAATGGGGGATGGATATCGAGATGATGTTTCTTTATGAATTTCTTCACATGATCCACATGATTCAATTTGACGCCTGATCGATATTCATGTTCTTCAAATGCATGCTGCTTTTCTTCTCAATGACAAGGTGCTGACCCTTACTTTGTTACGTGTAGGTTATTGTCAGCAAGGCAGTAGATTGATGTTAAACAAATAAAGGAGAATCCTTTTTTATTTTTTGAGAAATGACATGTGCGTGTGTTGTGTGTGCATCAAGAAAAGAAACAAACTTTGCAACTTTATGCTCCAAGGGTGGGGAATGCGTTTGCATCCGAAAGATTGACGTTAGCAAACTCACGACCTCCACGTCCACGACCTCCACGTCCACCACGTCCACGTCCACCACGACCTCCACGTCCACCTCGTCGTTCACCACCACGACCAGCTGGTCGATGTGGAGGATGTTCGATTGGCAAAAACACCTTTTCTTTCTTTGCCTTGCTCTTCTTTTGGGATTCCTTTTCCTACCATAAACGTGTTAATATGAAAAAGTCACCAATTACATCATGCCCTTTTTACCTTGGAAGAAGTAAAGAAGTAAGCGTCATCCTCTTTGGAACGGCTAAGCGGCACAGCATTCTTCCATTGTGATTCATCAGTACCCTCGTTGGCAGGACGGGCATTTAAGCGTCTGAAACGTTCTTCCAAACCAGGCTCTTCAGATTTGTATTCGTCCAACGTCTTGTAATTGGGTTCCGCAGGTGTGGCGGTACCCGATCCACCACCAGTGCCTTCACCAGCTGGATCATCAGCAGTAGGCATGTCACTTTCACTACCAAAAAGTTGAGGATGTTAATTTAGCAATGGCGTTTGCATGGCAACGTCATATTAAAAAACACATACGCATCTTCTTGAGCTGTCTCAGCGTGACCCCAACCTTGATTGATCTTCTTTTCGCTATCCCTATATATCGATCATTCGCGTTAATTGCTGTTGTCGTTAAGGATGAATGCGTTGCTATGATACCATACACAAAGCCGGTGCCACTGTGGCGATCAAATTTTCTGCCACGACGAGGTCGTTCATCAGTGCGATTAGAAAAGGCTGGTCCACCCGATTGTTGGCTGCCAGTGTCAAGTGCGTCACCACCACCACTACCAGCTTCACGATCACGTCCACGTCGAGAGGGAGGTGATACTACGTGTCATACATACATGCATATGAGCATGTTTTATAGGTGTCAAACATACACATTCTTACCAGCAACACGAGTGTGTGGTTTGCGATTCATCGCTTCACGGCGCGTACGTGGCGGCTCTTCTGATTTTTTAAGAGGTTTGGTGTTGCCGAGCTTATCCGTTTCGCCTTCTTCACCACCCAACAAGGCGTCGAAGCGGTTGCTCGAAAATGTAGACATAACGGCAAAAGCAAGCGAGTGAGTAAAAGCACAAAAGTATGTGTGCGTGTGTGAGAAAAAGAAGGAAGAGAGAAAAAAAAGCAAAACCAAACATTAACAACAACATGGGCTTTTACACTAAAATTCCGCTTATAGTCGCGTGATATCACTTTCATGCAGCAACAAGGCAGCACCAAAGGACTAAAGATGGTAGGCAGCTAAGCTGTCTTTTATTTATTCCTTGCTGTCTTTTTCGACATCATAGTGAATAGAGGGCCTACGGGAGAGAGGATCATCTTCATCGCCTTGTGCAAGGGAACGACCAGTGGTTTCTGGCAAGCAGAATGTCATGAAGATGAAACCGATAAAGTTGATCACGACAAACACAAGGAAAGCGTAAGTATCGGCACCAGCATCGATGTAAGGCCAAAGGATGTTGACTATATAACAAACGATGGTCAGCTACAAATAAGACAAACATGTGTGCGTTGACTTCAATGACTTACCCAAAAAGTTCATGAGCCAATTGCCAGCGTTGCCGAGAGCAGAACCAGCTGCAAGAGCCTTCAATGGCAATAACTCGGGTGCAAGAAGCCATGGGATAACACCACAGCCAGTGCTGTAAGTCAACGAGAAGAGCAAAGCTAAAAAGAATAAATGTCTTAGATACATCATCATTGAGAAACATGGTGAGCTATAATAATTACCTCCAACAATGATCATTGGACCCATTTGTTCGGTGGTGCCGACATTAGAAGCAATGACAATAAAGGTACAACCAATACATTGGCCGAGAGTAGAGATCATCATGTAACCCTTACGACCAACCTTGTGGATGGTGAAGATACAAATAAGGGTAGCAACAATGTTGGCAGAAGCTTGAGCCAACACAACGTCCGTTGCGAGTACGCTGTCACCACCAAAGGCCTTGGTCAAGAAACCAACAGAGTAAACGGACATGGGACCAATACCACCAACTTGGTTGTACATTTGGACGACGATAACGATAACGGTGTTCCATGTAATCTTCTTGTTCTTCCAGGAGATGACTTCCCAGATAGACATGCCTTCAACCTTGACGGCAAGACTGCTAAGGAGGATCTCAAGTTCTTCTTCAATATCGGTATGATTACGCAACTTGTCAAGAGCATAGCGAGCCTTTTCTTGTTGTTGATCGGCACACAAACGACGAGGAGATTCGACAACGGTGAAGATGATAAAGACGATTTGAAGGGCGGCAATGATAGAGGGGATGGCCCAAAGCACACGCCACACGGGGTTGTAGCTCATATATAAACCGCATACTTGGGCAAGCAAGATACCCAAATTGAGGAAGACTTCAAAGAAGGAGCCCAAAGCACCACGACTCTTGTTGGTCGAGATTTCGGAAATGTAAATGGCAACGGATGAACCGGACATACCACAGCCAAGACCAACAAAGGCACGACCAAAAGAATACTACGACATTTGTTAGATGACCACGTGATGTAAATGTTAAAGATGGATGACATACCATGACAGGGTTAATGGATGTAGCTGATAAGATACCGCCAATGACATTCCATACAGCGGCAATAAGCATACAAGTCCTTCGAGGAAAATATACATTGAGGTATTTGCTAGCGAGGCCACCCACCAGACCTCCAATTGGGTATGCGGCAACAGTATAACCCTATAGTAGGGATGATTAGAAGATGATGGTGATGATGATGCCGAATACAATGAACATACCCATGTGAAATCTGACATGGGAAGACAAGGAGGGAGTGCTGAATCACCATTATCGGTGATGTCCTGACATCCCGCAATGGTGGTTTGTGGCATGTTTGGAACGCCTGATAGAATTGTTCAATACCAAGCAAATTTTATGATGATAGGCTTTTTGATGATATACCGATGTGCCATCCAACGTTGAAGCCGGCGATGGACGCAATAAACGCGCACCACACCATGTAGTATGTGATATTGATTTCGTGCGATTTCGTTTGAGTGGATATGGATGACATTATGATACACAGTATATGGTATATGTCAAAAGAGAGTAAAGGGGGATGGGTCGAAAAAGGTGAAAGGCGGTGGACAATGAGCCAAAGAAGAGGAACAGGAACAAAAAACTTTTGAAATAAAGGTGAGTCCTTTTAATTTGATAGCTTTGTGAAAGTTGCGCAAAGGATCGTTCCCCTCCCCCCATCTTAGTGTGATTCGTTCAGGCCAAAGCTGGCTCTTTACCGGAGCACAAAATAGTCAAAAATACATCATGCCCTACGTAAGCAGAAATATAAGAGTAAACGATAGCTTTGAGTAGTAACAATAGCCAATCATTGCATGTATATGTGTTTTTCTCGGTATAATTACCATAGGTTACTGCATATGATTCTCATGATTGTTACGTGAGATCGACCGTGCCACCCCCTCTAAGTAAAAAATCTGCAACACATACACTCTCCTACTGCATCCAATATCCGACTCTCATAAACCGCCATTAGCGTCGGCTAAAACATGTCTGAGAACTCGGATATTTCATGCGATGCGAGACAATTTACCCCCAATAGGCGGTGGGTCACCCTGTTGCTCATGACATCATGACACAAAGATACAGCTACAACACAACCCTTTCGGATGCAACCCTACCACAATGAAGATGAGACTGCCACAACTACAAATTTGAACGACATATGTTTGAGGCACAAATAGATATAGACAAATGACATGTATGGGAAAAATGAATAGCCTTCCTCCCCCCTTGTTCTTTAGTCATTCAATCACATTACGATTAGCTGTATCACCAACACCGACTTTTACATGTTGTGTGAGTCTCGGCTTAGACAGCCGCGACCGCCAAGAATACAAAACGTTGGACACAATACGAGACATGCCACATGGCTAAATGGTAAAATGAAGGTGCATATGAGCCTAAATGGGTACATGTTTCATTAATCTCATTTATCGATGATGGAGCTTGCAACGTATCTAGATGATGATTGTGCTGCAAGTATACTCATCTCGTATACCTCCCACCATCAAAATCCCAATACATGGATCAAGCCGTGCCAATCATGGTATAATCCCATATACGCAAACAATTGTTGACGGCTTTGGGCATATACGACTTGTATCAAGCCATGACAAGAAAAAATGCCCAAACGTGTACATATGTTTTTTACTCGATACGACTGCTTTTCCACGATCATGCGCCAGCCACTATGGCAACTCGAAGCTCAAAATATACACGCTCAGACCCATATATGGATAGTGGTAACACCGGGCCGACGCATTGATTGGCTTTCGGGGACCGATGCAAAGTGCTTCGTGTGATATAAGATAAACGATATACCTAGACTTTTGGTATATCCCTCCTCGAAATTGTATATGTGCATCTTGGAATTTCCCATGAGCCATGTATTTTGCCCATACTGGTGGATCCTTTTACTTGTTCAGGTATTAATAATGTGGCCTTTATTGTGGATGAAACACACATGACCCAGCTATACATTGAAAGGAGTACCCCGCACAGCAAAACAAACGCACGTGTCAGATAACATACATTGCTCATCAAGATGTCCCCTTTGTACTACCTCTTTACTCTTTACCCCGACTACCCCACAAAGAAGTGTAATGGCCGCACACGCCCGAATTTTTTCCTTTCATGCGTACATCTTGATCTCTCTCATGTCTTACGCACCAATACCAACGCTGCTTTTCGTTGTACCCGAGGTTGGGTTTTGCCAGATTCCTTCCCACCTGTCATCGTCATTGTGCATTTTTACCACGACTACCAAGTAGAGCCAAGAGCATCGTTTTTGGTGCATTCACAAATACCTCGGCGTTGCTATGAGACATATACCATGGAGATGGAATGCAAAGATCAACATGCCAACCTGTAATGATTCATTTAATTGTTTATTTGGCTTACAGAACAGCACATGGTTGTCCCATCCCCATCAGGGGTAAGCTCTTTAACTATAATAGCTTAGCAGAGACCATCATTTATCATCATTCCATACTCAGCAGTGATACTTGTTGGACAACAACTCATACAAGTCTGGAATCTTAATGAAAATGAAGAAGGGGTAAACCAAAGTTGTTTGCACCAATATTACGTCTACCGTTACAACGTATTAGAGTAACATGCCCGCGTTAGAAACAAATGATGGCTGATCACGAAGATTTGAAACCGCTTGAAAGCTTGCCCATTACCCAACAGGGCACACTCGTGAGCTTTTTTGTTGTACCTTGCATCATCATCCTCTCCTCACTGACACCATTGTAATACTATAGCGTTGCACCTTCAATGCAAACCCCATTCCAAGCTTTTTCATATATGGATCAATTCGCTGACAATAGACAAGATGGTTTCCTTGCCTCGACCAAAAAGGAGAAATGAACCGGGCACCCCAATATCCGGGAGTATCCATATAAAGTAACGGAAAACGGCCTTATTCAGTAGCCGAAGACGAATAAATCTGCCGTGGAAAAGTTGGGGGAGGGTTATTGATGAGGAGGCGATGGAAAAACGATGTCATTTTCAAGATCAACGTTGTGTCTCCTGGGTAGCATGATCGATTGTAGTACTGCACTAAGATGCTTTAACAGTGAAAATGGCGTTTTAGCTGCATTCTTCCCTTCCATTTAATTGAATCTTATCAATTTTGCACAACTTGACCCTATTACTTTTCGATGCATAGGATGTCATTAGCCTGGGTTTTCATGAGAAGATACGATGATGATGAGGTTAATAAACGAGAAACTGATGAGATGGTGGACCTGATAGTTTTTCCATCACATCACCTTTTTCCTACATTTGCCATATGACCGATGGGCGGGGCCGTAACCGATTTTCTTGCTCATAGGGCGGAGAGCCAACGTTCTTGATGATCAGATCAAAGCCGATTGATACACATGCATCCTCCCACCATCCTCAACAACGCTTATCTCACCTCAGATGGGCAAAGCTTGAATGGATCTACACTCCGAGCTGTATGTTTTATCATCTCAACCACCACCACCAAAAGCTATTGATGCATCCAATATGAATACACGACAGCTGTGTATCACCTGTCTATTAGTAAAACGACGCCGCTCAGCGTTGTTCTACAATCAAAAGGGTCACGTGAAGCACAACGCTCCGCACCGACATTTCACCTTTCTTTTTAGTGCATGCTTCTAAAAACATCTTTTATTCAAACCAAATGTCTACTTGCTTGCGTGAATGTTCGAGACAATCCATGATTCTTCTAGGTGATGTTGTTTATTCCGATTGCCATGGCAACTATCCATCCACACCTTGTCGACAAAAGTCAGCCACTTTCCGATTGTTCTCACACTCGATGGATGGGGAATGAATTCTCAAGGCGGTCTCAGAGCTTAACAAAAGAGACATTCTATAATTCTTGTTTCCGGTAGAGAGAGAGCGTGTATATCCGAATGGTGTGAAATCGATGCTCCAAATACATGTCAAGATGTCTTTGATCCCTTAAAGATATGATCTAATACCTGGGGGAGGGACTCAACTCCAACAATGATATCTCTTCCGGTCGCATTACAGCATTTGCCCATCAACACCTTTGCTGGTAAGATCCGATCGATATACCCAGAAATGACCTTTGAATAACATGCCCCATTGTTTGAATTTTACCCCATACGTAAGAAAACCAAAGAGGTCGCTTGTCAAAGCTTCTGTATCAAGATTCAGAGCTTAAACGAGAAGGTGTAACAATGGAATGTTTCCTAGCAACCCCAACACAAGGAACCCGACACCAATCATCCGCGGGTGATCATGCCAAACAACAATCCACGTTTCATTGTGTGTGTATGTAAATAATACGATGCTGCTAGTTGTCTTCTACGTAGCCGATATCTGGTTGAATGTCAAGGAAAATGCTTGCATCGGCATTGGAAGTGCTGAGAGTAAGATGTCCATTGCCTCCACCCATACGACTGCCTTGCTTCATGGAAGGTTCATCAATATCCAAATCCACACGATTCCAAGCGTCCTGTACAATGGCCTGATTGTGTGAGCTTGTGCTCACTTGAATGGTCCCTGCAAAGTAGGTCGTCTAATCATACATCACAATGAGAATCCTATGCTATGCTTCATTGTCCTCATTTCATCCTCCTTACCACATGAGCAGTGATGGGACCATTGCTAGTAGTCAATTCCACATTTGGCTCTACCACCTCTTCCACCTGAACATTGATGCGATCATTGGATGTCCTTGCTGTGATATGTGGAGCAACGGCATGATTAAGTTGAATCCAGCCGTTTGATGTCGTTACGTCTAAATGGCGTGATTTGACGGTATCAAGATGCACTTCAGCGTTGGATGTCTCTGCTGAGATGCGGGAATCGGCTTGAAGGGAACCAGAGACATGAATAGCACCATCACTTGCTTTGAGATCGATTGTATTTCTTGACATGATACTTCCCACCCTGATAGCGCCACCAGTGGTCTTCATGTGTGCATTATCACTTGTCACAATGGGCCCAGCAGTATTGATTTCGCCATGTTCTGTTTCCAATTCGAGTCGTTCACCAAACCACCCTCCTTGCATTCGAATCATAGCATTGATCGTTTTGATGTCCAACCAATCCATGCCATCCAAAGCATCAACCACATCCACTACCACGTTGCTACCTTCCACATGGATCTCTTCAGAGCGTTCAGGCACCCAAATATCCATTTCGATTTCAAGACAATCGTGGTGCTGTGGCATGACTGACATGGCGGGAAAGCGTAATTCCAATTGGGTATTCTCTCCAGGATGTAATTCGTATTCAAGCGCATCCAACAAAGTGGGTGAATTGGTGCGTACGCGTGTCTCGATCGATCCTTTTCGGCTTCCACGATGCACATTGATTTTGCCACCTGTCACGTGTCCTTCAATGGTGACCCATGCATTCTTATCCAAAACAATCGATGATGGCAAATCATCCCATACAATGCTGTTGTGACCACGACATACTGCTGCTGATGGTGAATCTCCTCCCCATCCACCCCATGTCAAGATATCGCCATACTTTAAAAAGACGAGCCAAATCAAGATTGCCAAGAACAAGTACTTGCACCATTTTCTCCAACATCCAGGATCGTCATCGTCATCATCATCATCATATCCTCTTGATCGTGGGCCAAATCGAATATGCTGTGCAGAGGGTGAGGGTGATGAATGCATGCTGCTGGCAGTTGCTTGTTGTTCTTGACCATTCTGTGCCCAATCACATGGGATGTCTAGTATAAGGATTCATGTCAATGATGAACATAAAGAAGGATGACGATGAAAGTACGTACGTGGATTAGACCATGAGGGAGTAGCAACGGCATCACGTGATGAATGTGCTGATGGAGGACGTGGTTGACGATCCATATAAGCCTTTGCAGGATCAAGCAAGCCTGCTTGAGCAGCCACAGCACCATAGGTTGGGTATTCTCTTGAAGAAGGTGTTGTTGGAGGTATCGAGGATGCTGGTGGTGCTGAAGGTGCTGCTTCATCGGGTGGTGGATATGCATAAGCTGGTGGTGCTGATGGTGGTGGTGGAGGACCATTCAAGTCGCTTGGTGTTATTTCATCAGGCTTGTGTATAACTGTATCATAAGCTTTGGATGATGATGATGATGGTGGTGGTGGTGGTCGTGCTGCTTGGTCGGATCTGTTACTGCTATCAGGGCCAAGAGAACCGGACGTGTATTCTACCAACGCCAATGTCAGCATGCGTCTTGGACATTGAGATGCTGTCATTGCGTCTACTTACGTGCTTGATTGTAGTAAGCTTTTGGGTTGCTGTAAGACATGGAAAGGAGAGCGCCGGAAACAAGACGGCGAGAGATAAGTTGCAGGAAAAGAAGAGATGTCGGAAATGTGAACTACCAAGAAAACTTGGCATGGTTACACGCACCATTGCCCCTGCTGCAAAGCATACACACAGGAGAGATGTATCTATTTACCTACCAATACAATTGAAACGCCACATGATGATATAATGATGGTGCTGGGCAATAGTAAATCATCGTGGCGAGTGCTATACTATAACCATAATCATAAGAATTGCCGCTATTCTCTTTTGCTATTTCAATCTGCAATTGCGAAAGCATATGACATGCAATCATGAGACATTTGAGGGATGGGAATGGGCGACCAAACAAACAATAGGTTCAAAAGGAGAAATATCAGGGCGAGATCAAAGTTTATATTATATATGTATCTCTTAGTGTGTGTGTGTTTCAACTCATCTTGATGCTCTAGAATATACAATGCATGGATGAAGAAGACATTAACTAGATTAAGACTATCTATAATAAAGCAACAACAAGGGAGATGTCAAGAGTAGGTAAGGGAAAGGGTAAAAAAGTGTATCGCCATCAATGCGGCTTTATGGGTTTCCTTGAAAAGTCCAAGCCATAGAGATATGAGGCCACCATAACAATCATTGCGCCGACAATAAATGGTATCGTTGGCTGAAAGTTGAAGAGATAAAAGCTGATTACACCGGAAACAATAATGGATAAACTTGTTGCAAATCCTTTCAGGATCGAGTCTGCAGAAAATAGAGATAATTTTAGCTTTTGGGATTGCTGCTGCATATCTTATCCCATTCCACACCCCACATACATACCAGCATATTTAACCACAATAGCCACAAGCAAACCTCCCAATGCTTGATTTGCCACCACGACCCAAGTCAACCAGTCATAACCTTGTAGCATGCCTCCTTGTCGTAGAGGTTCCATATCATACACCAGCATGCCCAATAGCGAAAAGAATGCACCAGAGATACCAAGTTGGATATTGCGAACCCACATGGACGTTTCGGATGTTTTGAGGATCTTTTCAAAGTAGCAACCAGCAAATCCAGAAGAGACACAGCTTGTCACCACTGCCAACAAACCAATCCAAGGACTTTGTACTGCACCATCGGCAAGCGGAGGTGGAGCTGAAGAGACGCTTTGTGATTGTACCATGGTGACGCCAATCATGAGTAGGACAAGTGCCAACCACTTGCCCTGGTTCAGTGAACGACCCAACAAGACGATTGAAAAGATGGCTGTCGACAAGATCTTCATTTGATAGGTGACCTGGAAGGTTGCTGCCTCGAGATTACTGAGTGCCACATACAACAAGTTGTTTTGCAATGCATATAAGCTGGATGGAATAAGCATCAATGCCGTATCACGCGGTTTGCCGAGGATCTCTCGTCGCACCATGACAACAAACTTGTGCCAATAGCCTTGTTCATGATACATGACAGCCAAACAAGCTACGATTTTGAGCAGCTCTGCAAGGAAAACGGCACTCGACGCAATATACAAGGGCTGGCCGGGCTTTTGCACGATTCTGGAATACCGCATCATGAGGACAAGAGTGCTGTTTTGAACGACCAAGACAATCAAGGACAGCTGCTTCCGTGTCATGCCAAAGATCAAGGATTCGGTTGCTGTGGAGATGATGTCAGTCAGTCCCATCGCTGCATTTCCGGTTGTTTGGGCACAATTACTTTACGTTTTACGCTGCCATTGGAATGGGCTGTCGGTAGAAGCTCCCTCTTTGTAAACGTCCGCTGGGTATAATAGGCGGACATGCTTGGATGTCTGTGAGGGGAAAAAAGAAAGTGTGGGTAGCTGTGCTGCTATGGCTTCTGTGTGGAGGAGGGAAGAAGAAAGAGAAAAGATTGAAGACCACTTCCTGAAAAAGCTCATTCACTACTCCGAGGTGGGTTTTTGGTTGCACCACCACAACCACCCTCATTAGAACTACTACTTTCAGGCACCACCTATATCCATCACCCTTTCTTTATATACACATACATACATATATACAAGTTGATTCATTGTCATGATGGACCATCATTCATTAAAGAATAACCTTGATTACCCTTTTCTTGATCTGGGTATCCTCTTCCGCGGCTTGTTGATTCCAAAATAGGTTTCCGTAGCGTCCTGCCGATCGTTTGTGCAACTCATGTTTCATATGCATTGGTAACCTTACTTTTGATCTGTTTGTCTTTGGCATTCATCATATCTGAAGAACAAAATACATCATACAGCAAGACTCTTTGGATGCATGCTCACATCTATAACAGGCATGAGGGTATTGGAATAGCGATCATTGAGTTTTGTATACGTGCAAAGAGGATCGATTTCACCAACCTCGATTCATCATCATCATCATCATCATCACGCTTGTCAAATGATAAATAGTAGGCATGATCCATGCAAGTTGACTTTATCTGACGACCATACATGCAGCAATTAATTGCTTGGCAAACAGGTCATCTTCGTTTTTGAATAATAAAATGCTGCTGCTGTCGTGCGTGTAACATCGATGTCTGCTTATTATTGAAACTGCTCACGATGTGGGTCCCTTGGCATTCACCTACATTCAGCAGGGAGTACTACATAGTAGATGTCCTTACTAATGCCACCAGTCTCAAAGCCCAAGATCTCGCCTAGCCATATCTCACGTGTACTTTCAAGCAATAAACTTGGGACTTGACAGTGTAGCATCCTTCCTAGTCACTTTATCATTTTTTATTTGCTCGAGGACATCACATCTTATTATGCAGCTTTTGATATTGAGCTGATTTTGCTGGTGGCGCAAGGGCTCTTTTAGGTAAGAACCCAATAGCGGTCGGGGAGTGATTTTGATTAGGGATCAATGGAGCACAGGCCATGTTACGTTATAGTGATGATTGAATCAAGTTGACATAGGCAAGCGTGTTGATGCCATTGTTAACGTTAATGTTGGATGGGTACCTACTACAATGCCATGATTGCCTCAAATGGAGATGTTAAATTACATACTTTGATGGATCATGGACTCTCATCCACCATTGCCTATTGATGTCTTTTATGAATTCAAAGGAAATACGAGGATTGGATAGTGTCATGGTATCGAATTTGAATCTAGAATACGATATATGTGTAGTCTTTTATTATGATGATGCAGGTATATTGTATGGTGTTTGGGAGGAGGAGGAGGATCATCAATAGACTACTTCCATATCTGCCATTCCGGATTGCCGAGCATCTTCTCGAAATTGCTTCTTTCGTCTTTGCTTCTCCAAGCGTATGGTCTCTGCCTTGTGCTCCGCATACCGTGTTAATAGATAACCAAGACCAGCAATGCTCAATGCAGCTACCGCCACACCAGCTATGAAACATAGATTAGAATGTCGAGCCAATACCATGATCCTCATGCATTGTTTCCACTTACTCATTCCTTTCCAAATTGTTTCCCACCTCACGGCCTCGATTCCAGTGCGTACATCACCAAGTGATACTGTGAGCTTGTTGTTCATTTCTTGGATCTTCATTTCAATGGTCTTGAGCTCCTCACGTCCCTCGTTTTTTCGATTGTTGAGATCCAGCGTGATTTCATTTTTCATGAGTGCAACATCCTCTCGTAGCTTTTGGCCAATAGATTCCACATCCCTTGTCACGGCTGCCATCTCTGCTTGTAGCATATGCGTATCATTCCTCCTCATCGTCTGTACTTCAGTGCGCATTTCTGATAATCCAGCCTTGAATAGATAGGTTTCCTAGGATACCACCGTTTCAGTATCAATGCATGTGCCAAGTAACCATGATACCATCTTACATTATCGAGATCCGAGCGTAGCAAGAGTCTTTGTCTGATAAACGCCGAACTACAATGAGAATAGGGGGGATTAGATACCTCATTGGACAATGTCGCTCATTGTATACTATGTATTTACCTCTCCCTCAGCTTAAATTTGATGCCTTTCATAACAACCTCAGCCTGGGACCGTGTGAAGCCTTGTCTCTCCAACGCTTGTAATAATTGGTATGTATCAAAATGATGTGTGGGTGGTAGTGGCGTCTCGTTCATGCCTTCATAGGAATTGCTGCTGTTGTTGCTGCGAAACGAGGAATGCGAATAGGGCTCTTCAACATGAGTATCGCTTTGTGTTATCGGAACAGGGACTGGTAATGCCAATTCGTCATTCTTGTTGGGTTGCGTGGGTCGTGTTGGAAAAGGAGAAGGAAATGGTCGAGATGTCTCGTCAGTGCCAATGCATCGCTTCCGTATACTTTTTGCAATGAGTGGTCTGTGTGTTCGTCGTGCTGTTGCTGCCGATATCCTTGCAAACATGGGGGTGGATATGGAAGAAAGAGAGTCGTACCACCACCTCCCGCCACCATCAAATTTCCCGCCATGATGCATCCATAATGGTCCCTCCCATCCCCTTCTTTTCTATAGCATCCATTATTATTCAATTATCCCATGAACCATCTCTCTCATATTAGTATCTTTATACTATCTTCATTATGATTTATTAAAGTACTTTAATGATACCAAATGCAACTTTCCGTATTGTTCCGTCGTCACGTGCTACATAGTGTAATGCACAGCAAAGTCATTCCTCTCCACGTGATCACTGTATAGGCTCATAGACAAGTTATGAATGGATTTCTACTGCTCGATGAATGAACATGTGTACGCGACCAACCACGTTGAATTCCATTGCTCTAATTCAAGTCAATCAGGGTCTCAGCTATAATTTGGATTAGAAAGGGATCACTTACTGATACCTTTTATAACCACCCAATGTGAACCTTATGAATGACCCAAAGTATGAGGAACGGCCAGCTCCCATTGTCATACCGGATTTGAACCCCCGCCCCAAAATGGCCCATCCAGCATAACAATTGCAGCATGAACGTTGCAAAAAGTAGTGCCTATTATGCATCATGTTGACTGTGATTTTAACAAGGATGTCTTATCAGTTGCCACGAGCTTAGTAGTGCGGTGAAGAAATTCTTGTATGATAAATGTATAGCCACCATGATAGTGTGTTTCCAATTACAGCAGAAAAGCCTTTTGTAATGGTACCTATGCCCTATCAGGCTTGATTTTTATGACACAGGTCCTTTTTATATTGAGATCATTAGGTCAGAATCAATATCGAATAATGCCCCCAACAAACAAACCAATGTAGAAGGACATGCCATTGTAATGAAGATTTTCTCGTTTGATGAAGAGCCGCTTCTCGTTGGAGGACGACTAGTAGCTGACGTGAGTGATGATAATCCCACGCTTCCCAAATAAGACTGATTGGTGTTGTCACACAAATAACTCTAGGTGCATGGCAAATGTGCATCACTTGCCAGTTCCATTGGAAAACGAATGACACAAAGTGTGAATCAACGTATATTATATTACATCAGCAACAACAATAAAGATAGCATTCGGTACAATTTCATAAATCAAAAGCGGAGGATAATTTTTATATATACGCCGAATCAATAGCATGGAGGGATTGATCTATACAGCATACGTAGCATAGGCAAGAGGAAAGAGAGAAAGAAAAAGAGAGTGAGTGAGTGACAAACACATTCATACATCATACATCACATTTGGTGTGTGATTTCAGGATGTTGTTTCACCAACCCTCCCCACAGGGTAAAGCAAAGAGTGTTAAACTGTCATGTGAAAACGTCGGTTTCTGGGTGCGCAAACAACGGCTACTGCTGCTATCTTTCAGGTACCTTTGCTGCTCCTTTTTAGTCCTTCTCTTCTTTATATCTTTTCTCCACTTTGAATTTTTCCTTCTCCTCCTCTACCAACTTGCCATGGAAACTCTGACTCAGATCGCCCTCAATCCCAAATACCACGATGCCCTCACAATCCTCAAAGGCTTCCGCAATGGCGTTGTCTATGGCACTCGAATCAGATTTCCTCACGCATTGGTGATGGCCTTCCTATTCAAATCCGGATCGTAAGTATAAAGGATCTTGGTGTGTGTGTGTGTGTGTGTATGGTATGGGTGAAGCCAAAAGGGATATTGATTGGACGATGGTTGCTATGCATGTAGTATCCAAGACAAGTTTCGATACATCTTCAAGGCCACCAAGCAACATGCCAAGAACTTGGGTACATTTGCCACCATCTACAAAGCTGCCATGTTTGCATTGAAACGACTGAATGGTAACAAGGAAGCGGATATCCATCCATTCATTGCTGGTCTTCTTGGAGGCTACTATGTGTTTGGTGAGAACAATAGTATCAATCAGCAGGTATGTCAATCATGCATCATCATCAACAAAAAGAGAGAGATGGGTACTTATTGTGTGTTTGTTGTAGATTGTATTGTACATCTTTGCACGTGTGGTGCTTGCAACGGTGAAGATCCCCGTCAAACGGCAAATCATTGATGCGCCTCAACATACATATCCAGTCTTTGCTGCAGTCTGCTGGGGTTTGGTCATGTACCTCTTCAAGCACGATGCTGATACCCTGCAGCCCTCGCTGCGTTCTTCCATGCAATATATCTACAAGGATTCGGATTCGTGGAACTCGCTCCGTACTTTAATATGGCACAACAAATAGACACTATGACACCTCCTCCACCTCCTGCTCCCGTTATTATTCAACATCCAGCATACTTATATAGAGATTTGATACGCGCGCACTCAATCTTTTGTGTATATCTTTTTGTTTATAAGTACATCTCCTTATCTCGATTACAGCACATTCAAACAAAGGACACTTGCCTTATCTCTACGACACCAGAGTAATAATGCTGATGAGAAAGAAGAATGAGAGGATGAACAACATGCATATCGTTGTCGTCAAATCACATACGTTTGAGGAATCCTGTTGTAAACAAGCAAGACATATTTATAACCTGCGGAAGCAACAAATAGACGGTTTCTGTATGGTAAAAGGAGCATAATGGTGCTTGGATTGGTGACATTGTTTGTTGCATAATCTCGTGATGCACAATCAACAATGCTAATGACAAGGGAGAGAAGGAGAATTCATCGTTGCAACAATGATAAAAAGGATGGATAGGAAAGAAAGGGTAAAAGACGAGGTAGATCATCAACTAATTTAGTGTGATGCAGCAGCCTCATTGAATACTGAAATGGAAAAGACCAAGTACAACGGCGTCCAAAAGGAAGCAAAGCCGAGAGAGAGGAAGATGAAGCATCATAGTTTACCTATGCATTGGGTAGACGACGTATCATCCGATGCATCAACATCAACAACAACGAGGGATTATCAAGGTGGGTCTGCGTGCAGTTGGTTGGGATGATGACTTTATGTTTATATATCATGTTGAATTTGTGTACCATAGAAATGGATTCGAAGCACGCGTGTGCATGTGTGTATATATGTGGAACGAACAAAAACCAATATAACGACAACGGGAGAAACCATCACACCACCCATGTGCCCAACGCGCTTCACGCAGCAACTCGTAACTATGACTCCATCAAGCTCTTGGATACGCGTGCATCTGTCATGGATACTCTATCTTTATCGATCCCAAGATTGTTCCTCCTCGTTAAAGGAAATGATAGCAAGGATTACACTACACACAATAATGCTTCACACCAACCATCTTTTGTATGTCCGCAACACTTTTGGGTTTGGGTGAAGCTTCTCTTTGGTTGCCTTCTCTCTTTCTCTCTCTCTCTCTTTTCACCCACTCTTTTTTCTCTTTTCTCCTCCTCCTAATCCTCCCTTCTTCTCCCTCATCTCGTGTCTTTTCCTTTGTAACGTGTACTATGGGTTCTCCAGACTTGCTCCAGCTGGTCACCTCGATCCATTGTCCTGTACACATCAAGGACTACGCTGGGAAGAAGGTTGCCATCGATGGAAACGCATGGTTACTTGAATGTCTTTCAGCATGGGCCATCGATTGGGCAACAGACGACGATTGCAATGGGTGCGTACAGAGTGGTTGACGACGACGACGAGAGTTCCATGACAACTAGGGGGTGGTGGTTGTGGTGGTGGTGTACGCAGAAAAAACTGACGCAGAGAACGATTGGTTGGGTTTCCTAGATACGTCGACATGTTCCTTGAAAAGGTTGCTATGCTTTGCTCACACGACGTGACACCCATCATTGTGTTCCAAGGGAGCGTGTTGCCATGCAATGAAAAAGCAGAGCAAGAACGAAGGCGGTAAATACCTGTGTAGATAGCATCAAATGATCCATTTATTGACATGTCTTGTTTATAGGCAATGTGAGCAAGACAAAGCACAAGGCTTGAAATACTTGGACCAACAAAAACGTGAAGAAGCCGTGAAACATCTGCAAAAGGCAGTGCATGTAACATGGGAAATGATTCAACGAGTAATCAAGGTACACACGCATATATATATCTAATGTTGGGTGATGCTCGTTTTTCCAACTTGGCACTTTTTCCATTCCTAGCGTCTGGACAAGAAAAGGATCAAGCACATCGTGGCACCTTACGAGGTCGATGCACAACTTGCCCATCTCGCACAACGCTCATTCATCGATGCCGTCATCATTGATGCTCACTCCTCGGATCTTGTTTCTTTCGGTTGCGACATGACTCTTTTATTTGATATCGATAGCGACAATCACCATGCAACATCACTGAATCCTGCACGTCTCGGCAAAGCTAAAGAACTCAATCTCAAGGGATGGTCATCAAATGATATTCGTCATTTGTGCCTCCTGTCCGGGGTGCAGTATGCTTTGCCACCACCTGCCGATATCGATCTTAAAGCCGCGTATACCCTGTTGACCAAACACAACCTTGATATGGATGCAGTATGTTCCCTTACTCCTCGTCCTCCTTCACTTTAGACTTTACATCCTCACCGTTTCCATCTTTCTATCTATCTATCTCTTTAGGTGTTTAAGCATTTGGATGATACAAAGTACGAAAACGCTTTCAAGAAACTCGAATCGGAGCGTTTCACTCAGCAAGTGCGCGACCCCAAATCGAAACGTATCCAAGCATTCAGTGACAAGATATCCAACACCAACAACACAGCAACGACAACAACAAAGTCTACTCAAACGCGGGCCGGTTTGGGGAACAAGACCAACACATCATCCTCAACACGATCCAGACCATCTTCAACCATTGCAAAGAGTGATAAGAAGGATAGCAAAGACACATCAGCGGCCAACAAGAAGAGCATTGACCATCTTTTTTCAGCCGACAACAAGGAGAATCTTCCTGTAAGAAAAAAAAAGTGCAATTTAAGTACCCCGTGTTTTCCCCCCGCTTACATGGAATTGTCTTTTTAGCCATGGCTACAACGCCTCAACGACACGCAAGAAGGACCACTCGATCGACCACAACCTCCTCAACCTGTCGTTACCAAGCATGCGTTATCCACCATCCCCACCATTAACAACAACAACAACAAAAAGTTATCGTCAACACCACCACCACCACCAAAATCACAAAAGCAATCCACCACACCTCCACCATCCGCCAACATGACAACAACAACCACTGCACCTTCATCTCCTGTATCCATTTGTCCTACACCAAAAGCATCTCGCAGCCTGGAAATCAAAAAACGCAAGAGCGTGGATGATGAGAATCATGTACCTACTCCAAAGAAACGTGGTTTCTCATCTTTGAAAATGCCTTCTTCAACAACAACATCATCTGCTCGACGATTGGGTCTTTCAGATAATACCAATCAGCGTGTACATCGCTCGCCACCGGTATGAGTTTTTCTCTTTTTTCTTGATCATGGTATGATATTCCCCACACACACACACACACACACAATGACACCCTCTCTATCTCTCTCTTGCTACTGGAAAAAAAAGTGAAAACCCATCCAAAAAACAACACGCATACTTTTATAAGATGTTTTATCTCTTTCCCTCGTACCCATCACTCTCAATACAAACACACACACTCACACACACAACATCCCATATATTATACATATGCTTCTGCTTCGTTTTCTTCTTCTCTTGCCCTGAAAATAAAACCTTTTGTAATGACCTTGCTGTACAAACCATTCAAGATATAGTCTCCATCCATCATTCTCATTCATTCATTGCTCCCACCAAAGTACATCGAGTTGGTAAAAAGTAGCGTTATATTTCAACACGAGATGATATCAAAAACAATATTTACTGGTCCTTGGCCTTGAGCTTTTGAACGAATTCAATGTACTCCTTCTCAGCTTCTTCTTGGCTCTTGCCTAGATAGATAGATAGCATGGACCGTTAACCATTTGCATGGATTATCGTCAACCCTCCTCCCCCTCTTTTTTTTCCCACGTTGTATATCCTGGTGATCCCATTCAACCCAACACACACTTACCCTTGATCTCGTTCCAGGCATCCCACTTGGCCTTGCCCTTAAAGTCAAAAGCACCAGGACGCTCTACACACACATACACATACATACATGTCAGCACGATCCAATCCCTTAATCCTATGACGACTTACCAGTGTTGACATCACCAACGGTAGCTTGCTTATACAAAGCGTAAAGCTTCAAGAGTTCGTCATTGCTGGGCTTGGTCTTGAGTTCTTGGACTTCCTTGGCAGCGGTTTCGAATTCCTGCACACTCAATTGTCAATGGCATTGCTCATTCCAGATGGCGACTCTCGTTCGAGATGATGTAACAGAATGCAAGACACTTACAGCGGAGGGCATGTTTGATAAAGAAAAGAGTAGTAAAGAAAAGAAGAAAAACACACGAGAGCGCGCGCTGCACTTTATCTACGCTTTGGTGTGAGAGGAGATTCTGGACCAGGTCACACAAAAACAACACACGCCCGTTAAAAGTGACCCAATATCCTTGCTCAGTACTTGTTGGGTGATGATGGATTACCCAATAATGGATCATGTACGGCATGACATGCGGTATTTGCTCATCACTTCCATGGTAGCACTAATCGCATTCCAATTTTCATATGATTCCCTATTTCTTTTTCTGGGCGCGCGCGCGGCAAAATGACTCCCGTTCTTACAACAACGTGCTCGCCAACAAGCGGCGCTTGGATCGATCCCTTTTTTCACCTTCCTTCCATCTCATTCCTCATATAAAAGCTCTTCTTGATGTCAAGGGAAACCCATTACGACACAAAGGCAACATGTCAAAGTGACCTATTCATGCGCACGTGCTGTCACTAGGATGCATTTATGTCGTATTCTCCCTCACCCCTTAATTGGAAAGTCGAGTTAGCACAAACGTAATGAAGGGCAAGAAATAAATGGGATGACGTTTAACATCGATAAGCAAGCTGTCATTGGGAATACAACAAGTAAAGAAAGTGGTCAAGAAATCAAGAGGATGGTTTAAGATAAGGATCAGCTTTTATAGTGCAAGGGTCCAAAACTGTGGGGTAGGGATGCTTCACGTGCGAATGATTCTTTTTGTAGTTTTCGCGCTTACTTCATCCCCACTGCAACGTAATAATGACAGGTCGCATAGTTTGCTTTTCTTTGTGTCTTTTTCTCTTTTCCCTTCATTGTAAACGATCATCATGCACGTTGAGCCATTTGAAGTCCCATCATTTTCTCCTGAACAGCTCGCTTTGCTCAAGGACAAACTCAGCAAAACAACGTATCCAAATGAATTACAAGAGGATGTGGGATGGGATTATGGTGCACCCACTTGGGCTGTCGAGCCCGTTGCCAAGGCATGGCTTGAGGATTATGATTGGGAAGTGGCTCGTGCCAAAATGAATCAATGGCACCATTACCATGGCAACCTGCAAGGCATGAAAATTCATTTTATCCATGAGAGATCATCCGATCCAAATGCCATCCCTCTCCTTCTCTTGCATGGTTGGCCATCCACCTTTTATGAATTCCATAATGTGATTGACGATTTACGCGATGGCGCTTTTGGTGGTCAAGTAAGCATTGGATCCATATCCATACACACACACATACATACAGCCGTTGACATTGTATTAGGCCTTTCACGTCATTGTACCAAGTCTTCCTGGTTTTGGATTCTCGGATCCACCCACAGAGCGGGGTTTTGGTGTAGCCAAGAATGCAGCATTGTTGAATGAGCTCATGATCGAACTTGGATACAGCAGCTATTGTACGTTGTCATCATCATCATCATTGTCATTGTATGATTACTAACATGAGGTAGTATTGCAGGGCGGTGACTGGGGTGCCATCATTGGCAAATACATGGCAACACGATACAAGCAAAACTGCAAGGCATTCCATACCGGTCTTCCTTTTTGCTTACCACCACTCCCAACGCCTCGTAACCTTTTATTCCACCCATTCAAAATTGTCAAATTCTTTACCAGTGTGCTGGTTGGCTTTGATCGTGTGTACGGAAAAGGAAAAACGGTGCTTAACGGTGCCACATTTGCCAATGCCGAATGGTACTATGGATGTGGCTATCGTGCTATTCAAGGCACTCGACCTTACACGCTTGCTTATGGATTGACAGATAGCCCATTGGGTCTTATGGGTAAGTAGTAATAACAACAGCTTTTGTATGCTGAGGTCACGTGAATAGGTGATCAAGGCAGCAGCAGCAGCATCAGCACCCCACGTTTAAAAAACAATGCATTGATTGGTTCCCTTTTATATAGCATGGATGCTTGAAAAGTACCATGAATGGACATACCATCCTGCGGAAAAGCAGGATATCGAGGCGTTGCCCTCCACCATTTCAACACATGACTTTTTGACCCAAGTCTCTATTTATTACTTGACCAACACCATGTCATCCTCGATTCGTATCTATTACGAATGCCTTCATCAACATGAAATGTTCAAAGTGGTCATCCCTCGGGTCGAAGTACCTGTTGCCGTCTCGGCGTTTGCTCATGATATTTCCAAGGTAGGGATAATAATGCATGCATGAGATCCTTGTTGTTCTCCTTTTTTGGATGACCTCCCCCTGGATGCTAAGAAAAGCACATTTTAGCTGCCACAAGATTGGCTTGAAGCAGCCACCAACCTCCATCAATTCTCTGAATACGAATCGGTAAGTGGGATTTTACATGTGCTCTTGTGCTTGTGTAACGCTATAGAGATTGCTTATATGGTAACAAACATCATAGGGTGGTCATTTTCCAGCCATGGAAGAAGGTGAACAGCTGACCAAGGACATCCAGCGTTTTGGAAAGTTGCTTCGTAACAAGAGCATTCTTTGATGATATCGTGACCCCACCTCCCTGTCGCCGCCCTCCATCACTTTGACCCCCTGATATGCATATCCATTTCTGTAATTTTGGTCCCCATCCAATACAATCAACCCACGCGCATTGCTTATCATCATCAGCCAGCCACGGTAGACCAAATTCCGATCTGCAATAAAAGATGCGGCTATTTAAGCTTTCTGCAAGTTTGGGGATGCTCTCTCTTTATGGTCATTCATGCAGCATCTCATTGCAAAGGATATCATATGGACCTCCTCCTTATATGCATGCATTGATGCTGTTGCTGCTGCAGTAGCTTTTGAATACATTGCAAGAAATTCGACCACACCTTTTTTACTTCAAAGCCCCAATCCCCATAATTGGAGGGATCCGTGTTGTAAGATACACACACGCACAAGACACATAAATGGACAAGAAAACTGCGCCTCACACACAATTGTGTGAAAGGCAAAAAAGAAAAAAAAAAGACATTGGATTGGATTATACAAAAGAAAAGGAAGAAGCGACGTACATACAATGTTTTCAGAATGATGCAAAAAGTAGAAGAAATGTGTGAATGAGAAGAGAGTGAGAGAGTGAGATATGATGCAAGGGGACAAGAACACGGAGATCAAGGTTTTCGACGGAGGCCAAGAGGGGCTGTTTGTTGAAAGAGGTATAGGGTACTAATCAAGATGCCAACATATATGCAAAAGAAAAAAGATATACTTGTAGGATGATGCAACATGGGGAGGTGGGTATGGTATGAGAGTAAAAAAGAAAAAGTGATATCAAGAACACAACTTTAGCTCGGCCGCGATTTCATCCTTGGAATAACCTGTCTGGACCAAATGTTTGACAAGATCAGCTCTTGCACGGACCCGCCGCGTTTTTTCTTGTTCTTGTGCGAGCACCATGGCCTCGTGATGATGTCGCCGCTTCACACCATGGTGATGATAATAATACGGGTATGCTATTCCGGATGCTGATGATGACTCATGATGATGGATAGGATGGCGTGTAGTCGTCGTCGTTGTTGTTGTAGGTGGTGAACTCGGCACGTATTCGGGAGAAGAAACAGTGGTTGTTTTCTCATTACCAGCAATAGCCGTTGATACAATAAAGGCTCGAGTACATTTTGAAAGTGGGATCACTCGTGCCGTTGTTGCTTTGGCATTTGTTAATGTTGCGTGTGCAGTGGCAGCTGCAAAGGTGGCAGTTGCAACAGCCTGTTGTTGTTGCTCATGGTTGATGTTGGTGGTGGGATGATATGGAAGCATTGAAGAAAGACTAGGAAGTTGCTGTTGTCGTTTTCCTTGATAATGATGATGCTGATCTAATGATTGTTGTTGTTGTTGTTGCTCTTGTTGATCCTGCTTTCGTTGTTCTTTTTCGTCATTGTGGATAATGGATTTGATGGACATAGGCCAACCAACGATATTACTATTATCATGCGTGGTCATGGTGGTCATGGTGGATCGGCTTGAAACACTACCAGCAATGGTGGTCGTCGTCGTGGTGGTTACAGTGGTGGTGGTACCAAAAGCACCATGTAACTCATCCCAGTATGGAAAACGTCTCAAGACCTCTTCTATGTAGAACAATGTACCCAAAAACATCAGTCGGCACAACCTAGAACTCAATTTTCGACCGAAGCACAATCCACATGGACAATATCAACTTACTTTTAACATCAACTTCTTGAGCACCTGCTTTACGCCACTGCGAACCGATCACGTCGTACCACTCCCTTGCTGTTCTATAGTTGCTTTGCAAAGTCGAAATCTTGCTAGCAACGTCTTTGGCAAGGCGATGATGGATACCCGCTTGTTGCATTTGGTCGAGGATCTCTTGCAGCAACATCTTTTTGGGAAGGCGATTATCGCTGTCATCTCGCCACTTGGTCGCATAGTTGGCCGATAACCATTGAACTACGATCTGCATAGAGCTTGGTCCACCATTGACTCCATCCTTGAGCCAGCTTTTATATGGTTTCTTTACATGTTTACGTGGTGAAGGTGATGAATAGGTTGCTGCAGCTGCAGCTGTGGATGCGGATGCTGTTGGTGCCATCGTAGCGATAATATCGATAATGTTGTCTCGAAAAATGGTTGAAAAGCAAGAATAAAAGAGAGAGAGAAATACGAGAAAGAAGGCAATTAAAAGTTGTGAGAGCAATAAAAAAGGAGGGTTGGGCGCAAACAGACATGGTATACAGAAAAAGGGAATGCATTTGTGCTGTGACCCAAATGCAACACCAATGGAGCACATGAGAGCTTTTTTTTTCTGGATGCATACAATTCCCCTCTTTTCACACACTGACTTTCGCACGTTTCCCCAGAACAATCGCTCTATTGCCTTTTGCTCATATTGATGATTCCTACCACGTTTACAACCACCATGTATAAAAGCGACAAAGACGCAAGCGGATAAATGCGTGGTAGTAGTAAAGGATAAAGGAGGTCATGTTGTATCGTCAAGAAGATGGATTCAAGTGTTTGACAAATAATGTACAAGGTCTAGGCCATCCGTGGCACATCCATGGGGAAGGGGAGCCCCTGATCACCCCTTTGTCTTTCCGCAAAAGTTATCCGGCAGCAACAGCAGCATCTCTGAAAGAAGTTGTCAAACATCCAAACTGGGAAATGCAAGCGGAATCCAATATTGTGAGTGAGATTAGTGTTATTGTCAGCTTACTGCTCTCGATCATTATGTCCAAGTCCGCCTTACCCAGCAACACAAAAAAAACTCTTCATTTTTCCTTTCCATTCTTCTTCTCTCTTATTTCTTTCTTTTGATGCCTACCACCACCACACACGCTAGCCCATCATCCAACAACAACAATAGTAGTAGTGCTGCTAGTGTACCTTTGCCACCGCCTTCAGCTCTTTTTGGATCATCTTTGCTTGAACCACCACCTACCTTTCCACCACGCCGCAATAGCATCTTTGAACATCAGCAGCAACAGCAACAGCATTCGGAAACTGTCAACCGACCCGTGTACATTCTACCACCACTATCTGGATATCCTCCTCAACCTCACCCAACCTATGTTTATCATCCACCACCTCCTCCTCCACCATTCCCTATTCATTATCAGCATCATCCCGATTCCCCAGTAACAACACCACCGCCATCATCATCATCATCATCATCATCATCCACACCTGTACACTATTATTATCCACCATCTATTCATACCATCAAGCGAGAAGAGTCGTTGTTGGACAAGAATGTTGTAACACCACCATCGCCTAAAAGTACACCTACGCCAAAGAAACGAAGAAAGACCAACAAAAAAGCAAAAGGTGGATTTGATGAACAAGAAGCTGTGAATGCTGCTGCTGCTACGCTTGCATCATTTGCATCCGCACGTCAACAACATACACCTCCATTAACCGCTGAAGATGACATGTGTTGTGGTGGTGATAAAGAATGTGCTGGACAAGGGTATCTAGCATGTGATCAATGTCAAACGAGCTTTCAACATGCAAAATGCCTTCAACGTCATCGATGGGAACACACGGATGGATGGAAAGAAATTCAGCATCAGTTTGGTATGCCAAAAGGTCAGCAGGTCCAGCTCATGGAGGTAAGGCAAACAAAGTTGAGTGCTGTTGTTGTCAATGTGTCTAAACCTTTATTGTTGTAGGCTGCTCAAATCCTAATGGATATAGCTCGCTGCGGAATGCGTGTTAGCATGGTATGAAAGAAATGATCTCACTTTCCCTTCCCTCCGCCCAACACACACACCTATTAATACATCCTTCATCATCGTCACATCATCATTTGTCCTACATGTAAAACAATTTTTCTTGTAAATGCTACTTCATAACCCTTCTCTCCCCTCCCCCTCCATACATCCCTCAAAAATCCGCCCTTTGTACATTGTATTTGAAAAACACATAAAAAAAGCGCTCCTTGTCACACACATCATTCACCGCTGCCACGTGGCGTCTTTTTGAGTCCGTCCGTCATCATTATTGGTGTTTAATTGGATTGAATATAAAACCGCTACTTGATGAATCGAATCCGTGTACTAGTAGTGTATCAATATCGATGCTGTGATAAAAAGAACAAATGATTCTTGTAAGGATGATGATGATTTCTAGCAGCACAAAATCTAATACAAGATCAGGGCCACATCATACCTGAAGATCCTGCAACATGTCCTGGAACTAGATTCGGTCCCCAATGATGTGTGTGAGTGAGTCATTCCATCATCATCATGTCCCCTTGTTTGGCCCACCACCCCTCATTTACCTTTGACGTTGCTGATTCTGCTAAATCACGTACCGCACCCAAATCAGCCGATGCCTGACCAACAAACTTGCGTGCCATATCCACTGCTTGATCTTGTAATGCATCCCAATCATTTCCATAGGCCGTGTTATCGGATGGCGAGTGTGGTTCTTCACGTCCAAAATATTGATCCGAAGAGATGGCCCGTGCACTTGTGAATTGTGAAAGACGACCTGCTTGCTCAGCTGAAATAGCAGGATCATACTCATTCCTTCCAAAAAACTGATCCGATGAGATGGCCTTGGCATTGCCGAACTTATCCTTGGCTGATTGAGTAGGCAAATCATCATCATTGTTGTTGTCATGATAAGCACGAGTCGAAGAGAACGAGGACATGGATCGATTGCTGCTGCTGCTATTGCCCATGTTCATGCGCGTCATACCAAAACCAAGTTTCTCCATAGCCTCCTCTTTTTCCTGCTCCTTGTTACTTGTTGCCATGTCATCTTGATATGCCAAACGAGACGAGAAGCCACTCTTTGCTGCTGGTGACGATGCTGATGTTGTTTCTTCAGGCTCTGGCTCATCACTGTACCCCAATTTGGCTTTACGCTCACTCTCCTCCTTGGCACGTGCTTCGGCCTCTTCGAAATTGAAATTCACAGGTGCCTTTTTGATACCAAGTTTGCCACTCTTGGCTCCTAATCGTCCTCGATTCGTGCGCATCGTTGTACGAATAGTAGGAGTAGCAGTAGGTGGTGTACGTGGTGTCGTGGTAGTGCGTACTGCTGGAGAAGGTGATGGTTGGGGTGGTGGCGATGATGATGATGATGATGTTTCCTTGGCAGGTTGTTCAGATTTTTTCTCCTCAGGTTCAGGCGTTGTTTTGTTGTCAGATGTAACATCGTTATTGGTTGGCGTGGCAACAGCTTCAGCGACAGGTGGTGGTGGTGATGTTGGCGTATCCATATCATTGCTTGCAGCAGCTGTGTCGGATGTCTGATCGGCTCCCTCATTGATGTCAATCACCACAGTATTTGGATGACTATTATTCAACATGATCCTGTTAGTAAATCGTCCTCTTCATAATGTGGATAAAGAAAAGACGTACGCAATGGCATCATCGGCAGCACGTTTCTCAAGTAATTTCTTGTATTGTTGACCAGCTCTGCTCGTGTATTTGGCCTTTGCATCCTTGCTTGATCCAGTTGTCATGTTTTTGGAAAAGTACTCAGTAGCAGCTTGGTTGCCACCCACTGCCATTAGCCGCAGCTGATCCCAGGTCCATGAGTCGAGTACGGTGGATCTACATTTGCAGGAACAAAGATAAGAAAATCCATGCACGTGCCTACAACCCCATTTCTATTGGTATACATACCTCACAAAGCTAATGTGCACTCCCATGTTCCGATGCGTAGATGAGCAATCCGTACAAAGATAAACACCAAACGATACAGATGACCATGTTGGATTCTTGGAGCTACAGTCAAAGCACACCTATACCCCCAACCATGTCCATGTGTAAGTCGCACTTTTCTTGACCGCAATGCTAACCAATGCCATACCTTGTTGTAGCGATTCTGTTTGAGCTTCTTGAAGACGAGTTGAATTTGTTCCTTTGTTGGTTCAGGCATAATGGAAAGGGAAAGGCGAGGGAAAAGGGAAAGGGTGAGAGAATCGTCGTTGTCGCGCGCCCAAAAATGTCCCCCAGCCAAATTACTTGCCACGTTTTTCGGCGGATCCTCCGGCATGTGTGTGTGGGTGCAATTAACTCCTCCATAATACTTGCATCTTTCAATAAAAGTGCAGTGACATTCAATTGCTTGCGTATTCCCATTCATATTTGTATAGCTGCTTTAGCCTTTATGGATTTGCGTGTGTGCTGAACCCAGTAGGATTACACGTTGTTGTTATTGCATGATGATTGTGTTGGCGTTGTGTGGTGTGAACAATGAACACTATGAACATGATTGATAAAAAGATGATACCATAATAAAAGTACGACGTTTGCATTCATGCAATTGCGAATCAGCGTGCCACGTTACATCAGGTGATATCTTCTCAAGGATTTACCCCGCTTTTTTATGCTATGCATCATGTTGATCGTTTGCTAATACACTAAAACAGCGGCATGATGTATTCTTTTCAACATAGTATGGGTTCTCAAGTAGTATTACGCTAATACCTAGTATACACTGATGGATTAGAATGGAGAAGAGGTCGTCATACGTGAATGAAGAGATGATACGTGCATTTACAAGCAATGACGCTCTCAAGCAAAAGGACATGGATTTTAAAGCAGATGAAGGTAAATTGAACACGTCTACAGGAACCATCGGATATTGGGTCAAACTATTAGAGAGATGAAAATACGGTCATAGCTTGCAATTAATAAGATACACACTAAGAAGGTAAGGAAGGCAAAAATCGACAAGAGAAAAAAACAGCATCATGGGACATACATTGTCGGACCAAAGACACATTAGTTTCTCTTGCATCCATCGTTTTAGCTTGACATGTCCTTATCACATCCATATTCATGGTATGCATATAAGAAAACGTCATATCATATGGATAAACATTACCCAATTTTCTACTATTCTCTTTATTTGCCTGTGTGGCATCCTCAATACGCAAAACAAGATCACGGCATCATCGATCACGTGATTACTAGGCAAAAAAGACCAAAAATGATCATTCTTGACTCTTTTCGAGTCAAGAAGCCCAACGGGGGGCTCGAACCCCCAACCTTGAGATTAAGAGTCTCACGCTCTGCCAATTGAGCTAGCTAGGCCTCCAAATTCGCTTGTTAATTTCGAGTTTGAGCGATTGTATATAAAGCAAACAACTTCCTAATGCAATCAGACAAAAAATCACTGAAATTGCCTCGTGTTTGGGCTCTATCTGTAGCGGATACAATCAGCAATTCAGCGAAAACATTGCGAGTGAATTTGGGGAGGTATGGAAAGCGCAATTTGCGATAAAAGTTGTTTTAGGATCACCATTGGCTAAAAATTGTTAGCAAATCCGCCATCTTCACGAAACTCAGCAGCACGATCTGGTAACGTCAGCACGCTAATCCGTGCAGCATCCTTTATGATTCCTGCAGCCCATTTAAATCACTGCTGTGATGTATACAATAAACGATTATTATAAAGACAAAGGAAAGGTATAGTATGTTTGTTTTATGATAAGGCTCTTACATATCATATGTATTGTATAAGGATCCTACATCATTTATTATATATAGGAGGGCACGATAGGAGAATTCAATCAATAAAAGAGACAAAGAGACGTATCTTCGAGCTGATGTTTACACCAAACCATATCACTACTTATATACTTTACATGCTAATTATTATGTTTCAGGTAACTACGTCATTATCAATTACTCGTATCATCATTGTCGTTATGAAGTATTATTGTCCTCGGTATCATTTCCATATTGCATTATGTCTTAGATATCATATCGACTCGGTGTTTAAAGATGTCATTATATACAGGCAAAGCGACCGATGTTTCCTGCAAGCTTAATTTGGCACTTGGCCTATTGACGTTTACCACAATATACATGGGATGTCATTCACGCACCTCTATTCACCAACACCATTTATCATGTCACTGATACCACAAATTCCATTGATAGCCAAATGCATGTCTTGTATAAATATGTATTGTATTGAAAAGCAATGAACACCTGCGAACGTTGGTAAAGGAATCATAATAAGGTCTAGTTATCTATGCTCAGCGAAATGGTTCATGTGCATCAAGTGCGTCAGCTAATGTCGAGACCATGACGTGGGATGGGATTTCCTTTGATTTAATATCGGCAAGCACGGAAGGAAGCTGAGATTTGCGTATATAGCCAAGCACATAGGCTGTGTTTTTATCTGCCTTCAATCCTGATCGAGGGTCAAGCACATTCTCCACCTTGGCAGGATACACTTTGTCTCCATCAAATTTGTACCTAAATGAATACCATTAGGCACTTTTCACAATCAGGAGTATGCTTTCTTCTCTCCCCCATATCTTCTTACCAGTTATCCTTATCCATCTCTGGTTTTATATACACGTTGTTGACGCCTTGAGCCATGGTACCATCGTGCATGATGACACTAAAGGATTCATCCATTACAATCAAACGTACCACAAAGTGAGATAGCAAATCCTTTTACCTGAATAAAACATATGGATAGGACTCCTTTGAAGACTTGTCGTTCTTTTTGTCGATGTATAATCCCATGTCAAGTTCTTGCGGATAAGAATAGCGGTCATAGACCTGCAATCGTTTATAAGAGTATCAGTGATGAGCTGCCATTTACATCGTTCGTGCTTCATACCTTCTCAAGTGTTCTTGCTTGTGCATTGTATTTCCAGTGTTTCAATTGTAAAAGTAGCACCGATGGAAGAGTCTCGATGGTGAATGATGTCTTGATAGCTTCAACGAAGCTTGCATCCAATGATGCACAACCCACGGTGTTCAATGGAAGAACTAGTTGGCAGCATGATATGTCAGCAGTGATTTCAGGGAATATCCCAAATCTCAAAACCTACCATATTCCTTCTTTGCATAGCCATCCTTTTGCCGAATCGTGGTTTCGAATAAGTTTGGGACAACATTTTCCTATGAAAGTCGTTAATGGTATATGCGAAAACTATAATGCCAACACGACCTTACCTTGAGATACCTTCTTTGCAATGCATCAAGGAGCACGTAGAGAAACTCGACACAGTCATGCGGCATATAAAGGTCAAGAGTCTGCCAACCGAATGCCTTGGTAAGCTCTAAAACAGCTATCATATACCGATGGGTTACATGAACGATCAACAAATCGATTGGATGACTTTGTAACTTACAGACGGAATCCTTGCTATCCTGCATCTGGTAAAACAAGCGTTGCAATGCCAAGGCAATATGACTGGTGGGCTCCAGATTTTCGGTAGGTACAGCATAGACAGCTCTTCGAAAGTCCTTGATGGCAAAAAGAAGCTGTAATATGGAATGGAGGTAGGAGAGGGTGCCTTCACAACGCTTGAATCCAATGTATCCAGTAATGTCACGGGAGATGAAGCTGCATGAATGAGATGAGTTACACACATCAACTTGAATAAATGCATAAACAACATTTACCAGTCATCATCGATCCATAGTAGCCCTGTTGAGTCATCAATGACACGAACAATGGTGCTGATTCTTATCTTTTTCCCATCCTCCAAGAAAGCTTCTCGATTTGTCTCTGGATCACGCGTTGTTGTTTCATTGAGCATCGTATGTCGAGCATAGCCCCAGGTATATGAGTCAGGTGTGAATCGATGTTGTGTGCCTGTAATTAAGAAATTAGAGAACGCATGAATATCAATCATCCTTCGTTTTTATTACCTGAGCTCTTGTAATTGGTTGGATAACGAGGTGTGGACATGCAAAAGACAAATTGAGCACAAGCATGGCCGCCGGGGATCACCCTCTTGGCCTTTGCCTTGGATGATGAACCAGGAGGCGCTTCACTCGATGATGAGCCATCCCACACCAAATAGATCGAAGCATAGTCATCGACGCCGTAATTGTTGTTGCCTCGTGGATGTAATTCGACATACCTGCAAAGTAGTACGACGACCTGTCAATCAATGGATGATCGTGTTGCATTGTTGTTTTCATGCATACATACCATCTATGCCCTCCCACTTCAAATGTTGGTCCATATACCACGTCTGGAAGCTCGTCAAAGTTGTCGACAGTCCAATGCACACACTTGAGCTCGATCGTCTTTTCTTGAGGGGATTCCAGCTTCTCATTGATAATGCGCTCATCTACACAAGGACACAATCAGGACCTGCCTCATGGATGCCAATGCCAAGCACTTACAATCGTCAATCACGGAGAGAGCTGCGGGTGGTGGCTGGTCTAAAGAAGCAGCTGTTTGTTGCGGTGGCTCATAAGGAGGAGGGGCGTCGTCGTGTTCCTACACCACACGCATTATTATACGCTATCATGTGACCACCTTTTCAAGCTACCTCATACAAAGACATTGTCAAGATTACTTTTGAAAGAGAAGGAGACGACCCTTACTCTTGGTCAACGTTCATAACCATGATCGAAAAGTGTGGCGCAGTTTACCATGCTGGATAATGGGTATGTGGATTACTGTAACACGAGATCATTGCGGTAATTTCATAGAGTGCAGTTGCTCGAGGTCGCTTATGACAACTACATTTCAATCCAAAGCTCATTTATTCCTGCAATGGCTAACATCATCATCATCGTCAAGTCGTCAAACAAGAATGCGTAACCGGATAGACGAAGTACGTAGGGGATGCTAATAAGGTTGGATGAAGGTGCCATTATAGAAGGTGGTAGAGAAAAAAGGAGGTTTCCCGGTTGTAAATGAAAATAAACGAAGTATACATGATTACCATTATGCTATATTGAGCGATTGAGAGGTTAAAAGAAGGGCACGGGCCATGTATCATTCATTATCCAGTGCATCAGAGTCACCTTACGCTAAATCCTCAGTAGTGGAGCCAAACAATTTTCTAAAAGGAGAGTGGTACACAGCACGCTGCATCTTTTTCTTTGTTTTTCCACAATGATCACCTTTTGCTCGACTTTGGCACATTCTGTTTCTAGGTGGATGATGCTAATGAGTCGGTTTATTATTGCAAGAGGATCATTAGATTGAAAGCAAGTATCTAGTACAGGACCCATTTATGACAAAAGAACTAGGCTGAGTGGGTAGTATACATGATGCACATACATATCCAATAAACAACTCTTTTCTCTTCCAATTTATTCCTTTACCACGCTCTATAATACAATACATACACGCATATACCATGGACACATCCAAATCTAGTAACGTCAAGGAGACGCTTGATAGCAAGTATTATTCCATTGCAGCTAGATGAGGTGACCAATGTTATACTGACATGGATACAAAAAAAGTTCTGCTTGAAATGGCGACGATGCTCAACACGGGGCTTGATCGCGACACAATGGCACTGTGCGTTTCAATGTGCGAACGAGGCGTCAATCCAGAAGCCTTAGCAGTGAGTAACACAATAGGGTGGATGATAGAAAAGGATGGAAGGTTGATATACCAAGCAACATAGAACGTGATCAAGGAGCTTCGACAACAGCAAGCACGCCTACGCTAAGTACGATGATGAAGACTGGCGTCATACCCACCCAAGATGAGACGAGTGTCTAGAGCCCCAATTCTCCCCCATTTGTAACAAGGAATAACGATTTACCAGCAAAAGAGACCCAATGTTCTTATATCATGTGGTATGGAATTTGCAAATCGGATGCTTTGCATGTGTGGTACAATGATGGGTCATGGATTATACGCTCGTGCTTGGGGGATTGTCCAGCGATCTGATGATGGGAACACAAGGAAGGCGTGGTGGATGCTGGTGAATGGGTGGATGCTTACCAAAAAGACCAGAATAGTAAATAGTCGTGGATCGGGAAATGTTAGCTTGAGCTCAGCGAACGAGTGGAGTGAGATCGGAAAAGACGGGTGGTGAACGGTTGATGTTATATGCGTTTTATCATCGTGGAGGAGTAGCAGCTGTAGTCATCATAGCAACCCTGTACTTGAGATGGTTTCATTCATACAACTATAAAGTGTCCCATTCGCTGTCATTTTTTCATTACATTGCATAAAAGAGCAAATACCCACGGTTGCCCAACGTGGCGTAAAAAGGGATATGAAGGGAGCAGCCCAGCCCAGGGGCAAGTCTTTTTGCGGGGCACGTGTGTTTATGGGCAAGGTCGGCGTGAAACATTGCTTTGTAAACCTTGAAAAGAATTCAAGAGGCGAGAAACCTAACGTGCATGTTCTTTTTCAAACGTGGGCTGATGTGTTGGTTGATTTGAAAGGGAGGTGGTGGTGGTATTTGCATATCCGATGGATGGCGACATGTATCCATAAGGGAAGATAAAGGGCAGCACCATGTGACAAGATTCTTTAGGCCCATGCACAATCAATCCCAATTGTTTAAAACCCCCCATCGGATGTATGCTATAAATCAAACACACACACATACCAAGTATACATCCACCCCCAGTGTAGCACAGACCGACACCGCGGGCGAGACCTTTCCACGCTCGTGCCCAATGAAAAAAATCCTTTTTCTACTACATCGGCTGTCAGACTTTTTTATTCCGCATCCTTTTCTTTCCTTAATCCATCATCATTCCTAATGCCTGTTAGCGTCCCATTTCTATCAGGGCATAACAAGTTGACGATTGAGCTTGCCGAGCCAATTGTATATCTAAGAGGATATCCCGGTACGCCTACCACTCAGGTGTTGCGAGGCGAGGTTGTCTTGGTGACATCCAAACCCATGTCGGCTTCTTCGGTTATGGTTAAATTTGTGGGACGATGTCATTCTTTGTGGCCTGAAGGTAAATAGCAACAACAACAGCAACCTATTCTCATTGTCATGGCAACCCGCAATTAACCCACCCGCCCTCATTGCATAATAGGCATTGGCCATCGTGGAACCAAAATGTACCATGAAAAGACGATCCATGAGCAGAATGCTATTTTGCAGTCGTGGTCACCGGATGCTGCTCACACAGCACTTCCAGCTGGGTTACATCGATGGCCCTTTGAATTCCTTGTATCCAACCGTATTCCCGAGACAATTGAAGATGATTTGGCAAAGGTGTTTTACTACGTGTCTGCCACTGTTCAACGACCAGGCGTGGTGGAAGCGAATCTACGTCGACGACGAGAGATTCTTGTTTTGCGTACGATTGAATGGACTGAAAATGCCTTATCCGATCACTCGTTGCCTACAACATCGATCAATGTGGAACGACGACTCGACTGTTGCGATGCCGCCATTTGTATCGAGAAATCAATTGTATCATCAGGCACACAATTTCCAATCTCGTTTATGTTTTCACCCAACATGAAGAACGTGGCACTTGAATCCATCTCAATTGTTCTCTCTGAACAACGCATCTATCGATTGCCCGAATACAATGCACGACGCACAGAGATGCTCAACTTTAAAGTGAAGCTGAATACGGTGACAAGCATGCTCGATCCCAGCCTTCGAGATAATCCCTTGGTGCCATGTTCGGATGTACCCGTTGCCCAATTGAGACGTGTGCTTAATGCAAAGAATGCACATATCCCTTTGCTTGCCAACCCTTTCCAATATCGATACATCATGAGCTTGCCCAATTGCTCAGATGGTTTGAATCATTCGACAGGCTATGAAGAAATCGACATTCGTCATTATCTCAAGATCCAAATCGAGCTTTCGGTGCCTGATCGTCCTGATCGTGTTGTCATTCACTTTGAAACACCCATCACTATCCTTGATTGTCGCCTCAAAGAAGACCTTGCCACTTTACCCACCTATGAAGAATCACTCTCTGATCTTGCTCTTGATGCCGAAACCGTGGACTCAAGCAAACCCACCACCTTTTTTGCATGCCCATGTTATCTTGACTATAAAAAGAGGAGGCATTGTGGACGACAAGAATGGGTCATGATCCGTCAACGCAACGTGGTTGATTCCGTTTATCAACTTCCACCACCACCTTACGAGGAGAACAAGGTTGTCTAATGACATCTCCATTTCATCATGTCAAGCATATTCTCATATCCATTGTCTTATTCCATTTACACCCGCCCTTCATCACTTCATCACCCCTTTCGCTCAATGATAGATTACTACACATTACTTGTACATACTTAGACTCTAATAATATTCACTTGCCTTGATTTCGAATATAATTTTGCGCATTGTTTAATGATGAAAGATGTGATTGGTATTGCTATAACGAGTGTGGGGATGATTATGGGTAACAATAATGTAGGTCTATCGTTGGCATGGGAACAGATCAACATCACGTGATGTGGATAAGCTGGCTAGATCAATACATCCGTGACTGCAGCTACTCATGTAGTGTCGTCGGGGGAATCAGTGGTGAGCTTGATGCAAAGCGTGTTGGCGTAGTAGTTAAATTCTCTTCCAGCTTCCTCTCCTTTATATGCAACTTTCTTTCTAACCTCCACAACATATCGTAATACAAATGAGCTGGCGAGGACGTGGACAATCTCGTGGCAATCGTGGCGGCAATCGTGGCGGTTTCCAACAACGCAACGACTTTGATGATTCCTTTCTTGGTGGAGGAGGCGGTGGCAGTAGCAGCAACAGTTCCTCAAGTGTGCTATCACGATTGGGACCCATGAATGGTGGTGGTGGCGGTGGTGGCGGTGGCCATCAGGATAGATTCTCGGACAACTTCCGTTCCAATGGACCTCGTGGTGGCGGTGGAAACCGTTCATTCGATAATAGCCGTCAATACAACGATCGCCAGTATGACGACCGCAACTACAACAACGACCGACGCTACAACGATGGCGGTGGTAATTTCAACAACCGTGGTGGAGGAAGAGGTGGTTTTCGATCAGACAACCAAAGGTTTCAACAACAACAATCCTCCAACCGAGGAAGAGGACGAGGTGGAGGTGGAGGTGGACGTCGACAATATACACGCAAGTTCGTGGATGAAGATATCGAAATGGGTCAATCCATCAATATGTAAGTTACTTGTCGTATTCAACATCATCATCACCATCTTGTATACGCATACTATGGGTGTTCGTGTGTGTATGCGATCGACTCTTTGGTGTGCAACAAGTTAAGCAATATGCCAAATTGACATCAATTTCCGTTTAGTCCACCTGGCGCTATAGTTGTTAGCGTAAGTCATTGTTTTATCCCTATGTGTCAATGATTCATTTCTCATATAATGCATATAATAGATCACGGGCCATCCTGAAGGCACAGATGACAAGCTATTGGGATTCCTGCAACGCAAAGTCAGAGTACCTTGGGAAGCACGTAGTGTAAGGATCGAGCAAAGTTGGTATTCTTTTGGCAATCTTGATTCATTGAGTATATGTACATTAGTATCAATCTTCTGGTGGTACCATGTATATTGAAGTCGGCACAGATGAAGAAGCCAACGGCATTTGCAGGTGTAACAACTATCAATTTTACGGCGTAGATGTAAGTTTTTACATGTCGATATCACAGCTCTTTATTGACAATAATGGCTCTATAGCTAAAGATTAGGAGAGAAGATGAAGGTGGTAATGGACCCAGGAGCACACAACCAAGACGAGGTGGTGGTGGAAATTCTGCCGCACTACAAGAATTCTTACAAGAACGATGGGATCCCCAAAACGGTTTTCTCAGCTTGGATGAATTACCACAAACAAAACACGGCATTGGACTTGTCATATCTAAATTGCTGTCAGCTGCAAATGATTTATATGGTGATAACGTAAGTAGTCAAGGCGATGGATATGATGGATGGCATTTACTCAATTGCATGTGTCTAGGTGATTACCATATCATTTGCCAGAAACGGTCTTTGGAGTTTGAAGCCATTACAGAGCCTTGCTGATATTTTCCCTCGGATTCAAAACCTCTCTGTTCAAGATAACGACATTGCAGAATTTCGATCTCTGGATGCATTTGCCAAAAAGAACCTACCCAACTTGACAGAACTTTTGTTGATGGGCAATCCTATACAAACGAACAACCCCTGGGATAGATATCAAAGGTACGATTGAGTCATATCAAATGGAAGAGCTATTACTCACGATAGTATTTAGTGAGGTTTTACAACGTTTTCCCAATGTTGCTATGCTCGATATGCAACCCGTTGGAAATGCACCACCGCCACAGCAAGGCATGAGCCCATCATCCTCTACTGGTTTTGCACCCACCAACATATCAACACCACCACAACCAGGAGCCGGCTTACCTATGGGTACACCTCAAGTACAAGGCAGCTTTTATGATGGTGAAAATTCACGACAAGCAACCGAAGACTTTTTGACAAAGTACGTGTTACATGGAACGTGCTATTTGGAGCCTTACCTAATCATTGTTGATGATAGATTCTTCCCACTTTTCGATTCCAACAGGCAAGCTCTGGTTGATTTGTATGATCCACAGGCTGGATTCTCGATTGGAGTGAGCAGCATGGCAGCCAAGGGAAGCTGGGGTCAATGTAAGAACATCTCAAAGAGAGAAATGGTTGATCGTGTGCTCACCCATGTGTCATTGTAGTACCACGACTTACCATGGGCAATGAAAATATCATCAAGCGCATGTTGACACTTCCACCCACTATCCATGGTTTGAGCAGACCTGAAAATTTTGTGATGGATGCTTGGCAAACACAAGGATCACAAACCCATCCAGTGATTCTTTTCCTTACGGTGCATGGTGAATTCAATGAAGGTATGTGACGCTTTCGATGACAAAAGAGAAGAGACAAGACGCTAAGAGTGGATTGGCTATTGTAGCTACCGGTGCAAAGGGCGCGCAATATTCTTTTGATCGTGCTATGCTTGTGGCTCCAGCAATTGCAGGCTCAAGGTAAGAATAAAGGTCGTGGTAGCATGTTATGGAGAGAAGGACTTACATAGGATGTTCATCTATTAGAGCACAATTGGCTGGGTGGCAATACGTTATCTTATCCGACTCACTCATGGTGCGCGATTACACTGGCAACATGGGCTTTCGACCAACAGCATAGATATATCCATTGTTAACGAAAGAAAAAAAAACACCAATCAATCAACATGCAACATCATTGTTCACAACAACATTTGTCATCCCTTTCTTCCACTCTTTGTATGTGTCGTATCACCCTCCCCTTTTGCAACATGAATCCTCCTTGCATCATTCCTCATAAAGATCCACCTTGTGCGACATAAAATACCATCTACCTTTGGCCAGTACATCATTGTTCATTATCATTCAGCAGGAGAGGTGTTTTCGTGGTTGATTATACATACAAAGCGTGGGTTGCATATGAGACGGTCCAACTTTTAAGTTTACCGCTGATACATTGTGATCATTCACAGCTTTTCATTGTTTGCTATCTTTATTATGCCATTTTCTTCGTGGTATGCGCTGCTCTTTGAGTACCTCTTTGTGTTCTTGTTTGATTGATACGTGCTTGTTCAGCACAACGAGACCATGGACGTACGCCCTCCTCTCATTTACCACTTTCTATGCCCCTCTCTTTGAATCACGAACATGCGAAATTGAAAGCATCGGGTATCAGCACACTTTCTTTTGTGCTGGGTCATAACAATGTCAACATACTTTTATACAAGACGACATCATGGTGATCAATGCAGCGACACCCAGCCGCAACTCTGTCCAATGGGATGTATATAGAGATTTTCACACGTTCACTTTCCCACTTTCCCACTTGTTTGCTTATATGGAAACCCTCGCAGCATGTATATTGTACATCAAATCATTGGTTGGCATTGAACATAAGAGTTTTTATATTTGACATGAAAGCGAAGAAAATAGACCATACTAAAAGCCATTATAGCATGTATTTTACATAAACTCTGTCACAAAATCAGAGCTAGTTTCTTTATTTGAGGATATACTTTTGACCTTGCTCCAAGCCAAATGAATAGGGTAGTAGATCAGCCAAGGTTAATAGTTGCGATTCACCACTGGTCTTCAAAAGGTAAACTGGGAGTGTGGCAGGACCAAATTCCGAGATGAATTGCCTGTGCATCATGGTAAGCTATTTAGCACAACCCTTTGACCACTGATGATAGGAGCTATCACTTACCTGCAAATACCGCATGGCGATACAAAGTCATCCTGGTCCGTGGTAACAGCCAATGCAACGAATTTGTTGTGTCCTTCGCTCTAGTAGGTATATATCGAAGACCAGGATTAGTGATTCTTCCCATCAGCCTTTGTATATCCATGTCTACTTACAATCGCCTTGACATAGGCTGTGCGTTCAGCACAGATGCCAGCTCCTATAAAAAAGCGCATTGTAAGTTATAGAGCAAGCAGCTTGCATGCAAGCAATGCATAGCTTACTTACCGAATGATGCGTTCTCGATATTGCACCCTACATGTGACGCACATGGCCGCGTCAGTCATCATTGTAGTATACCCACGGATGATCATGCATAAGGGTTGGGTTCATCCATTTCCAACACGTTACCTTGGTATATAGTACCATCCTCGGTCAACAATGCAGCACCCACTCTGAACTTTGAATAGGGGGAATACGATGTGTCCTTGGCTAATTCACGACGACTAGGTCAATGACAAGAAAAAAAAGTCGACATTACGACGAGCATTCGGCATGGGGGCTACCTGCAATGGCTTTCGCAAAGAGCTTTTCTTGAACTTCCTTGGAAATAGGGTTCGACATGATGATAAAAAGAGAAAGAGAAAGAGAGAAGAAGAAAAAAGAGAGCGTGCGTTTCAGGAACAACTTGCCTCTTTTATACGTGTGCACATCGGCAGGAACGTCGTACGACCCTTGTCACGTGTAAGGCTTTCACACGATGATAGTGAGCACGATAGAAAATAACAACAAACACTTCTCCACGAATAAACATCACCCATTGAAAAGCTTACTCCTTGGAAGGCATTGGATCATACCTTGAACACGCAAGCTACATGTGATGGACCTCTCAATGATACCATGCAACTAAATCACCTCAATGCAAGCCTTTTGATGAGTTGAGTGAATGATTCATGTTAATGGTTGCTCAATGCTTGGCTATTGCCTCGACACAAGCAACATCAAATGAGCTGATTTGTAATAAAAAGATGTTTATCTCTCAAACTCGGAACAAAAGTTCGGCCCGTTGCCGATGGATGCGACGTGTAACCATGCACCGAGGCACTAGAGCCGTATCACTTAATCTTATTAAAAAGAGCCCATGTTTGAAAGGTGTAGGGGGATATGGATGAGCTTTGAGGGCACATTTAGTTGGTTGTCGATCTAATCATCCCTTGTCACAGTTATGGAAATCCAGCTGCGCTGATCATGACAAGCGAGGTTGGATGTCGATGATCATGCATTTGTGTGGTTGTTGTGGAAACTGCCTGGCAAGGTAATGCGGCATATGGACAAGCGCATGTTATACAAGGACACAACCAAGTGGACCACTGCTGTGTTTTCAACGAGCCAACCAGAGCATGGAGCGACTGCACGCGTTTCTGGAGCGGGGTAGTAGACATCCACTTTTTTATCTCCACCCTACCAGTCATCCACTTGAGTGTATGCGTGTGGGTGCACTAAACTTGACTTGATTTCCTTGTTCTTTTTGTCCTCTTTTTTTCTTTATCTTTTGATTCTACTTTACCCACTTGAGATTTTTACCATGATGGATATTTTCAATGATCTTCCAACAAACCTTTTATTGAAAATGGTGGCAGGATTACTTGAATCTGTCATCCATGCAAACGATCATCGCTTTCCTTCTGGTGGACCCATATCTTTATTTCATTCTCGAGCTGTGCCGAGTATCAAGATTGAAATGTACATGGCAAGGATACTACGATACACACCCTTCAACAACGACGTATTACTATGCATACTCGTCTACTTTGACAGAATTGCTCGACGTATGAGTAATGGTCCTGGTGCATTTGCCATCAACTCATTCAACATCCATCGGCTCTTGATAACCAAGTATGTCATACTTGCAGCACACACATAGCACGTGGTAGATGGGAACGGTGTCAAAAGAAGAACAAACCAGCTGATCATTCTTTTCATGCAGCATTGTGGTCGCAACTAAATATACCTCTGATACCTTTTATTCTAATGCACGTTACGCCAAGGTAAGAAGAGAGCCTTATTAAGATGCAGAAAATGCAAACAACATCTATTAGGTGGGTGGTCTATCATTGTTGGAACTCAACAAGCTTGAGCTCGAGTTCCTCAAGCTATGTGGTTTTGAGCTTCATGTCCGCCTCGAGGCAATTCAAGAATACGGCGAACAGCTTATGCATCATACTTTGATGCATCTCCCAAAGACACTTGGACCCATTTTGCATATCAACAACGCTATCAACTCAGCGTCAGCAAGGATGACAACAACAGCAACAGCATTACCACGATCAAGGAAACGTGTGCTGGAAGAAGCGGAGGACACAGATAATGATTTATTTGTGATGCAAGGTTGTCGTCACAGGATAACACCTCCTACCACCACAGCTAGTACCCAACATCCCTGTGTATTATACCCTATGGAACAGCATCATGCTAAACGTCATCGACCCATGTCATCCTCATCACCCACGAAAGCTGACACCACCATCACTGCCACCAGTGGCACGCATCAAAGTATATCAACAGCATGAAAGAAAACGTTACACAATAGCTATTTACAACATCATTTAATCAATCATTTCCTATTTACAATGACTTATAATTGGGCTATGCCAACATTTGCTTTGGAATTTGACTCTTGGGTAACGAGACACCCGTATCAAATTCGACCATGGCGTTGGGTGCATCCTATAGCATGTGGGTGATTAGCACTTTTATTACTGCCAATATGAGTAGTAGCCAAATGAAACGTACCATGAGCTTTCCCTTTGGGTTGCCATGTTCATAATATTTATACTTGTAGGCAGCATTGGGAGGAGTATCTTTGGCCCATGGTTCTTCAGCGATACGAACGTTTTCGTCATCGTTGATCCAATTTAGCTTTTGAGCAGACCAGTAACCAAGGCCAAATGTGGTCATGCTAAGGAAACCCATCAGGGGAAAGGTTTCCGGGTCCACCTTTAGAAACTTAAAGAGAGTGCGCTTAGCAGGAGTGATAGAAGCCATAATTTGGATGATAATGTGTGTTTAAAGAAAAGAGACAATGTACATGTGTTATATTGGATGGGGTGCATTTATTGACGGGGGAATGATGGAGGGTGGTATCCATGCAACGACATTGATTTGCAGAGTGTCTAAACTTAATTTGGAGGGGGATTCGAAATCTCTCACACACGACAAATCTCCTTTCTTTCTTTCACTTTTTTTCGAAACACATTATGAGTTTTATTGCTGGTTTACTAGGCTCTCTTCGACGACGACGTAAAGGAACAGTCAACCCACGTAGTAAAGGTCTTGAGCAAGACAACGAGGAACCTCACCCTGACAACACGACACCACCTCATGAGGAGCAACAACAAGTGGGCGGCGATACCACCACTACGACTGAAGCAACAAACACACCTGTCACCGAGTCTCATTCGTCGTCATCCAATAGTGTCAATGTAGAAGGCTTGCAGTTCAAAGAAGCGCGTGATCTTGCTTATTTGCTTGGGTCGACTTGGAGCGAGAAACCACAACAGCAGCAACAACCTTTATTCCCAGCATTCGAACATTTGCTGAATCCCAAGGATGACCAACAAGAGCAGGCACCACGTCGGTCAAACAGCTCATATCGTTCCACATTGGGTAGTACGCGACGCTTATTGCGTGGAGCGTTGCCTCGCAACCATGAACATCGGCTTTCTCTTTATCGACCGGTGAAGAATACTCTCAAGACAGCTCGATCTACTCCCAACTTTGGATCTGTCAAGAATACCGCCGCCGCCACTGCCACATGAAGCTGATGGATCAAAGACAACAAGGGGAAAAAGTAGGCGGTTGGGCCAACTATTAAGGGGTCGATTACAAGTATATGACAGGTCATCTTCTCCAACATACCCAACAATGGCTCTCGGACTCAGCACGTCATTTCCCATCACATCCACATATCTATATTCTCCTCCTATTATGTATACTCACTTATGTATTATCTTGCCTAAATATACCTCTTTTCCTTTTTCTTTTTACGTTGACATGGCTAAGTTTTTGGGAAAGCTAAATGATGATGGGTGCTTCAAAGTTGGGGGAAAGAAGCACAAAGGGGGTTTTTGAGTTGAGGCTATTGTCGGGGTGAGTATAATAAAATGTGGTTCGATTGTTGTATATGTATGCGTGCGGTACTCACTCACACGTACACGCACGGAGAAAGAGAGATGGTTGCACTATTGATGTCATGTCACTCACAAAGAGGGCTATATGAAATTGCCTATTTCTTCTCTCTCCTTTTTCTTACGTTTTCCCCCAATCATAATGCATCTGCAGTAATAATGCAGCTTGATGAAAACCTCGCATGATGCACTTTGTGCATATTACCTCTTTTGCGGAACGCTTCCGATTCACGGAAAGGGATATATATATGTGATAGCAGTAGTTGCTTTATTTGATAGAATCCTTTATCGTGAAGGAGTGCATTGCGTTGATTACAGCAGCCAGGAACAATCATTTCATATGAACAAAGTTACATCTTTATCTTTGCAACATGGTTTTGGGGAACTCTTTTTACGACATCCGTAGTATCGTTTAGGCCATTGACTTTTTATTTTGGGATTAGGGCATTTAGCCACTCGTAGAGGGGATGGGATATCGTTACAAAATGAGGATATATATAAGATTTGGCGAGGTATGAGACTGTACAATATGTTCAAGTTCGATGTGACACGCATTGCTTGACAGGGTCCACAATATCACCTGCGTTCCATTGATATAGCGTCATACTGACCACATAGAGCATGCTATTCGGCAACTATTAGCCCATATCCTTATTCCCATCCTCGAGTATACAAAACTTACCACCCAACACCAAATAAAATCAAAGCAACATCAGCAGCAAGACGCCATTTTGAGAGAGAGAGAGCCTTCATATGGAAGAGTGGTGGGAAGACAAAGCATAATGGAATGCAAAAGAGCGCACCAATCAAAGCAACAAACTTGTCAAGCTTATCCTTGGAACCCACAATGGCAATCCATGCACATAGAAACACCACTAATACGCGGAACACATTCTTTTGCCATTTGACCATGGCATTGTTCTTTCCGGAGCGTGTAGTAAACAGCCCATTCTCCATGATGCGGATGGCAGGAAAGAGTTGAAGAGGAATCGATAGACATATAGCGAGCGAGTACAGCGTTTGGATGGATGATACAACGGGATCCTTGCTTGGTAGGTTTAACAAGATGATCGTTTGCACGTCTTCGCCGAATGCAAGGTATGAGACGGCGCCCAACGAGATGAAGAGTGTCGTGATCACAATCAGGGTCCGTCGCAGTACGCCCGGGAACTTTTGTGGTTCCTTCATGGATTCAGTAATCGGGATGACTACAAATGTTGTCACATGAGCAACTCCCATTCTCTTTGATATCCCAATCTTAACCTACCCAAACCAATGCCTTCATAGGTAAATGCCACTGTGCCAATAAACAATGGAAATGACATGGGGCTCCACATGGATACGACGCCTTGACCGACCACAACAAGTTGCTTGAGCTCATAATAGAACAAGTAGCCAAGACCAATGACGATAAAGATATCAGCAATGAGAGCAAACACAGAGAGGCGTTGGATCTTTCGGATCATGGCAAGTGGGATAAATGCAAAACTTTGTGCGAGAACGAGCAGATGCATGGGTAACATGACACGGCATTTGGAAAAGGCGAGGACAAGGGCTTGCAGGTTCTCGGAGACAAACACCATATACGCACAGACAAACCCGATTTGTGACAAGGTGATGGCTACGAGGACTGCCACTCGCATCGTGTGTCCATACAATACCCCACCCATTTCACCAAAACTTGCATGTACCACCAATCGTGTTTGCACCAGTAAAAGGAACGACCATAAGGAGATCAAGGACCATATCACAATACCAATCGTTGACGCTACCAATCCGCCATTGTAGAACCTATTGATGCAGCCCATCATTAAATTACCTATGCTATGTATATAAAAGGGAAATACTTACGCTTTTGGTAGAAACATAATACCTATCAAATGGAAAAAATATGAGTCATCAAGATGATAGCTCTCTCCTATGTATCATGCTTACCCGTGGTAACAAATGATTTGAGTAATAAGAACATGGCTTTTCCAGGGGTAGCTTTAGCTTGAATAGCTTGACTTTGGCGTCTTGAACTTTGTAACAGGGGCATCGTCTCACGTGCATAGAGCTGTTGGTAATTGTTGACTCTACGTCGAGAAGATGATGATGGGCCATTGGTGACAGGAAGTGGTAGAGTGCCATTGCTATGTCGATGATGAACGGGAAGAGTGCTGCCTGCATCCAAAGTCGTTCTTGGTTGTATGCCGACATGACTACTTTGACCATTACCCATCCTCCTTCCTTCATCCATTATTGGCTGATGCTGCTGGTGCTGGTGTTGATGTTGTTGTTGTGGATCATGTTCTTCCGAAGATACAGCTGATTCCTCACTGCTGGTATAGGATGAACAAGAGGAAGAATCATCATCATCATCATCGTCATCATCATCTGAAAGATCTTCACCACCGAAATGACCATAAAGATAAAGGAACTCGACAAAGCTTGAAGTGACGAAATTGGGAGGTGATTTGCCATGACGTGCAGCATTGTTCAATGCATGATAGCGTCGGAACCCACCCGGCTGTTTGAGACATTGGAGTAACGGGTCGTCGTCAAGAGGTGGAGAACGGATAGCTGGTAACGAGATGGATTGTCTTCGACGTTGTTGTTGCTCCTCAACGCGTGCTGTCCACTTGTAAATCTCGTCAACAATAGCACCACCTGGTAACAAATGATGCGTGTTGTAGATGGGCGTGTCAATTGAGTTTGCTACTGTTTGATAGCTCGTGGTCCTGTTGTTAGGGGTATGGCCATTACGACGACGCAATTGGGGTATCTGGGATGCAGCTGGTGTCGATGAAACGGGAGTAGTAGTTGTTGGAGGTGTTGGAGGTGGTGGTGGTGGAACGACAAGATGTCGCCTAACGACTCTGGCAACTTGGTCAACAGGTAGGTCAACCGTAAGTGAACGCTCCATTGAACAGTATAAATGAGGAGAAAAGGTTGATAGGAACTAGAATGCTGCTGTGAGCAAACGTCCTTGACCGTGTCTGTTTTGGTGGTTTGTTGCAAGCGTGGTTGAAAAGAGAGGTTGGTGGTTGCTTGAAGCGGTGTTGTCGTGTGGTGTGCGGAAAAGGGTTATCCCATTGGACCATCATCGCCCCCTCCTCCTCCTCCTGCTGTACCTTTGTTTCATCACATTAGTAGAAGATAGGGTACTTTTGTATTATCCATTCCTCTTCTCCCCCTTTTTGCTCACGTGACATTTCCCAACAATGCATTTCTTTTATACACATCCTTTTATAAAACTTCAAAGTAGTACGACCTATTCATATAGTCACAAAAGTATGATGAAAAAGAGAAAGAGTGATATGAAACCCGGACCAGCACACACAATGGAAGGTGTTACAGTATAGCGGAATTCAATGATGGGGTGGGTTGGGGGTGGTGGTGATGGTGCACATTATGCAAAAAGTCCAAGCCGTGATCGCAAGTCTTGAATATCAATGATAGAAAGTTGACCGGGTGCTGCTGCATGAGGCAATGCTGGATGCGTTGCTGGAGTAAGAAAAGTGTTCTTGACACGTGAAATGCGACCCTGTTGACCCATATTAATGAGGATAAGCTTCTTATTCATGGTTGGATCGATACGGCGGCGGAACATGTCAAGCTCAAGATTATCCCAAGTTGAGTGAGCAACCCCAACAAGTTTGATAATGGCGGGATCATGCTGTAAGTAGGTGTTGGACAATGCGCACGCACGCTCGTACAAGTCGATCATCCTAGGTCCAGACCATGGATAGCTGTGATCGAGATCGTGGAAGGACAAGATACACTGTACCGTTTGACAAGTACCATTCAACAATAAAATTCGCTCTAGCTGAGGTGCTGGCAAGGCGGTAAACTCAATATCCACATACTCACAACCCCAACGATGGGCCCATGTAATCCATTGTGCGTAAAGAGTTGTATTCGATGCATCAAATTTCCCACCTTGAGGTTGTGTACGGATCGTAAAAATGATAGGCTTTTGAGTACGTTGACGTAGCAATGCCAACTGCTTGCCAATATGACTCAGTGTTTCAGGGCCATCAAGTAAATCAGCACGCATCTCCACTGCATCAGCTTGCTGTAGCCAATGATTGACTTGTTGTGAGGACACCGATGCATAGTTTGGAATAGTGGGTGTCACAAAGTACGACGGTCTTGAGCATGGCGACAAAGATGAGGCGCGGTGGCGTGGGCGCATCTCTGCTAACCCCTGCAAAAAGTCAAGTGCACCACGTAGAGATGCATCGTTGTCTTCCTTCACAAGCACATACTCGTACCATGCCATACTGGGATCAAGCGTTGTACTGCCACCTTCATATGTAAACCTTACCACGACCATCGTGGCGTTGTTGTTGTTGCTGGTGTCCTTGCTTTGCTGAAGTAATGCCTTGTCAACATCACGTATATCATCAAGCACCATAAGATGATTACTTGTACCAATTGGTGTATGCTGCTGGTGATGAATGCTATAATTGCCACCAGATGATGCAATAAAAGCGGGAACGAATGTATCTCGAATCCATTCCATAGGCTCGCCACATAAAATGATACAGGGTCCCGATTTCATTGTTGTTAAAGAAGACTCAGCTGCGCCTTTGTGCTGTTGTTGAGGGATGGCCCGGGACCCGGGATATGAAGAAGGATGAAAAGACATATACTGACGAAGAACATCTTGTATGGCGGCATCTGATACTAAGGTTGCTCGTTGTTCCAAAGTGGTGCCAATGTTGCTGAGAATGACCATGCGTTTATGGGTGCCTTTGTTCTTCTTGTCAACTTTCATGATACGCATCACATCTTCCAATAAAAGGGGCTCTGTCAATTGGGTTGGCAATCCATGTTTCTTTAAGCATGCTTGTAATCGATCAACAACAGAAGGATGGCAATGGCCTAAAGCACATGCAATTTCTGCTTCAACGAGCATGCCCACTGCAACGCATTCACCATGTAGCCAACCAGGTGTCAATAGCATTTCGAACGCATGGCCCACCGTATGTCCATAATTAAGCAACCCACGTAATCCACTCTCACGCTCATCATTGCTAACAACTTCAGCTTTGACACGCACAGCTGCCAAGATCGTATGCATCAATAAATCGCGTAATCGTAATCCTTCATCATCTATTTGCATTGTTTGTTTTTGTTCCTTGCGTTAGTTACACAATGCAAGCTTTTTTTCTCTTTTCCTTTGCACGATCCGTTGTTTATACCTTTTGCTGTTATCGGCTGTTGTCCGATTGCGGCAATTGCAGCTTTGATATCGGCGCTTGCATGCTCAAGATTTTCAAAGTCGGATTGACTCCATATGGCTGCTGTCTGTGATGGAAAAAAAATAAGAATGCATCAAACAATCAATTAGTACGGATCACCAAAACAAGCAACTAGAAACAACAACATTGTTGGGGGGAGGTGGTGTCACACATTTACCTTGATGACTTCTGCCATCCCATTTGCCAATTCACGATCGGGAAGGGTATGCAACAATGCAAGGTCCATATAGATACGTTTAGGTTGCCAGAATGAGCCGATGAGATTTTTGCCATGAGGTGTGTCCACAGCTGTTTTTCCGCCAATACTTGAATCCACCATGGCAAGTAAAGTGGTAGGCACTTGTATAATTGGGATACCACGCATAAATGTGGCGGCGACAAATCCGACAAGATCACCCACAACACCACCCCCAAGCGCAATCAAGCATGTGTCTCTTGTACATGCATTATCAAGCAAGAAATCTTCAATGCCTGTTTTTGCCTCTCGTGTTTTGGTTTGTTCCCCTGGTGGCAGTACATGCACTAGCAACCGGCTTGACGCTGGTAATTGGGCTTGCAAGCTCTCAACAAGCGTTGGCAAATGTAATTCAGCAAGGTGGGTATCAGTAATCACCACGTAATTGGTAACTGGAACAACCGCAAAGAGATCGGATGCGATGTGCTCTGTCAAATGAAATCCCATGTGCACCATATCGGGTGTGTCGAGAACCGACACCCTGACCAAATCGATAGGATCCTGGTATTGTTGCCTTTGTTGATGCTGTACTACCATTGCTTGGCGGAAATTGAGGAAAAAGAAAAAAGAGACGAAAGTTGCCCCGAACTAAAGTCGCCTTGTTGTAGTAGTTGTAGTAGCTGCTATACACCCCCAACTTTAATGATGGCCCTGTCTTGTTATGGATGTTTGCCGACAACGAATTTTGCCTTAGCACCCGGACCGGTTGACATTACACAAGGTTGGTTGTGGGCTTATAAATATGCATTAGTCCCGGTGGCAAATGAATCATACAACTCAAAAACCTGTACATAACTTGTTCATACCTTTGCATAATGGCATCCTTTACTGCTGAGCGGTTCCTTGTTCTTTGCATGTTCATTTCTTTGGTGCTGGCCGCCCCATTACCCGTTTCTCGTGACCAACAACAAGATAGGAGTAACCGTTCCATTCGTAACTTGCATGCTCGTCAATATGATGATGATGGTGATTGGAATCCCACTGCTACTACTACCACAGCCGAAGATGAGCCGACCGATTCCGCTCCTTGGCTTTGGGCTGTAACTACCACAGCTTCCACCACCACCACAACCACGACTCAATGGCAACAACCCACTGCTAGTGCATCTCCTCATAATGGTCGTCATGGCAACCACGAAGAAGAAGATGATGATGACGAGGAAAAGGATTACCAAGAAGAAGAAGATGACGACTCAACCACTCAAGCTATCGCCACGCCAACCACTACTAGCTCAAGTAGCAGCAAGTCAACAACCATGGCAGCAGCATCCAGCAAAAAGAGCAAAGGTGGCAGTGGTGGTGGATCTTTTAGTGGCAAGGCTACCTGTAAGTATACAATACCATGTACATTTCTAGATGATTTCCATAACTAACCTCGTTGCCGAACTTAGGGTACAACGTTGGCATGGGTTCATGTGGTTCTGAAAATAGTGATTCGGAACTTGTAGCTGCCATGAACCACGGACAAATGGCAAATGGTGGAAACTCCAACAACAACCCCAATTGCGGAAGACGGGTGAGCATTCACGGTGAGTTGAATGATTATGGAAAAGGATCTCGTATGGAATGCTAATCCAACCCTTTTTTCTTTCACGGGGGAAAATAGGTCCTCAAGGATCAGTCACTGTCAAAGTCGTGGATACATGCCCAAGTTGTGGTCATGGCGATATCGACCTTTCTCCTTCCGCTTTTAAGCGTATTGCCAATCTTGACGATGGTGTTGTCTCAATCAAGTGGTCATGGTAAAAACGAAAAAGCAAGCACGTATACATACCTACAACATACCCATAAATGCCTGGTGCATGTATGGAAACCAACGCCCCTGTAAAGATGTTAGACATGTACTTTTTTTTTCTCCATCTCATTAAGTTAGATGCTGGTATCTTTCCCCCCTCCCCCCAAATTTCCCCCTCTTGTATGAATAGCCCTTTCATGTTGATTGTTACGTACCCTTCAAATTGAGTATAGATAAACGGAATATCATTATTTATCACCGCAATGTCAATGGTTACCATCATGTGTCTTGAGGACCCGTGCCGATTGTATCTTGTACTACCATCAACAAATCGAATATGGGTAAATGTGTAAATTAGCTACGTTGCTTCCTGTCAACCACGCGTGAGCGCGCCTTGACCACATTGTCACCCACACGCACACTTTTCTTGTGCCACCACAAGGGGTCACTAATTAACACACGCCATACTTCAAGGCATCCTTCATTAATTAATAACATGCATCGGATGATAAATAATGCAAGGATGACCGTTCTCAATGATTACCATGAGCATGCTGCATGCTGCAAGCTTAATGTTAATATGCTGCTGCTGCTGCCTGGTGATCGCATGTCCCTGAAAGATCCACACTGCATGTTGTTGGTTCCTCATCCACATCCATAGACTTGATCAACATTCCAAGAGCACACACGTGGTGATTGTAAGATGCTGTGCAACCATCAACATCAATGCAGATAATTGGCATATTACCAAAATGAATACATTTTTATGAGTTTTACCATTGAAAGTAGTGTACAAGCATGTTTCAGGGGGGTGGGTAGGGTGATAATGTCTAAGTCCTTGCGTGTGTGCGTGTGTGTACTACCGTGATGGATGTGTGATCTTTAGGATATATTGTCGTTCCCTTCCCGCTCTTCGTTCCATAATGATGTCGGCATGCATTCCATGTTCTCCGCGCAAGATCTCGGCCACTTGATTAGGTCTGTTCTCATTAATGAGTAGCAAATAGAATACGCCATCAGGAGATAATAATCGCTTTTGGGATAGAATGGGTGAGTGGGTGAGGATAGGTAGGATATGACAATGAAAAAGAAACAAAGAACCACTTACTGGCACAAAAGGTAAAAACTCATCAATGACTTGTCGACCATCAATGCCACCAGCCCAAGATGCTTCAATCCCATGGCTACCAACTTCCTCAGGTGTCGTCACCACATACGGCGGATTGAAACAAAGCACATCCACAAGTCCTTCCAATCGTGGTAAAAATCCATTCACCAAAGATGTCTGTATTGGCTCAATGCGATCCACGCCATTTTTGATGCCCGTTTGCTTTGTCGTGTCACACGCATGAGGATTGATATCCGTGGTAAAGAACACTACATGTTGGGTGCAATGATGAGAAAGATGTAACCAAGGTCATCGATAGCTACCTACCCACCTGCATTATCTACACCAATAATCTTGGCCAAGAAGGCGGATACACATCCCGAGCCAGAACTAGAAGAAGCAGTTACTTATCAATGAACGCATCGACTTGCAAGACATGTCAATGAAGCTTACCCAATCTCTAAGCAAACACGGGGACGCAGTGATCGCAGCGATGGCTGATCGTCTTCCAACGCGTCGAGTAGTAAAAATGTGTCCTCTAGTAAATCGAAGGTTGGCAAGTGTTCATTGTCCACCATGCATCCCTTGTACCTGCTGGTTCATATACTTTGTCGAAATCGTGTTGAGTCAAATGGGAGAGATCGGGTGTTGGAATCATGGTTGGGAGACAAGAAGTTGGCTTTTGCTGGATCAAAAATCATGCTGGATTTTCATTGCAGCTGCAGCTTCACACTTCATTATAAGAAAACGACAACAATCACATGTCATTGGATAAATAGTTTGGAGTTGACGTGATACGTACAGATGTTGTTGTTGTTGTATTGAGTAGGTGTTGAAGGATACAAATGCAAGTGGAGGGGGTTGAGGGGGGGGGGAAACAAAAGACATAAAAGAAAAACGATCTAGACTGATGCGAGAGTTGACATGCTTAATCTTCTTCTTCATTGTTGGTGATACGGTCAAGAGAAGGTTGGATTGCTTTGATCTTTTCTACAAGGATATCAATAGCCGTTGGGAACAATTGTTCAGGAGGAATGATACCAGTCGTCTCCACATTGACTAATAAAAAACACATCTTTAGTATCTCAAGATCCCCACTTTTTGCGTTACCCCTTTTTGGAACTTACAGATAAAATGATCCCGTACTCGTGTCAGTCGCACCTTATCTTCAAATTCCTTGTGCCGTAAGACTTCACGACTCACAGTATCTTTACGTGCATTGACGACCTTGGCAGTCTTGACACCATTTTCCATCACCACATCCACAACACCTTCAGGGAAACACTTTTGGAATCGATCAGCAGAATCACCTGTAATAGGCTTGAGGATGGTAATCTCAGGAAGCAAACGATAGGATGCAGTAGCAACAGGCGACCATTTAGCATGCTCCTTGCCTAAGCCCTTGTGACAATGCAATTCCATATCAATTTCTTGTCCAGGACGAAGCTTGGCAATCAAGATGTCATCTTGCACAGGGCGAATGGGTACTTGTTCAAACTTTTCACCTTGCACACCCTTGGGTTCCCACACCAAATCACCCGAGTAGACTAATAAAGGACATGTTGGCATATAATTTCTCTCTCTCTCCTTTCCTTTCCTTTCCCTTTTACAACATACCATGGCTGTGAATGAACTTCTTTTTGGGATCCGTCTCATCGGGAGATGCGTCAGGGTTGTATTCACATTTGACCTTGAGCTTAAAGACAATGGTGTTGAGATCGGTAGGACCATCTTCCTCTGTACATCATAGTCACATTAATAATCCATTCTTTTCGTCATGCGTTCTTTTGCTATAAATCACATACCAGCCTTGAAATCAAAGAATTGAGGATCGGCGTAGATGGGAATCAAACCAAGACGATGAGCCAAAACTTCGTCGTGAATGATGGATGTGTTGTTGAGGACATAAACTTTTTCAATCGCCATGGTGGGGACCTACACAAGATGCTCAATATACATACGTATCACCTCATAATAGATTCTATCAAATGCTTACCTCGGCAATCAAGATACGACGGAAGGCGTTGGCAATAGAAGCATCAACACCAACAAGATCGAACTCCATGCTCTCGGCTGTCAACCGATTGATCTTGATCTGGAATCTCTGTAGCCAGCCCAATCGACGATCGTTAGTGCCACCGTTCCTTTACGAAGCTCATGCACGCATGTACCTTTTTGAATTCTTCCAAATTCCATGTATTGTCAATGCCTGGATATTGGTGTGGGTAATCGCTGCCGCTGACCTGTTGTTGTTGTTTTTGGTGTCAGAATGAAGCGAATCGGTCGAGTCGATAGTGTCAACTTACGCTGAATACACGATCGCGTTCAAGAACAACACGTGTACGTAAAAGCTCGACGTTTTCAGGAAGCTCGGCACCGGGCATACTGCTGACAGCAAAGGGTAAAAAGAGACAAAGGGAAAAAACAAGACCATCCGGTTGGACAAAGAGCTTTTTTTTCTAGCCTCCGCTGCTTGCCAAAATGTGTAGCTTTATCCTACCACATGCATTGTTATCATCCTCCCCCCCCCAACATAGACCTTTCATACATTGATTATATAGCCCAATAAATATGCTTTAGAGAGGGATTGCAACTATTACGCACTTGGCTACTTGAAGGACTATTCCAGCAGGCGCCACTAATCTTTCTACTACTACCACTATTGTATCCAACAACATGTGTTCCTTTCATCGTCACCTCTATGTTGCATACCCAATCTTGACCGTGAAGCCCATTTCATATGACAAGCAATTGTTTTACTAGCACGGCCACAATCAACTTTAATAAGCTCTCATCATATATTGAAAACAAGGTCTTATGCATCAAAGTGCCTGTAATGCTCATTCTATATCCATATTCAGCAACGGGGTGGTCATGGCAACGGTATCTAGGATACAAGAGTATGTATCGTATAGTAAGTCTTACAATGAACTACAAGCGCGACGAATGAACAAGAATCATGCCAACAATATGGGCACATGTGGAGAGTTGACATTAGCCAATCAGAGTGTGGGTTGGGAAGATACATTTTGCTGGCACGTCTCAGACCACACGCACGCATTTGACCTTTTTTCTTACGACTACACTCCACCTTCCCTTTCACATTCCTTTCCGTTATACCACATCATGACAAGAGCAACAGAGACATTTGCAACATTGGGTATTGCTACCGTGATTTACATTGCCCTCTTTTTTGGTGCCCTTCCTCTTCCAGAAGTCATTCAAGACAAGATTATCCCTGTGGTAAGATGATCGCGCGTTCGTGTTTCTTCACGCATATGAAACGATAAAACTCATACATGATGTAGCTTCCTTGGTGGGCATTGATGTCATTTGGTTCTTACAGCTTGGGATACCTTGGATACCATGTGATGACCTTTAGCGATTGCCCTGACGCTTACACAGAATTGATGGGGGTAAGTAGTGAAGGTGATGATGATCCACTTCATCCATGCTTAATGGGCTATGTATGATAGGAAATCCAACAAGCCAAGACGGAATTAAGATCCAAGGGTGTCTCCGTCTAAAGAATGTTATCCGACAACGAGAGAAAGTGCACACACAGTGTCTTCGATGTTTCCCATTTAATAATGCCAGATATGGAGAAGGAAGGAATGCTAGGTTTACACTTGCAGGAGCGATAGCTTATTTCTCTCTCTCTTCCATTGACCTGTATAAAGAATCGTGATCATACCAGCATTATCGTCATCCTATTTTATTCATGCTCATGTGGTTGAATGGCAACAAAGGGCGGCCTTAAATAGCAGCAAATTATTCGGTGGTACAAAGAAGCAGCTTTCTTGCTTAGTGCATAGTGGGATTCAGATGTACATGATACATACCAATTCATCAAGAGTCTAATGGTGGCATATTGATGAATCAATCGCATAAGAAATCGAACGCATTGACCACGAGATTTGTATTCTTTGGATTCTAAAGTCACCACCATCCTTGTATATAATGCAACCTCCTTCATCGATTCAACTTGGCTGCTGCATAGCAACGCATGTTCATGTTTGATTACTCGGGTTGCCAGACAACGTTGGCTGTTGTTGTCATGTCGATTTGGGGTATGTTACAGCATACGAACGGCGGCTAATTGACAAGTTCTTCACGCCACGTGGGAGTTGTCAGTGTAACCATCAATCATTAGGGAGCTTTGGAAGATTATGAAGAACAAGCCCTATTTATTCAATGTCGTCACGTATACATAAAGAGATTATGATCCTATCCTATCGATTGCACTATTGAATGTAAAAAGATGATGAGTGGAATGGGGTTTTTGGAGCATGCAAAGGGTGTATATATACGGTGGAGGCAATAGATGGATTTGAGTTGCCGCTACACACAGCTCATTACTACCTGCTGCACAGGCACACAGGGGCCGAATGATAGTTGGGGATATCAAGTAGTACCAGCTCTTCTCTCTTTCACTTTCACCTCCAATTGTTTATTCGATGCGCACCTGATGGAGATCTTTGGTCGAAGTAAAGCAAAAGGAAAACGACGTCCAGACCCGATTGCTTCTCCACGTCCAACAGCAAGTTCAAGCACCACCAACTCCTCTTCCAGCCGCATCTATTCATCATCGCCACCCAGTCCTTCTTCGCATCCAATCGGATCCAGCATTCATAGTTCAACAGCCTCCAATGCATCGGTAGACGACTATTTCTCAGGTTAGATATATACATACATACGATACACACACTAGGGAAAAGCGCGTTATCAACCCTCGCATATATATCTATTAGGACATGGTGAAGCATCCAGTCGAAGTTCACAGTCAACCACCTTCACCTACTCGTTTATGAGCAGCACAGATAGCATGAGCGACTTGTTGCATCCCGAATCATTGACGGATACCGAGATTGAGACACGTTTTGAAAAGATGTTGGCAAGTTGTGATCCCCTATTGCCCTTGTTGCACACACTCACACACACACACATACTTTACACGCACACCCATCACTTTTTCTCCCCCTGATTTCCTTTATTAATGTATGTAATCTCTCTATTAGACGCGTCGAGGTATTAATGATACGAATGCACGCAACGTCATGGTCAATTTTCCTATCGAGAAGAAACGATTGATGGTGATTCAAGATATTCAAGCTGAAGCAGGTGCTCTTCTTGGCTCAACACCCGTGGCATCTCGAAAAGGTGGAGGAGGAGACAAGGATGGCGAGAAAAAGGGGCCCGAGTATTATGTCAAGAAGCTATCGGAACCGGATCTCAAAGGTATTCAAGCAAAGACATTGGCACACTTGAGTGTTAGCTTGCGTACCATGCCTCTCAGGTAAAAAAAAGGGGTGGTTGGGGGTTAGGATTCAAGGTCATTTGACAAAAACTGCAGATTAACTCGATCCTATCCATAGTTGGGTACGACAATTCATCAATATGCGTGGCATGCAAATCATGACGGCAGCACTAGGTGTCATCAATAAGAGACACAAGTAAGTTGAGTGAAAATGATGATGATCATCAATGGCAGGGATATCAAGGGGTGACTCAATTGTGTATTACACAACATAGGCGTGATCCTGAATTACAAGTTGAATCTGAAATCCTGCGATGTTTCAAAGCTTTATTGAACAACACTGTAAGTATATAGTTTTTTTGTATGGGAATTTGGTATATTGATTCGGTTGTGTATATAAAGGTTGGTGTTCGTGAAGCACTCAAGAGCCCACAATGTGTGCAAGAAATTGTATATTCCCTCCTTTCTCCCTCAGTCAACAACCGGCGTTTGGTATGCGAGGTGCTTGTATTCCTTTGCTATTACAAGGTGCCCATTGGCCAAGAACTCGTGCTTAAAGCTATGGACAAATTACGAGATGCTCGTAAAGGATATGGGCGATTTGATGCATGGTTCAAGGGGATGCAGCGTTCATTGGATGGACGTGGTCGAATGGGAAGTATGGTCGGCGCAAGTGATGATTACAAGCGTCTTGGTCTTCATGGCAGTACAGCAGACAATCAGCTTGCCGAATATGCGGTATGTAAAATGGGAGATTATGGAAAGTGGATGATTCTCAATGCTGATTGTTTTATTGGATGAGTAGCTTTGCAATGTCTTATTGGTGAATGCGATTATCAATGTGGTTGAGGATGTCGAGACACGTATACACCTACGCAATCAGATGAATGCATCAGGCTTGGAACGGCTTATGGATCAAATGACAGAGCTTAACAGCGACCCGATCGACATCCAAGTGCGTGAATACAAGTTGCTTGCTGAGAATGATCAGGATGATATCCTTGAAATGTACAATGAGCGAGTATTACGTGACCTCAATGATCCGCATGATGTCTTCGAATGCGTGCTGGCAAGCGTAGAAGGTACTCGCAGCTACGACTTTTTCCTCAGCTGTATGCAACACATCTTGTTGATCCGTGATGAAGGCGAACTCAAGGCACGCTATTTCCAAGTGATTGACAACCTCATTACTCAAGTCGTCTTGGATCATAAAGGAACGGTGGAAGATTTTTCATCTACGTACGGCACATCAGTACAGCATTTGATGGATAAGTTCGCCGATCAAGATCAGCTACAAACAACACTCGAGGATCTTAACAGCTTGCAAGAATTGTATGATGAAATCGTGATTGAACGTGATGAATTGCTGCAGCAGCTTGAAGAAAAAGGTGGAGGAGGAGGTCACGAGCTTACACAGCTACGAGAAAAGACGGTATCACTAGAAGATTTATTGCGCATGTCACGTCACACGATATCGACATTGCAGCAAAAGCTTCGTGATTTGCAAACCAACTATGAGAAAGATCTCGAAGGAATGCAGAATCAGCTTGACATGTTTCACAAGATTGTTGCCGAGTTTCAGGATGAGGATGGTGATGAGGATGGTGATATTGTTATTCCTCGTAAGGATTTTGCCAAAGCGTTTGGTCGTATCAAGGCACAAGAATCTCTTGAAGGCAAAGGGCCAAGAGAAAGTATGGAAGAGAGTGATGATCAACCCAAATCGCCTGTAAGTCATGCTCTATAATCATCCAAGCTATATTCTAACTTGATTATCATAGGCATCATCGTTCAAGGATGACCAAGAAAAGTACAAATCCATGGCTATCAGCTTGTCTGAAGAATTCAAGAACCAGCTTGCAATGCAATTTGGATCAAGTAGCGGTTTGGCGGACTTTGTTGTTCCAGGTGCAGCACCTCTAGTTGGATCATCATCACGTTGGGCCAATGCTCGTCGACGACAAGCTCGAAAGGCGAGTCAAGATCAGAGTATCAAGGAAGAATCGGATAGTACAAGCGGGCTTGTCTCTCCTAGCAGTGTAACATCACCCACCATGACAATTCAAGAAGAACTCAAAGCTACCTTTGCATCCTTTGGAAGAAGGTGTGTACGATTTACAGTCATTGGAATATTCATGCTCAAATTGATTTGCATTTTAGGTCATCGACAAGCAGCAATGGCAGTAGTAGCAGTGATGGCAGCCTTGAAAACGCGACATATCAAGTGGCAAGGATCACCCAGCGTGAAAACAAGCAGCACAAAGACAACACCATTGCATCTGATCAAGATGATTTGGCTATTGACACATCCAGCAAGCTGTCTAGTCGAATCTCGGATACACCACCTGTATTGACTTTGGAGACTGAAACAGAATCCTTGGATATCAGCTTACCTGGAAGCAGCAACATTGAAAAGAAGGCATCACTTCTTTCGCTTGATCATACCACTACTATGGGCGATAGCGATGACGAGCAGCACTCAAGGTTATCAACATCATCATTTGGTTCGAGAAGAGGATCCCATCGTAGCGCAAGAGTATCGATTGATTCAAGCCATGGACCATTGGCTTTGGATACTATTTCCGAATCACAATCTCATATTGACGACAGTGGATCTATTGCATCAAAGCATGGCAGCTATACTTCGCGATCATCTTCACGCCGTGGTAGTCAAATGTCATTGGAATCGACAGCTAAATCACGTCGTGAGACACAAACGTCAATTGAATCATCCGTTGGATCACGACGAGATACTCAAATATCATTGGAATCTCTATCAGCACACACTGAATCATGGTCAACACGAAAACCACGACGACAACCCAGCATATCGGAAACACCAGAAGAGGAATCAATGGATTTGGATGATCATTCAACTACTCAATCACCTGCTAAAGATTCCACTCCAATTATTGATACATCGACAGCTATTCCTCCTCCTCCACCGCCACCACCACCTCCACCACCACCACCAGTTCTTCCAGCTGCAGCTATAGCCAACAAACCATCCACTGGTGGTTCACAATCATCATCCGATCCTTTGGCAGCAACTGTACCACCACCACCGCCTCCACCACCACCACCTCCTCCTCCTTCAGGTTCTTCAGCTCATGTTGATATAGCCAAATCATCATCTTCTTCTTCATCACCATTGGAGAACAAGGACACTAATACCAATGCTGATGGTAATGCTCCTCCTGCTCCACCACCTCCACCACCAGGTGCACCACCTCCACCAACCGCACCAGGAATGATTGCTGTACCACGTAAAACAATGAATCATCTTCCAAGTGTCAAGACACGTGCATTACAGTGGCAAAAGATCAATATGGATAAGCTGAAATCAACAGTGTGGAGCGCTTATACCGATGAGAACGATGCGGCTTTGGAGAATCGCCTTGACATGGAGGGTATCTTTGCAATGATGGAAGAGACGTTTGCGCAAAAGGTGATCAATCGCAAAATCAAGGACAAGAAAGAGCGTAAGCAAGAGATTTGTATTCTTGATTCTCGCAAGGCCTACAATATCAGTAAGTAAAAGAGGCGATCAATTTGGATAGGGTAACTTAGATTGATGATGATGATTAGATATTGCTATCCTTGCCAAGCTCAAGCACATTCCTTTCCCTGAAGTCAAGAACAAGATTTTGGCTATCGATGATCGTTTCTGTACAGAAGTTTTGCTCAAGAACTTGTTGATCAATGCACCCACTCCCGATGAAATGGGCAAGCTTTCCGTATTTATGAAAACAGCGCCTGAAGAAGATATCCAAAATCTTTCCAAGCCTGATGCATTCTGTGCCGAGGTAAGAAAGTGAGCAAGATTTCCATGCATGATGAATGCTAATGCATGTTTGCATAGATTATGACAATTCCCCGATTCAAAGAACGCATTGACAACATGTTGTTCAGATCCACCTTCACAGAGAGAGTTACACAATTAGGAAAGGTAAGCATAAAGAGGATCGTAGTAGCCAACAAGGTATTAACAAGGTAGCATAGAATATGGCCAACGTCATGGATGCCTCCACTTCGCTCAAGGATTCAACAGCATTCAAGGACTTTTTAAACGTGAGTCGTAGTCGCTTGTTTCTCCGGTTACCATGACTCGACACTTACATTGTGCTTTAGCTTGTACTTATGCTTGGTAACTTTTTGAACGGCACCAATTTCCAAGGCGGTGCATTTGGTATCCGCATTGCCAGTATCAACAAGGTAAAACCCGTACCTGGATGATACCATATGTATAGATAGGCTGATTCATCATCTTCTTTTATAGATTGTGGACACCAAGTCATCTTCCAACGAGAGCACGCTTTTGCATTTCCTTGTCAAGATGATTGAAGAAAAGTTCCCCAACATCAGTCAGGCTTTATTGGATGATCTTAAATTGTGTGGTGAAGCATGTCGAGGTATGTATGCTTTTTTGGCTCTATAGTGGTAGTTGCCATGGAAACTAAACAACATGCTTTTCTAGTCACTATCCAAGATCTTATTAAGGATTACAATGAACTCCGTGTTGGCCTACAGAAGTTGACCCATGAGCTTGATCGGCACTATACGGATGACAATGATGAGGAGATAGCTGCAAATGATCGATTTGTCGAAGTGATGACCTCGTTCCGAGATTATGCAATTGAAAAGTTTGACCAATTGGAAGTGCGTTATACATCGATGGATGTTGCATACAAGGATGTGGTGACCTACTTTGGCGAGAACCCACGAGATATGAAACCTGACGAGTTCTTTGGCATATTCAAGACATTTACATCCAGTTGGGAGGTAAGGTGTTGTGTATATTAGGAGGAAGGACAAATCGATAAGCTGACATTTGATGCATGTCAATTAGCGTGCACGTGCAGATTTGATCGCACAGCGTAAGAAAATGGAGCAACTTGAACGTGCCCGTCAATTTGAAGAGCAACGTAAAGCACATGCCAAGAGAGCAAGAAAGGAAGCCGCCGAACTTAGCGGAGAAGGTATAAGCAATGACATTCACTCCATCCAACCCCCCCCCCTAAATCCACCTCCCTAAAAGCATATAGCTGACATTATTGTATCTTAGGTGGCAATGAAGCTCAAGAGGCTAAAGATATCATGGACAACCTATTACAAAAGTTGCGTTCAGGCGAATTAAGTTCGGCAGCCAAACGAAGAAGTCTCAGTCAACGGCGCATGTCAGTGGCTGCAAGAAGAGAACGACGAAGAACACGTAGTGAATCCGTTGCTATCAAGGCCGAAGATTTACTCAAGCACATGCAAAGTGAGGAGGAACAACCGCCTTTACCCACACAACAATCATCATCATCATCACCCGTACCGCCATCAACAACAGGTACTCGATCACGGAGTGGATCTCGAGCACGTTTGGCAACTTCAGAGCGGATGTTACGATTAGCCTCCCTTGCCGAGGATGCAGAGGATAAGGCGTGATAAATGATCGACGACGACCTCTGCCCACCTTTTTGCTTTTTTGTACCTATAGACTTGTTGCTAATTTAGTCACTACTACTAATACCCCATCACACACACACCAAACTACCACACCACCACCTCCACCTCCCCACAAAACACTTCCCATTGTCCCAAAAAGACACATCTCCCTTTTTTTTTACCCTGGTAACCATCCATCTCCTCCTCCCATTTTCTCCTCGCGCAAAAGCATCATGCGAGTTTCCAGGCAGAGATAAGATTAAAAGCAATCCAATGTTGCAGAAGCATATGTAATTGTAGAGGTTGATCATTGCGTTTATATAATGTTGTACATGGGATTATACGTGTTAAAGTGATAGATGGCTGTTCGAAAAAAGTGTCGTATACGTATCACGTTGGAGGGTTGTGGTGGTTTAAGTATCATCGTCGTCTTCTTCACCATGGGATGGAGTAAGGACACAACGAGCTTTTCCTCCATATGAGTCGCAGCATCGATTGAAATCACCAAGGTTGCTATAATCCCGGAAACGGCAGTGGAGTTCGTGCTGGCGTCTTAGCTCGCCCATCGTTCCAATACAACAGTCTTCAGTGAAAATAAAATCGATTTCGTTACAAAAGCAGTCGGCTGCCATGGATTGAGTCGTAAAGAGTGACAGGAGAAGAAGGGAAAGCAGCAGTAATGAAAAAGTACGCATGCTGGTAGATTTGTGTAAAAGAGTGGAAAGGGTTGCAGGTAAACAGATCATCTCTACCTGAGGAGTAAGAGATCCTTTTTATATGTGGATCTTGACTTCCTCCCTTTATCGGTTCACCTGTTTCAGCCAAGCGACTGGCACAAAGGAAACCAATTTATGACCTACATATCATCCCCTTGATCTCCCTACTTTTTCTTTTTGCGTCGTTGTGCCTGAGTCTTCTCCGACATGAGTTGACGATGGTAGGGAGCATCACGGTAATTGAAAGGTGTCATCTTTCAATATCACTTCCCCATGAGAGGATACGACAATATGGTGCGAGTACACATGCACATCATCTATTGCAACGTTTAACGATATGGAAGGCGTGGTATTAGCAGCTAATTTTACTAGCGTGGATTCTTTCATTGTCGATCAGAATGCAAAGAAACCACATGACCCTATCTTTTGTGAAACGATGGATGAATCCACCATCACTCTTGTTCTTTAAGACAAAGACGCATGTGGATTTGCATTTGATTGTTTCAGTGGCTCATTCATCTGAAGAATGTAATCAATTTCCCATAGGCTTGGAATCCATTTCATTTCTTCTTTTTATGGTAGTAGCATTAAAAACGAGCTAACATTCCAACCAAAATGGCGACCTATATTAAAGTCCATGTCATGTGAGCCTATGCAAATGCAACGCGTGAATGTAGGTAAGCAACAAATTAAATGATCCTTGTTTGCTTATATTACTTGACAGCAGCAGCAGTAACAGCAGCAGCAGTGGTATTTGTCAGCGGGAAAACAAGAGATTCTTAGGGGAGCGTGTAATACCTGTATGCTACAATAAAGCAAAACGCCGTATCATGTTGTGCGACCCAAGTTGCAGATGGCAACAAAGACATCATCGTATCGAATATACAATTTTTTTCTTTATTGAAAAGTGATCTCCGGTTTGCTCGGAATGATCGGATATTACCCCCGTATAAAAGTACGCGATCGGTGCCACATACACGGCATAGTGTGTAATTCCCATTTGTTGCTTTCACATGATCAACGAAAGGTACAATCAAACAGCCGAATGTGTGTGTCATGGATATAGGTTATTTGATATATAGATAAGAGGAGGATCACTAAGGGAAAAAAAGGGGGAATATACATGATGATGTTGCTGTTGCAAGCACTACTAGGCATCTCTTATTTTATACTACCATGGCACCATTGGCATCATCGCCTGATTCAAGAAGACTAGAATGATGCTCTATGTTAGTACCCCATGTAGATGATCTTTTCCAAAGACTTTAAGCTACTTGCCTGTTTTGCTTCAACAAGACACATTCACCGCCATTCTCCAAATCAATGTTGTATTGATAAAAGTAGCCTTCAGACGTAACAACCAAGACTTGAGGCGTGGTGCTGCATACGATCAATTAGTCCATGATCCAATCATCCGCAGCCCAAACCATCTATACCTGCTCAACGCCACAAGACTACGCACGCCTGCACTTGGAAGCTTGAGGAATGCAAAATCGCGTGCAGGCTCCCACATTTCAGTAATCATACCAGGCAAGTAAGATCCAACGCTGCGACCCAAATGTTGTGAAGAGCGCTTGAGCATTTGTCTAAAAATGCCAATGATGATGAATCACTGAAATTTTCCATTACCTGCCAGGCCATCCATCACCCTTACCCAACACTGTTGCTGCGTCCTCGCGTTTCAGTATCATCCTTTCCATATCCATTGCTGCCTTCGATCAAGGGATCATATCCTGTGCCTCCGTTAGGCGGCATGGCAATCTTGAAGATGTGAACGGTTTCAGTGTCACTGGATACACAAAGCAAAGAGCTGACAGGGTTGAACGACATGGAATAAATCTTGGCTGGATACGATCCTCTTCGAAATTGATACACTTTGCCAGCATCAGGGACCGAGAATACACGAATGACAGTACCCTACACCACATGAAAGGTTAAAATCCTTCCCTCCTTCCTTGAACAACATACCTATCGAATCCAAATTACATACCTTTTCACTAGCCGTAGCCAACAGCGTTCCTTCCGAATTCATTGTGATACAGCTGACGGGCGATTTGTGTGCCTGGACAATGTTGACAAGCTGAATATTCAAAGCATCAAAGATCTCAACATCACCGGATGCATAACCAGAAGCAGTTGCATTGGCAGCTGTCGAAGTAAAAGGTGATGTCGAAGAAGATCGGGATGGATAAGCAATGTAGCAATTTTCGGAGGAGGGTGACAAGGCACAAATGGCTAATGACACACACACACACATACACGGGATGAGCCCATCGATTCCACTGTTTACAATACACAATGAATCTTACCAGTAGGGTTAGGTCTAGTGTCGATCGTATGAAGCAACTTCATGTTGCTAATGTCGTACAAAAAGATCTGCTCCTCCAACACGACAATTAGCCTCCGCCGATTCATTTTGACAGCCAAGATCGTTGTAGGAAACGTCAATTCACAAATAGTCGATTGTCTCTGTGATAATAAATGTCAATAAAGAAGGAGGGGTTTTTGGTTGTAGTAGTAGAGAGGAATGTCCCTTGTACCTTGGTGTTGATGATCTGAAGTTGTCTTGAGTTGAAGCCTTCCTGGTCCGCTACGCCCACCAGTGCCACAAGAGAGGTACAAAACAGCATTTCTACGATACTCGCACCGCGTCCAGCTAAAGAAAAGGAGAATGAGAACTCGTTTGGACATGTGCATTGGACTTGTTGTTCCCTACATTTGCTATAGCATCGTCCAAAAGGGTCGCAGTTGTACATTCGATAGCCGGTTTCGGTGCCAACAGAGACACAGCTAAAGTCTTGATTGAAGTTGAGAAAGAGAATCTTGTCGGATGAGTCTTCCATATCGCCTGAGAGATTCATGGTGGAAAAGTGGAGGGGAGGAGAAGAGATAAGAGAAAAGGTGAAACACTAAAGGCAAGCGTGCGTGAGTATGTGGGTGGGTGTGAAGCACACTTTTGTCCCCGAGGCATAGACACAACACATAATGTGACTCTACTGATGTTTGTGCTATCTTTTCCACGTAGCAGTAGCACCATCATCATCTACATCATCCTTACACATACAACATTTATAAACATGTTTGCAACACACTCTCTCTCCTGCTTGACATTCATTTATTTGATCCCCCATCATCTTGCATATATCCACCACCACTCCACTCCACCGTTTCATTATTCTTTGGGTGTCATTGTCTTTTTGCTTTACAACCTTTTATGTCAACATGTTTTCAACTTGCTTTAATAAAGGACCACTTTAAATCAAGACTATTCTATCTCATTGGATCAACAAGCCCAAGATGGGGGTGTGTCCTGGATAATGATTGTTGTGGCAAATGGGTCATTGAAAGCAAGGGCTTTGTTCGGGTTCAAGATGGTTTGATACTCAGTCTTTATGTTGTACACACACTCGGGTTGTGTAGCCGTCGGTTCCGGCTGCCCTTGATGGTAACTGCTATTTTGCCCTGCACAGCTTAAAAAACTTTGTTGCCTTATCCCACTTTCTTTCTTTTCCTCTTTTCCACACACATTTTTTTCCTCTTGTCTTTTTCGCTGCTTGACGCTTCCATGACAGAAAAGGTGGGTTGGAATAACTCGACGCATATGGGTGTGGGTAGTCAAGTTGCATGAAGATGATGATGGGGCACTTTTTAAAACTCAACATGGTTGCTGGATGATGATGCAGGACTTGGAGCCCTATGGCTATCTCCACTGCCGGAACCTCGCCGTTGCGGATCGTTATGCTATCGCACCACCAAAGCCTTCCAACGTCAAACATGTTCCCGATTCGCTGGTAAGCATCGCTGCAAACAGCCATGTGCTACGCTATCTACTTATCATCTTTTCTCCTCCAATTTGTTCGTTGTAGTGTGTATATTACGATCTTGTTGTCGACGACCATTTGGCAGATAGTAAGGCTTCTTCTTTGTCTCACATTATAAAATGAAGAAGAAAATGACCATGAATCTCGATAATAGCATGCACAAGCTATGATGCATTCTACAATGTAATCACGTCAACGCCTACACGTCAACCACAAACAACACGACGCCAATCCACCTATTCACCTCTACCGGTAGAACAGCAACGACGATTCATAAAGGTGCGTGTGAAATCAAATGATAGTGCTAAAAGGGATAAGGAAGGAAGCACAGGTTCTCACACCATTGTGTTCATCATCATGCATGAATATGATTTTACATTTTAGAACGATGAACGTCGAGGCAACCTGATTTCCGAGTTTGTATTGACCGAAGATAATTATGTGGCTAGCCTTCGATCATTTGTGTCGGTATGTAATGTTCATTGGGTATATTTTTGGTTTCTCCTTTGGCATGACTAAACAAATGATACCCTTTATGTGTACCTAGTCGATCGTTCAACCGATCCGCTCCCGAGCTCGTGATAAGCAACGATGTATTCTTGGGCCTTATGAATGTAGCAAAATCTTCATGAATGTGGAGCAGCTCTTGCAAGCCAACGAAGCATTCAGGCTTGATTTGGCTCGATATCAATCCTCAGCCATCTCCATGAACTTTGGTGACATGTGTCTTATGCACGTAAGTTTGACAGTTGTTGTAGAAGCCGACGGAAGTATCCGATGATCGGAGAGAACAGGTTGCTGATTTGGGACGCGCATCAATGTTTGTGTGCGTGTGTGTGGTTAATTAGATGCGGCGATTTGCTACGTGTTATCGCAAATTTCTCTTGGGTGTTGAAAACGCACAATCATTCAATATAAAGGAGCAAAAACACAATGCAACGTATGAAGCTTATCTAAACGTAAGAATCACCATGATCGTTGACGAACAATGTGACTCACCACAAGTGGCGTGATATACAACAACAGAAGCTAAAGGTCAATAAGGGGAATCAAACCGTGTACGACTACTTGGCACTACCAGGGCAACGGGTCGGTCGCTACACCATGTTTTTTAAAGGTTAGTACATTTGACTTGTCACATAAACAAGCAATGATCCTTGGGGGCTGACGTGGATAACTTGTATTGGTACGTAGAGCTGATCAAGCATACCACTGATGATCATTCCGATCTACCAGGATTGACCGAGGCATTGAAAGCTGCAGAGGAAATTGCCAACATGAGCGAGGATTATCATACAAAGCTCATCAAAATATTTCACAACATGCTCCAATCCATTCAAAATTGCCCGGTAAGCATATGAGGTCAACTTTGAATGATGTTCTTATAAGCTTAATCTTGATACAGGCCTCGTTAATAAGCCAACAACGTAGCTTGATATGTCATCTTGATGCTGTAGAGCACGATTTGAATACTGGAAAACCAGCACATCCGGTAACATTGTTTCTTTTCACTGACAAGTTGATGGTTGCACGAAGACCATCCTATGCAGTTGATGGATTGGAATCATGCGGCCTGGATCATGAGCGTGATAAATCTGGTATGCTATCGTTGCTAGCACGAAAAGCTGATCTCACCAAGCGATACGATCGAAAACTCAAATTTCGAGGATGGATGGGTTTAAGCGACATCGAAGTCCATGATGGTGTTGCAGGTAAAATAAACGTCATAGCTGAAGAAGAGAATCATGGTGGCATACTAAAACATGGTATTGGATAATAGGTGTGCCTGGATCATTCACGCTTGTGGCAGCAACAAGTGAAGCTGTTACCCCAACGGATGTCGACCCTCAAACACGAGATGCACTTGAAGGCTACTTTTTGGAAGATTCACCTCGACTCTTTAGTATTTCATGCACATCACCCGATGGTAGTACAAAAACGATCCACTCGTTGATGCAGGAACGGCAAAATTTTGTGGAACAATTTGGGAGGCAGAAATTGAGCCTCCATCGTATGGGTAAGGCTCACATCTCTTTTGCTCATATTCGTCATCCCCTTGCTTACTTTTGAATACGGCAGATGATGTCTTGCTTGATTGGACATGTTGCTTATGGAATGACCGTTACTTTTTTGCCAACATTTATCGCCTATCAGCGTATCACCAAGTACAAGCAAAGGTGAGCAGCCCAAAGTTATCACCACAACGCTTCAATTTCCAATGTAAAATTCCTCGCTCTTACTTATTCTATAGAATGAAGTGGCTCTTGTTTACATCAAAGATCCCAATTCGCCCAAGCTAAAATCAGCATTGAGCAACAGCTTCATGATACCCCATATGCTTGGGTTGGTGAAACCGGTCAATACTGGAGGAAAGCACATGTAAGTCCACGTAGGCCCTTCATTAGACATTCAACATGCTAACGTAATTTTTATTTAGTATCACGATGCGCAGCAAGCTGGCACTTGGATGTACATCCGATAGCCATGTTACCTCCGACCTCGAGCTGTCGACAGGAAACGAGAGCGAGATCCATCATTTTAGGGATCGATTGCTTGGCAATCGTAGGTATTGGCTGATTAGGTGCTATGTTTGTAAGCTCTCAAGCAAGATCACTTAAAACGTTGTCCTATAGTTTATGCATGCGACAAAGATTTACGTGAGGTGGGAAGAATGGCTACATCACTTTCAACTTATGGACGTCGTCGTCGACTACGCTATGCCAACCAAATCAAACCTATATCATCCACTTTTCGAAAGGAGCTCAATCGCCGTCGCAGCATGAACACCTTCAAGCTATTTTCTGGTTTGGGATCGCCACCTGCATTACCATCATCCAACAATGCTACAGCTATTGCTGCATCATCATCATCTGCCGCCCGACGAAAGAGCGTGAATAGTGATGAATTTTCCAAGACAACAGGTTTTATGGAATCACGTATTTCACGTGCCTATTCTTCTGCAAGCTCCAACAGCAATGATTCGGAGCAAGAAACAGCCGTTGACATCTCCATTATGCATCAAGGCAACAAGCGCAATTCGATGAACGTTCGAAGAAAATCATTGACCGAGTCGATTGCATCCATGTATCGAGTAAGGTGATCCATAATAGTTCAAAGCGTGTGGTAAACTTACATATGATAATAGCCTAGTGTACATCCATCACAGACCGTGTCATATGAGCTTATGGTATGTTTGACTTTTTGTTATTGTCGTTAATGATACGTTGCTTATTGATTTATGGAAATCGGTAGCCTGGCAACCGATCATCATCCAATGCAAGGTCCAATAGTGAGCATGATCTTTCAAATGAAAGTGCCAAAAAGATACCTCATCACGTGCAACGCCAAAGACGTGACATGCCACCAGAATACCCTCCAAAGTATCCGGATAGTAACATCTCACAACCCACCATGAGCACACGTTCCAGTTGCAACAGTCCTACCAATTTTCCCGGATGTCGCAAGAGTTGGGGTGGCTCATCGACAACACAAGATCCATTTTCTAGTCGTAGCACGCTATCCACGCCTATGGATAGCACCCATGATTTAGCACCGCCACTCATAGGTCGCATTAATAGCAGCAATAGCAGTGGCACCTATACACCTTTCTCGCATGATCTACTCGGCACAGTAAGTGTATATAGAGATCTTTGATATGAATGAAAACTGGCATGGCTAATGATGTAATACTTTAGGAGCATATCCAAGTGGATGAAAAGGTCACTGAACTCTTGGCGCAAATCAAGAGCCATTCACCTCTTTCATCATCAAGCAGTGAGAGCTGCCAAACACCACCACCCGCTGTACAACCCAATCCTGTTCAAGATGGCATTGACAAGCTTGTGCTGGAGATGGATATCATGAAGAGTGAATTCAATCGTAAATACAGCAATATCATTCATGACTATGAGGAAATGGGATCGGTTGTTCGGCAATTGACAAGGGAGCTACGAAAGGTAATACATCTAATATGACGAACAACAAAGGATCAACATGGGAATTAACGTTCACGTTTAGAGAGACGAAGAGCTTGCCGCACTACGTATACGATATCGGGATTGTATAGCAGAAAATGACCTGCTGTATGAGGTATGGATGGTGGCATTCATTGTGTGCAAATGACAATGATGGTGGTCTCATTATGTTGCTATTAGGCTTTCAACCACGAATTGGATCAGATGTTTGATACGCTTGGTTACCAACGACATCAGCGGCAACGTCAACGGATGATCGATGATGATGATGATGACGGTGGTGGTGGTGGTGAGGATGAGGATGATTATGATGATGATACGAGCATCGAGTCTCAACGACAACGTATACACCATCATCGACGACCAAGTCATCCAAGCCCAGAAATGCAAATAAGGAGAAAACTGGAAGTGACAATGAAAGAACGTAACCAATGGCATCAAACAGCATGGTATGTCGAATAGCATCTTCTCATTGCCTTGTTACCCTGATATCCCCTTGTGTGTATCAGTGCTTTTGTATCTCACAGGTGGTTTGAACATGTAGCAAATTGGCTCGGGAGCTGCAAAATTTGACACAAGGACTCGAAGTCGATATCCCCGTCAGACCAACAAATTCGACATCATCCCCTTCACCCAATGTTCGACGATAACCCAATCCTCAGTCAATCTTTTTTAGATACATGCAACAACAACACCACCACCGCCCCTCCTCCTTTCGCATCAAGTTTTTATGTTTACATCATCCAGCATTACTGATTTTGTTGTACCTTTCTTTTATCTATGCGCTCTTATCTATTGCTATTTATGTTCTACTTATCATCCCCCTCCTATTATGCAACTAAGTTCATCTCATTTGACATTACCAATCGTTTAGATATAATATAGACTTTGAAATTGTACATAAAATGTTTTCTTTATAAGAGCAATTTCCATGACTACAGTGCTACACGAAGTGCTACCGGCGCTGCCTAGTCGACTTGCTGGTTTCTACATATTCTTCCCATTCCCAATCGTCGTATGCGTGATCATCATGGTCTTCATCCACCGGATCCTCAGCTTGGTCTTTCGTCGTTGTTGTTGAATCATGGGCTGTACTCTCCTTGTGATACTCTAATGCCGATATCCTAAGCACATGCTGTAACATCTCCTCCTCATCAGACCACTCTTCTTCCGCCACAAGTTCTCGGATCGTCTCATGAGATGTAGTCTCTTCTTCAGGCACGGCTTCGTTTTTCGCCTCTTGCTTCTCTGGGATCGAATGGTCTATCATAGCAAGTAAACAAGTTAGAACGAAGCCTGCTATCGACAAGAAACGATTCAACTCACCCACGAAAATATCCAATGTCTCTTTGGAAACAATTCCAGCCAAGTCTACGGACACCAGCGTAATCGTACATCCAATGGGGAGATGACCCAGGTACTTTGAACGACGTCTATGCTCCTGCATAGCCATGTGTCAAACATTGTTCCCATCAAAACATCCACAAACACACACACCTCTGTCAAGATGATTTCCTCCAATGCTCGAATCACCGGTCGTATCCGTAAAGGGAATAAATGATAATCACCAAACTCGTGTTTGAGTACTCGGATATCGCGTGAATTCAAAAAGATAAATTGCCCGTTTGCTTCTTGATAGAAATGATAATCCACTCTTGATTCTCCTCCTGCTTCATGCTGTTGATGTATCCGATGATGGTTATGATGATTGTTGTTGTTGTTCAATGATGATGCTGCTTCTCGTTGTTGCTGATGTCGTTCCTTGTTTGTATGCACCACATCCAATCCAGCAAGTAAAGCTGCCAATTCATTATCCTCATCGACATCCTGGATAGCTTTGCCAAGGCATTCTGCATCCTTGTCATATTCTGCTTCCATGTATTCTGGCTTGGCTAGCATGAATCTCGAAAATTGCATGGCGAGAGGTGCCGTATTCCAAGGGATCAACGAGGTATTCGTCGTAGTGGTGGTTGTTGTAGAGGAGGCAGCAGGCAGAGCAAACATGGAATTGGCATGGCGATGCACTAAGCATAGATCGATTGAATCACCTGCATTATATGTCTTGCTCTCTAGGACCTTGACAGGCTTGAGATCACGAGGGCCGAGGATACAATCCCAACAAATAGGGCAAGCTTTATGTTCTTGAAGACAATGCAAGATACAACCAAGGCAAAACACGTGACCACATCGAGCAATGCGTGCGGCTGTAGGTGATTCCAAACAAATTGGGCATGAAGACATTCCATACAATAACTAATAGAGTAATGGGTGAGTTGCTGTTGTTGGATTATCATCATCCATGATTAACTTACTACTTGTTCAATCCAATCCCAATCAAAAGAAATATCTGGATCGTTCAATTGCTTTGTATAATCACCAGATGCATCGAGTAGAAACCGGAAGCTTCACAAGGAGGAGGTCAACAATGATGATCAAGATAAGCTTGCATGAATGTCGCCACTTACTTTGCATTGAGATAATCTTCCTTCTTATACGGCTTGTAAGAGCCACCGTTATTGGTCGACCTTGGCATTGTCTCTTCAGTGGTCTCGCGTTCAGGTAGTGTAAAGTTCAGGAGGTGATTCAATGAGGCTTGCCGTTGTTTGCGCTGCTGTCGTCTGTGGACGTAATGAGCGTCTAAACAAGGTTGTTGTTAGAATGCAAAGGGTCAATGTCGCGCACGCTGTATGTTGCCAAGTACCTGAATTGCCCCGTTCTTCGTAATGTGAATTGCTCTGGCAACGAGTATTCATGGTATAGAAGAAGGTGTGTTGAAAGTAGGGGTTTCGAGTAACCGCAGTATCAAAAGGGAATGAGTTTATCTCAACTTGGCAATCCATAGCATTTATTATTGGTGGAGTTCGCCAGAGTGTAGCAGCACGCGCGGGTTCCTCAACTACTGCTACTCCCCATTGCCCACTCAACAACACGTCAACCATGGACAGCGAACCAGCACCCAAACGATTGAAGCTTTCTCTCGAACCTTCTCTCGATCAAATACCCGTCGACATTGAGGACAATGGCCAAGAGATCTTCAAAAAGTAATATCTTCATCGTACTTGTTTCAGCATTGAACAACGTCTAACACCGTTATGCCCTTGTTTCACCCAATGCAGTGAGCCATCGCCACCCGAGAAACTTATGCTCAACGTTGATCGCGTATGGGGCGAGCGTGGCGACTGGCGTTTGATCACTGAAGAGAGTTTGCAACAATCTATTACAGCAGTGGATGATGATACTTCTTCTGAAGCCAACGACAAAGACGCCAACAATCAATCCGTCAGTGGTGCACCATCAGGCTTTGATATGGCGAGAGTACGGGAATCGGTCCATAACAAGCTCTGGTAAGTATACATTGAATAGCGTCCATTCGTGATTCGTTTCCTCATATAACGTGAATTGATCTAGTCATGCAAAGAGCGAGATCGACGTAGCGCTAGACGTTATCAATATCCTCTTGTCTCAAAACCGATCCAAGGATGTCGTCCTCCCTCTTCCACCAGGCACACTGCATGCGACTTATGTGGCCAAACCAAGACCCACCGTGAAAGCACAACTGGAGTCGGCTCAATTGACGTTGGGATTGAAACGCAAAGTATGTCGATTGTTGTGGTGAGGTTGCTTTCATTCGCTTTGCTAACAATGGAAACCTTAGCAACAAAGAAATGCAGCCGAATTTCTCAAATCAAGTGCAACCAAGCTCAGATCGTTGGTGGATGGGGAACAACAATTTTGGGAAGAGGCGTTAGAGCTACGTCGCAACAACTGGTTGATGCATGCCAACACTGCCTCAGCTGATACTTCATTCTTGGTGCGTTATGGATATACAGAAGGTAAGTAAAGGTGAATGTGATTGGATGATTGTGGATATACTTATCCTTGTTTTGATAGCTGGATCTGATTTCAATGAAGTATCCTTTGGTGAATTCAGCAGGGCGAATGATGACCACGATGAGGAAAAGACACGCTTGACGCTGCCTCACAGCTTGCCACGAAGAATGGTCGCCAATGTCAGCATATCAAAGATGGGCAAATTAGATCATCAATCCGATATGGGACCTGAAGTAATCATGGGCATGTCAGAGGAAGTGGATGAGAAATCAAGGAATGGTAAGTAACGTTATTTAAAGTTGCTATGTGTTGGTTGGTACTTATTATCATAAATAGATGCTCTCCCATGTCTGGCCATGAGTTCCCAATTGAGCAAGATCCAGCAGCAACTCGTTGAAGCCCAATCCACCATCTTTGATGCAGAGCTATATGCTTCGGTAAGGCATGCCATGACTCAATGATGACCCCTTGTACTTATTTCAAAAGTGCAGGTGTTATCAGAAGCTCAAGGTCTTGCAAGCAACAATGACGTGCGTTTTGATGATGAAGAGGTCATTGTTACCATTGATGGTCACGTGGATCTCTCTATTCGACGCGTGGAAGCATCAGCTATCAAAGATCAGGAACGAGGATCGGATGACCATGATGATGAGACAAAGGATCAAGTGGCGACTCCTGTAACTACACAACAAATATCCGGAAGGACATTGGATCTTGCATTGCGATTACTACTCCTCCAGCGTTATCGTCTCAACACATGGAGGACAAGAGCCCGATTATTATGTCCCAATCGCAAAATTCAGCAATTACTTACAACGATGGGTGAACCTCCATTACAGCCATCATCAGCATCAGGTAGCACCTCCGGCACAGCATCCAGCAGCACAGTGGGTGGCAGTGGAACCAATCGACGTATGCAGCAAACACGTGGCACCAATGCATGGCAACCATCAGTACCCGTTTTGTCACCCGCTTTGGCAATGTGCAAGTTCTGGGTATTGTTTGATCGTGTGCGACAATTGGTCTATGATGCCATTGAACCTTTTACGGGCGAAGGTGGTACCAATCTTTCAGTGCACTATGAGTTACGTGGTGATGGCTTTTCAAATCAACACAAACGAAATGATGGTTCCTTATGCAGCTCCTATCCTGGAGTGGGTGAAATGGCCATTAGCCTTAGTATCAGCATTTTGAAAGGGTAAGTGATGGATCTCATTATGTGCTTTTCTTTTGTCTCATTCAAGCTTCTATTCTAGGCAATTCTTGCTCTTTGTTTTGCATGAATCTGGCAACATCACCGTACGATTACCCCAAGGATTGATGACTTTGAGCAACATTAGCGAATTTCAAGCACTCCTAACGCGTGAAATCAACCTGATTGGACTTCGAATGGTGTGTGAAGTTGCCAATAGCTTCATCCGATGTACACCTGGTTTTCAGAATGCCACCCCTAGTGAGCAAGGTCGATGTCTATGGAAAGTGGATGATATCGAAGAAACAATCAATGGCTCTATCTCGTGGGCACTTGGTCCATCGGCTAGTCAAGATTCCAGCCATGTATGGCGAAGCATGTAAGTGTTTTCATTATGACTATGTTCAAGGACGACATCATTAATGGGGTTTTTTTCTTTTACAGACACGTGCAATTGATCAAGACGCAACTAGAAGGCAAACCAGCGTATCAACTTCAATTCCAACTACGAGCACCTGCACAATCAAATGAACGACCCTCATCCGCATTACCATCCATCACACGCGAAATACTATTTTCACGAACACAAACCAAAGACGCAGGCGTATTGACATTCAGTGAAAAGATCAAGCTCATTGTTGAGGAACTTGTACAAGAAGCGGCATCATCCATCAAATCTCCATAGCAACCAGCTCTCTCCCTTGCACACACATATACATCTACTTGTACATTTGCTTATTGACAATCATACCTTTACTCAAAGTTGATCCTTTATCCCTTTTTTGCTTGCAACTTGTTCCAGACCGTGAATATGATGATGACAATCGGGTATGACAAGCGTGGCGTTGTGCATGTGCATCGGGATAGGCTGTAACGAGAAATCGGTCATTATCTTCCCCTTCTTCTCCTCGTAACATGTGTGTGTGGGGTATGGTGATGGTGGTGTAGGTTAGTTTGCATGCAGTAGGAGCTGCAGGAACCACCTCATTACAAAGTAACCTAATAAAGACTAACCGTATCCTGAATCTAAGAACAAGCCATCGTCCCTCCCACATAGGTTAAAAAAGGGATTATTCCTTAATGTGGTCAATGGTGGGTGCTTTTAAGACACCAAAGGTACAGCCTATGCAAACAAATATCGTAACGACGGGCACCCTTATTCCTACAACGTCATCCAGAGTGTGTGTCGTTCTTCTCCTTATGATTTTAAAAGTACCCCTTTTTGTCTCTCTCCACAATTGTCACGCATGTGTGTGTGCGTATGTGTGGCCACATTATAGTCTGCCGATTTTATCACGTATTACGACAACAACTCAACGCTAAGGATATACATCCAACCTTAATCTTGCTTAAGGATGTTTATACAGACGCTTTTATAATACCAGAAATGTGGATCAGAAATGACATGATGGATGTTGACGCCATTCTTTTTTCATGGCAAGAACAAGCAAGGAGGGTGGAATTTCATCTCGCATCGAGGATAGGTGATGGCGGTGTGGGTGCGGGTGTGGGAAGATTCCAAGTGTTGACAAGCTTGCATAAGGGAAGCAATGCGTGGGTGAATGAGAATAACCCATCATCACGCACGAGTCAGCTGAGCTTGTTTCTCAAGGAATTGCATCATGCCCATGATGATGATGATGATACACAGCTGTATTTGCTTTCCATTTTTTCGCAGCAAAAGATTATCTGTGCATCCACGCCATCTCAAGCTTTTCAAGTAATGTGTGTGTGTATAAGGAATGTGGGGTAGGGGGGTTCCAACAAACGGGGGTAGGGCTATGATGATCGTCATCGTCGTCATCGTCGTCGTCGATGATTGCATTATTGACGATGTAGAAGGCCCTTTGTTCAATTTCCACATGCTGCCAAGCAAGCCGATAATGGGGTTTTCAAGGTACTTTTAGGGCTAGTTGCCGATGCTACGCAAGAAAGATTGATGAAAATATCCATATGACCACACGATTGATAAGCAAAACGTGAGCTGGATCCCATTTTACTGTTGTACATCATGACAACAGTCAAATAAATCTGACCATTTTATAATAGTGCTTAGCACTTGCTACTTGATGGAGCTCCTATGCTTTTGCTATTCCCCGTCCATGAAATGCAATCCACTACATCTATTCTACCAAAGCACATCACCCGATAAAGAAGGTTGGAAAAAGGCAGTAAAGGGAAAAAGGAGGAAGTTGCATTGTACAACCTAACGTCGTTCGTACAACAACAAAGGGTGTGTCACACAAACGCAAGTGTAACAAACACTAATGGTTTTCCTAATATGCCACGTGCTTCAACTTTCTTTCGCCCATGCTTTCTATTTTGTTGATTGACTGCAACAATGAAGGATTACAGGTTACATAACAATGTGGTACATGGTAAATAGGCACTAACAATGATGAGCGCGGTATATATGCTACAGGTGGGAAAGAAGGGAAAATGCTCTTCCATCTGGATAATGAGTGATGAAACATGCAAGAAGAAAAAGGTGGCGTCCGCCGCTGTGTTTTGGGCGATCACTCGTCTATGCCAATCGCTCTTTCCCCCCTTGCAATGATGACTGGAAGCATGAGATACCATGATTGTTCCATTTTTGATGATAATGATTGATCGAATGCTCTATATATGCAACATGCAAACAAGGTTTTGGTAAAGCCCTGTAGATGCAAAATTGCCACACACACACACATACGTACACATCTCTTCCGTGATAGACCAATAATACATTCCCGGAGCAACTCCGAGCACCATGGTTCTCGCATGATATGACGCACATTTGTATGTTGTGTTGTGTGTGTGCAAGAATAGTTTGATAGCAAAGCCATAAGAAAGGGGGGAGGGGGGTGACAAGCATTTTCAATTTGTCACACATTCCATGTAAGAAAACGATTCTCGACCTCCCCCTCGGCATTCCGGATGTGGTAGATAAAAGGAGTTTTGATAGTGATCTGTATTGCTGTTGTTGTCGTTGCCAATAAGACTGTGAATCATTTACAAGATATTCAGGCACCCCCGACGAAAAGAAAGAAAATGAAAAATCGGGGGGAGGGAAGAGTAAAGAGATTGAGTTGGCTGAAGGGAGTAAAAAAAAATGGTGTCAAAGACAGAAGTAGGTGTCAAGCGGTTGCCCGGTTACGTCAGTGGGGTCACATTGGCTTTTTTGTGCAACGGGAAATGACATCATTAAAGTGCTTCCAGAACACGTTCTTCATTTTTTAGCCATCCTTTGCTGATACCAATGGGACACAACCTTGCAGCATGTGGAGAAAGTCAAGGGAGAATATCCGAATCTAATGTCGGTCACTGATGGGGGAAAAAAGACTCCATGACCATAAAACACGATACCACACCACTATACATACACAGCAAGGACGTTTCTAGAAGGTATTCATGGCATACACACATCTGCTCACATACAACGAAACGACATCTTTGATAGAACGATGTTGCTCAGACCACTATTTTTTCTTCGTACTGAGTTTTCGACATTGAGCGCTTTGTGTTTTTTTTTTTGCAACCCATATTACGTGGCACTGGGTCCCTTTCTCCCCCGCTCTACATCTCCCAATTCAACCGCCTCTTGTTTTCTTTTCCCTTTTTCCTCCTTTGTCTCACTCACTCACTCACTCACTCGCACTCACGCTCACACACCAACACCAGCACTTTGCAGCAGCTTTGCATTCCTCACTCTCAACCTGATTCGCGACACGTGCTCGACTCTTTTGATTGTTGGACCATTTCCCGCAAAACGACATTACGACGGACGAATCGTGCATGACGAGAGATGCGACTTTGGGCACCTCAGCCGCGTGGGAGCCCAACAAGTCGCTTCAACAACAACCGATACGTCGACGACATCATTTTTATGAATTACCAGCAACGTGTCTTGAACGCATATTTGGCTATCTGAGCAGTAGATCCGATTTAGTGCATGCAGCTCTTGTGTGCCGTGCATGGACAACACCAGCGTTAAAGTTGATATGGGCCAATTTCCGTTTTGTACGAGAACGTGATTTCGAACGAGTGTTTTCAATCATGGCTCGACAGAATGTATCACGACCTTATGGCACGTATGTCAAAGCACTCGATCTTGTGCATGCAGACCGGGAATTTCTCGTTAGCCCCAATGTCATTCTACTTGTCACCGCTTTGTGTCCAAATCTTGAATCCATATCCATCACCATTCATCATACTCGACCCGTGGCTCCACCCGTGGTTCCACCCATCCTACAAAATCGTCCCGTTTTACCACCTATTCGACGTCCTGGAGACGCTCAACCTGTACGTCCACAACCACCAGCTGCACCAAATCATCAACTTCATAATAATCATCATGCAAACAATATTCGCTCACCACCACAACCACAACCTATTAACAACAACAATCATCAGCATCCTCCTCATCAACAACAACAACAACATCCGCATCCTCCACAACAACAACAGCAACAACGTCAATACAATCACTCATTACCGCTGGCTCATTTCGCTCACAATTGTCGCAAATTGAAAACGATACGATTGACATCATATACACCAAAGACGGATGACTCGGTCTATGAGATGGCAAAATACATGCAATCGGGTACACTCGAGTCCATCATGTTGACAGGTTGTGGCACATTACAATCATCGACATTGGTCAAGTTGGCTATCACCAATCCACAATTACGACATATCGAAATCATGGGCAACACGCCGGTGAGTGATTCAAGTTTACGTGCACTAGCGGAACGTTGTGGACCCCATCTCGAAAGTATCAGCATTGGCAATGCATACAACCTCACCGACAAGTCCATCGCTGCAGTCGCCAAGTATTGCAGGAATCTCAAGTTACTCAAGCTTTTCAACAATGCCGATGGTAATCGTTTGAGTGAAGCGACCTTGCTAGATCTCTTGGAACGATGCATCCATCTACGTCTTATCAGTCTCAGCAACGCACGTATCCTTGGTGAATCCTTTTTTGCTATCGCTGCACAACGTGTCGAACATCAATTGGGAGTGATCGAGAAACAACATGGCATGTCAACCCATTCAGGTCTTCAAAGCATGTGCTTGGGTGGCGTCAAACGACAAATCATTGATGGCCCTTCACTCGCCCATCTTATTGATATGAGTGCCAGCAAAAACGACAACCTTGATGATGGTGACGATGACGATGATGACAACAATAATGGCATCAATGGCAACGGCACAACAATTACATCCCCCACTGAACATACCCTTGCACCAACACCAACCCATGTCCCAAAGACTACTGTCATTCGAGGAAACACAGTCTGGTGGCAACGGCGGCGACCGGTACTATCCAAGCCAAGTTAATATTCCCCCATCTCACATAGCACTTCGATTTATACATATCCTCTTTCATCTCGTTTCTTTACCACATATATACACACTCACACACACATTCTCTTTCTCTCTCTTTCTCTTCACTCACACACAAGGAGAATCAACAAAAAAAAACTCAACACCAGTACAGCTTGCACAACAACAAGACCTTCAATCGCTTCAATTCACACACGCTACACTATATACATCCCCTCTTTGTGTTTTCTTCTTTCTCTTTCTCTCTTCCTGAATATATCAGAGTAGCATCTAATTTAATTGCAACCATTAATTTTGGATCCATGTATGGTGCGTTATTGGGGTGGATGGTTGGATTCAATTGGGTCATATGACGCTACCTGAGACATAGGCATTATTGACTTTCCAATGTACATCGGTGCCTGAGGTAGCCAAATAATTGAGCTTAGCTTGTCATTAATGCATCCATAAACAGCATGCGGTGATGGTTCTTACATTAAAGCGATTACATGGTGAGAGTTATGATGAATAAGGGGTGTGGAATTACTAGTCCCTATCAGCGGAAGTGGCTGCACCAGCATTAGAAGATGATGTTGGTTGCTCCACCTTATGATCCTCCACTCGCTCCACCTCTTGAGCTTGGCTGATCTTGTTTTCCTCGTCAGCCATAATTATGCAACTTTTAGTAGCCAATTCAATGAGCGCGGATGATTGTTTTTAATATCGGTAGTCATACGCTAACAAAAGTAATTTACAGGTATGTAACGTAGGGTTCCATAGGTAGTGATCATGGGATTATGAATGAGTAATGTTGGGTAAACGTAATGTAAAAGTAGACGATGACTAATCTTGAGGTTGCAATTGTTGTATATACATAGGATGATAAAGCATGAGAATCATCGACGTCGACAATTGAATTGGCTCTTGGCGTTTGAGGTCTCTTGAACTTGCGAATCCTTTTCCACAACGAGGACATTCGATGAATGGTCTTGTCTAAAAGGAGGATTAAAAAGAGATGAGCTATTCCATATGATCAAAGAGAGGAGAGAAATCATACTCACGTGACTGAACATATGCTTTTGCATGTCGTGCTTGGTTCTGAATGTTTTTGTACAGCCTTGCCAAGTACATGCTATTTGATGATCCTAATCAATTGAAGAACCGGTATTAGGCTTTCATGCGAATCGAAGTACACCCATGGATATAAGTACCGGTCCATGTACATCCCGGATGTGTGCGTTGAGATCACCAAGTAAGGTATATGTCTTGCCGCAATTGCCGCACATGTGTTCCTTGTCAGCCTATAGCAGGATACCCATATGTTGATACATGTTATAAAGGGATGAAGCATGAACTTACTGCGTGTTTTGCATTGACATACACGTGCCTTGTCTAAGCGGTGTGGAAGGTCTCTTCACATCCTTGGATTGCGTATTCCAATTCGTTGATCTAGAAAACATCATACTTAGAAACCAATCGCATAATCACCTTCGGCAAAGTACTTACATCATGCTCCACACGCATATCCGTAACGAGATCCTCCTCTTGTTGAAATGATTGTGAAACGCATAGCTCGCAATAGAATTCTTTATCCAGCTTCCTCTTCTTGTCTTTCTTGTTCTGTAGTCCCTCTTCCTTCTTATCAATAAATGCCTCGAGATCTGGATCAAGCTTCACGTCCATCAACTTCTTCATATCACCCTCCTGGTTCTTGCCATGCGGCACACCCTTTCCATAACAATCAACAACGCATGTATTTATGTCACCGACAAAGAAGTCCCAAATTTCCCATCAGACTGGGGTTGCCTTTTGCCTACAAATGTACAAGGCATCCTTTTAATAACATGTATCAATATATAAATGATGGTTATACCTACCACAAAGGGTCCATCAAGGAATACAGCCAAATGTCATTAGACATCAATATGCGCTTCAAGCGGTAAAGCAATGATGTGAGCTAATAGGTGGATGCATGAGTACCCTCATTTTCGGGGATCACATAAAGACTATCCTTGAGACTTACCAAAGGCCATTGATGATGATATGCAGACAAGTAGAAAGAAAGAGTGTACGATAGTGTTGGCGACAACAGCCTTGTTTATATGAGAGTGGGCGTGAGAATTGTTGTCATGATGGATCGAAATGATAAAGTGGTCAAGCATCTTGAAGAACCGAGTCGAAGTGATGGAAACCCAGCAGCCGATAAATCCACCCGCCACTTGCAAAAAGGTGATCGTTTGAAGGTGCCATGAGTATGTCCAGATACCCCGCACCGGTTCCCACTAGTAAAACATGGCCGTGTCCCCTAGACAGTACAGTGCAATGGCTTCCTTGATGTGCTGCCGTGATAAACGTGATATCGCCAAACGAAAACCTGCCATCCTTATTTGTTTTTGTAAGCTCACTTGAATCCAACAACCAATCCCAGGATGATCTCTTTACCTTGAAGTATCTTTCAATACCATTGTTGTACTGCAAATAACTTGTAACCCGATCGTTCCATTATTTGGTGCTGCTGTTTAATCATAAGGTTCGTCAACCAGCAAGTCCTGCGTTATAGATCCAATACAATAATGCGTACCATAATCCAACGTACAGCATTCTTGCTTTGAGATCAGTATGCTGTTGCTGCCAGAGGCCACCATCATCATCCAATGCACTCAATCTAGAATAAATGTAATGTAAGATGACAAGGGCAGCATGCGCTTTTCGTGTTGACATACTCAAAGGAACAATGCAAACCTCACCTTGTGTAACAGCCGTGGAAAGATTACATACATCACACGACGGCCCCTTGGATCTTGTACAAGAAGCGAGATAACAGTAAACTACATACCATATTTAGTGTCAACATGTCCAACTTGAACAATAAAAGGAATGCAGCAATTGAACGTACATGTGGAAGCTGGAGTCATGAGTAGATCGCGTGCGCTCTTGTTGGTGATTGCTGCCATTGGAAAGTGTTGTCGTTGACCACAAGCTCACTCAATGTCCTGTGCGATGAAGGCAATCGCGGTAGTTGAAGCTTCGCACTTGGTCAATGGAGGTAAACTTTGCTTACTTTGTGAAGAGAGGCGGGGGAAAAGGGCTATTTGTCGTACATCATACACATCCCTTTCTTTGTGTTTTCTTTGTTCTCTCTCTCCTCCTGAATATACCAGAGATACCAGAGTACCATCTTTGGTCTATGTTGGTGCACCATTGGGGTAGGATGGATCCAATTGGGTCACATGACGCGATCTGAGATATAGGTTTCCAAGGTAGTAGGATGGTGTAGCATCATTATTGACTTCCCTATGTATACCGGTGCCCGAAGTAGCCGAATACACTAGAGCTTAGCTTATCATTACTACATTCATAAATAACGTGCGATGATGGTACTCGCAATAAAACGATTACATTGGTCCAATACATAAAACACTAGTAGGGATATTACAATAAGAGGAGAAATTACATTAGGTGGTGGAAGTTATGATGCATAAAGGGGTTGAGGTTACTAATCCTTATCGGCGGAAGTGGCAGCACCAGCATTAGAAGGAGATGGTGGCTGCTCCACCTTATGATCTTCCACTCGCTCCACCTCTTGAGCTTGGCTGGTCTTGTTTTCCTCGTCAGCCATCTTCCACACGTACTTGTCTTTGAACGCCCAAACACTGCCACCGAACACTTCATTCATCTCTTCAAGCGAACGACCTCGAGTTTCGGGTACGAACAAGTACGTGATTGTACCCATTAATACGGCACAGCAACCAAAGAAAAAGTACGTGCCATAGGTAATGTCACTGATCATGATGGGTGTGACCTTGGCAATGGTAGCATTCATGGCCTGTCATATAATGTGTTAGGTGCACTGTATGTATAAGATGTCTTTTTGGGTGTAACCTTACCCAGTTGAAAGCAGTGGTGACTGACAAGCACATGGCACGGATGCGTGTTGGGAAGATTTCGGAGCAGACAACCCATACAACAGGACTGATCCACAAGAAAAGAAGGTTGCATTTGAGTTTACATCATGCATAATTGCTTCAAGAATCTTTTAAACTTACCCCCATGAGAATTCATAGCTGTCATCATACAAAAAGAGAAAGCACGTGATGAGTATACGACGTATCACCAATAACGAATCATGCTCCTTACCCAACAGCGAAGATGTAGACAAAGACGATAGCCACATAGCCTTTAGCGTCGACAACATTGATTTCATCACCACTGCCAGTACTTTGGCGTTGCAATCCATATACCATTCCTCCTACTATAAAGAACGATACAAACATGATCGCAGCACCAAGCATCAGCGTACGTCTTCGTCCCATGCGACCATCAATAAGGAAGAATGCGACAACAACAAAAACCAATTTGACCACGCCTAATCATAAAATTGTTATCATGCGGTTTTGCGATTGAAGGAGGAAAGCCATCATCACCATACCATAAACGCCCGTTGCAAGGATATCAGTGTTCTCAGCTGTAAGACCAATTGATTTGAAAATATCGGGAGCGTAATAGTTCTTTTTCGTAAAGAGAGGATCGTCAGCCATGGTTACGTCAAATGCAACAAATAACTTACAATAGCATTTGTACCGGTCCATTGTTGAGCCACTTGAAGGAACACGCCGATAAGTAGACGACGTAGATTGTTGGGAACAAGCAACTCTGTCCAACGAGTCATTTTCATTTCCCGTTCTTGTTGAGCCGCTGCTTTGATCTCTTCCATTTCTTGCACAATAGCAGGATGTTCGGCATCCTGATTACGTAACTGACACAAGACCTTCAAAACATCTTCATTCCGCTCTCTGATTTGTGCATTAAGGTCAGCTGAGTTGTCAGTGTGTGAATAAAATGAATGTCGTGCATTTACCGTAATGCGAGCCAACGCAATGATTCAGGGCAAAAGAACATGCCAAGGAACAATAAACCACCAGGGATGATTTGAATACCTAGTGCAGTACGCCATTGTCTATCTGACACTGGGATATGACGCACACATCCATAATCGACCCTATTTGTTGAAAAGTGGTTGGTGACATGTTACACGTTGTGCAATTGCATAAGGCCGACGATTCGCATACCAGTACGACAACATGATACCCAATACTACAAGGAACTGCCACAAGGTACCCAAACGACCACGTAGACGACGTGGAGCAATTTCGGCAATGTACATTGGAACAAGCATTGAACACGCACCCACACCCACTGCAGACATAACGTTGATGTAAATAAAGTGGGCAAGAGTAATAACAATGTGATCTTCAGCTTACATCCTGCAACAAAACGACCTGCCAGCATAGTCGAAACGTTTTGGGCTACAGCTTGGAGGATGCCTCCCACGATAAAGACGATGGATGAAAACATGATTGTCTTTTTACGTCCGAAAGGATCTATAATACCCATATGGGATGAGTTGCCATTGTCATTCGATCTTTTATAAACATCCCATTACCGGCAAGAAAATTTATAAGCAAGGCACCTACACAGCAGCCTGCCTGTAACAATGCCACCACATCACCTTTGACACGGGCAATGTAATCAGGATCACCCTCCATGCCAAAGTATTGAGGAAACGTAGGCATGGCAAGCACACCTATAATGATGTCAACGTACTATGAATCAGGCCACCCATATTCATCATGTTGCATAAGCATACACACTTACCGCTGATAACACCGATATCATAACCAAACAAGAAACCACCCATGCATGACACGGTGGTGGCGATCAAGGACAAGTGCTTCATATTGACCTATGCAAAGCACACGCGCAAGGATAGTAGAAAGTATAAAAAGGGGGTGGTTGACAACGCCGCTATAAGGAAAAAGAGCCGTTTCTGTCATAAACCGGGATGATGCCTTTGTATATATATACACAAGTCTAAATCAGTGAGAAAAAATGAGCATGCACCTTGTACACGAATACAAATCTGTGGAGAGCTTATTGTCCTACATGATCTAAAATGGTAAGCAGAGAAGAAAGAAATCGGGTTTCCTGGCAAAAACACACATACACACGGCATTTCACATGACGATCCTTGATTTGCATTCTACTCACACTCAGGGTCTTATATCCCCTATTGTCCGTTAAAAAACACCGCATTCTCGTTACATTGATCAACCCCGGTTTTTTTTCCAAGCGAAATGAAAAAATACGATCCAGCATGTGGTGTATCACGTGTATAGCACTCAGCCTATCTCTTGCATTGTGTGTTTCAAGGGCTTAGTGCATGACCAGGCTTCGCTTAAAAGACCATATATATATTGTGGCAAGGGGGTGTGTGAAAAAACAGTGTAGTGCTAGAGTAAGCCTGTCAGCACTTGCTATATAGGGGCAACATCCATATCATTGGGAAACAAAATAGACCCACTTTTAGCTCTCTTCGCTCATAAACTTTTGATCCGGATCGATGGTTTGTTATTAGTCTCTCCTACATTTGCATCCTCGCACTCAAAACTTACATAATGATGCGTGGGGTCTTTATTAGATCAAAGTTGATCATCGTGTCGGAGGGCACTTTCACGGCCGAGATGGGCAATATCGGGAGGCATGGACCGTACACACTATTTATGATCCCATCCGCTCCATCGTCTCTCTTACATTCAAGATTATCATAATGAAGTTTATGAGAACGATCTTGCTCGGCATGGTCGAAGGATCTTGTGTGAAAGTTTTAGGTTCGAGAGAGGCAATCTCAATATCAAGGATTGATGTACAGTGTTCATGCATTTATACAAGAGGTGTCCGACCTCTTTAATTTCCCACTCCTTCCGCTCCCACAACTTCTTGTCTCTTCTCAACTGTTGCCCCCATTCAAGTGCAACTACCACCTACGAACGATTGTCCTGCTTCAACTCATCATGTCGATCCTACAATTATCTTGATCCGATTGTTGTTGACTGAATGGCAAGTCCATGGCGTGTACACGGCCTTCTTGTCACTCTACTTCAACGCGTGTCTTCCTTGATACAACGCAACGTCTTGGACGATCCTTTACCACGATCAAACGTAACAGCGTTCAATCCAGCAGTTGCCATTAGCGATGCCTTACTCCATTGTCTCAAACAGCGTTCTTTACTTGCAGCAGCCTGCCTTGCAGCCTTTCTTTACGTGACCAGCAGATAGTCATTGTATAGAAGCAGCTTTATTTACGCGTAGCAACTTGTTTGAATACATACGATTTCTTATGGATATGGATATTGGTTTGGTGGAAGGGATGGAAGGGATTGGATATATACAATGCGTTGAAAAAGAGGGTATCCATTGTCAACTTGACCTTGATGCCATCATTGGCGCATCCTACTTTATATGCTATTTCATGGCAGCTACTATCATCATCCTTTATGCAACCTGTCAACCATGTACAACCATCATCATCCACTTCATGCTTTGACACCACCGATGCAGAGACGACTTGCAGGTAGCTGATTCCCAAAACCATGGAAACGGTATCCTTGACAACCACAACTATAAGATAGAGATCGCTTGCTTGCTTCTGAGAAACCCACCCAAATTCAAATGTTGATCTTCGACTTTCAATGCAACAGCATTCGCCACTGACAACTGTAAGGTGACCGAATGGATTCTGATGGCGCCAAACCGCATGCGAAAATATAGCTTGATGGAATGATGGGCCTATAAAAATGCATATCACTAATTTATCTCTGAGGTAATGGTAACAATACTTAGCCGGTGTCATATGAGAATCCACGATGTTTGATGCCACCCAGTAACCAAAACACATTTCCTTGCTGCAGAGATGTCGACACAGTGACTAATTCTGATAGCCGTTTCTCCAAGCGATACTTGATGATGAATGCCTTGAGAGATGGATAAACCTTGACAGCACCAAAAGGACACGTAACATTGTTGCTAGTTGCTTGTGTGATACACCCATAGAGACATGCGCTGTAGAGTATTCTTGAAAACAATTGCCCAAAAGGAGAACCACCAGAGGATCAAGTAAACGGTGTTGACACCAAAGATATGGACCCTATTGTTGCTCATTCCTGCTTCTTGCTTGTTGCTGATATGATCCACCGATAACAGACATGCGTAGTAGGATATCCATCAAAAGAATTATCGACAACCAGAACCACAATTAGGTGAGATAAGGCTTGCTGACACCGAAAGACATGGAAGCTGTTGTTTGTCGTTGCAGATGCCCATAAAAGGGAACGTCCAACACTTGGTGACGAGAACCATGAGATGATGTGATAAGGCAAGCTGACACTGAAGGATGCTATAGACATTGCTCTTTGACCCTGGCATGATTCGCCTATAATCGATGCACGGTAAACACTTCCCCGAACACATAGAACGATACTTAGCAATGATACCTGCATCCATGAATATTCCAAAGGACCAAAATACAAGTAGTTTGCTGAATAGCACACATACTATAATAAAAGAGGGGGTTGGTTGGGTTGGAGCCAAAAAAACGGGTCATCCACTATTTACCAATGAAAGCCATATGAATAAAACCTTGTCAACATCCAATGATAGCTGCATCCATCAAGAATCCAAAGGGAACAAGACAAGTAGCTCGCTGAATAACCCACATGAAAGATGGTGTTAGTAGGCATTGAAAGAAAGAATGGATCATTATTTACCAATGCCAGCTTCATGTATGAATAGCCCACATGCTAAGATAAAAGCGGAGGTTGGCAGGCGTTGTAGAACGAATGGATCAGCAATTACCAATGATAGCCATACGCACGAAAACATGTCGACATCCAATGACAGCTGCATCCATGATAACCCAAAGAACCAGAAGGCAAGTGGCTTGCTGAATAGACCACATACTAAGGAGGAAGGTCGGTAGGCGTTGTATAGAACGGATCATAACTTACCAATGATAGCCATATGCACGTCAACATGTTGGCATCCAATGACAGCTGCATCCATAGCAATCCCAATGCACCAGAAGACAAGTAGCTTGTTGAATAGCCCGCACACTATAATAAAAAAGGGTGTTGGTTGGGTTGGAGCCAAAAAACGGATCATCCACCATTTACCAATGATAGCCATATGAATAAAACCTTGTCGACATCCAATGATAGCTGCATCCATCAAGAATCCAAAGGGAACAAGACAAGTAGCTCGCTGAATGACCCACATGAAAGAGGGTGTTAGTAGGCATTGAAAGAAAGAATGGACCATGATTTACCAATGACAGCTTCATGCATGAAAATTCCAAAGGACCAGAAGACAAGTAGCTTGCTGAATAGCCCGCACATTATAATAAAAGAAGATGTTGGTAGGCATTGTAGAAGAGAACGGATCACCATTTACCAATGATAGCCATATGCATGAAATCCTGCTGATATCCAAATCAAGCCGATCCTTGCAATCATTCTCGTGTTGATACGACCGCTACGTTGGCACTCGGGCTGTAAGCGATGGAACGATACTTGATGGGAATATACAGTGAGAATGTTGAGTAATACTTGTACCACCAAAGATAGCATACTTACACGATGCCGAAGAGCCCTTGCAAGGAGCGAGAACGAACCAATGTGCTGCCCAAGACCACATGCAAATCGAAAAATCATCAATCGAAAAGCCCAAACCAGCACCCTAGCTGCGGAAGGGAGTACACTCAGTGATATAGCCGATATGAATGAGATACCAATCCTTTTTCGTTGGGTATGGAATGCAGCTTGACGATGGAGTCCTTGACGAGATGCATGAATGACCTTGGTAACACAAAAGATGTCAACACGGGCTCTCATTGCTTGTTCATGACATGACCCATCCATAAGACACGTATAGTTGTAGAGATCCACCAAAGGAATCGCCAATAACCAGAACCACCAAGAGATAGAAAGCTTGCTGATACCAAACATATACAAGTTGTTCCTTGTTGCTGATGTGATCATCGATAAGAGATCTTCATTTCAGGATGCCCACCGGATTGCCGATAACGAGAAGAACCAGAAAGCTTGATATGACACCAACGATATGGATGTTGTTACTTGTTGCTGATACAATCCACTCACAAGAGACTTGCATTGGCGGACACTCTTCAGAGAAATCACCCGTTGCTTGGTAACCAACCACCAGAAATGAAATAAAGATTGACGACACCAAGAGATAAACGCACTTTTCCTCATGGCTGACATGATCCACCTATAAAAGATGCACCATAAACAATTGTCCAAACTCATCCAACAATACTTAGCAATCATAGCTATGATCTTGTAAACTCCAAAGCACTAAAAGACAAGTAGCTCTCTGCAATGGTCCCTCTAAATAATAATGGTAGGCGTTTCAGCAAAGGTCCCCAAAAAGCATGAGAGTCATACATACCTGAGCCATGGTGATCACAAGGAATTGCAACCAAATACACCATCCGAAGGCAATACAATAACCAACCTGCAGCGCCAAGGTATGCCACCATATGTACTATACTCTCATTGGATCCTGAAATTGGCATCATAAGAGATATCCACCTTCTCTCTGTAGGCAAGGAAATCAATAGCCGCACTTGGATGGAGGCCGTGCGCACAGCGGATGCATTTTTAAATCCCTGAGGCCGCATCTTGAGTCACACTGTTTCCGGGCCAAAATTCCCCAGGAGAGCATAGTACTATACAATGACATCCTCGACGTGCTGATTGATCAAAATAGTATCGCCGAAAGAGGATCTGCCACTGTATGGCGCTTGGTAAGTTCACTTGAATCGAACCAATCCCATCATAATGAACACTCTTACCTTGTGGTATTCCTCAATAGCATCAATGC